GGCTTTTGGCACTTTCTTTTAAATTCCTTTGCAAACGTTGTGAAATAATAAATTTTATATCGCTTTTATTTGTGTCAAAACTTTATGATATTTTCTCAACGGAAATAATGTAAAACTAGATGCAAATTAAGTGCCCTACCTCATAACCTTTCTTGCAATCTTGCCACAATCACAATTAATGCCACTGTAATGCGTGAAGGCCATGTGCCTTGGCCCGCGTCACTCACAATGAGATCGAATTATTTTAAACCAATCACATTACAGCATTCTCATTCATAATCGAATGATTGAAAATGCGTATTTCAAATTCAGCAAATAAACGATTTACAGAAAAGTATCTCAATGCCGATAGTGGTGAACTGTTTTTATTATATTAGGTTGATTAACTCTTTAACACTTGGCTGCATGCTGGCTATATTAATATTTTTTTAAATTTTTGTATTGCGCTAACATAGGCTTTGCCCAAATTTCACACCGACTTACTGAGGCGCTCATGTGCGAATACTATAACAAAGGGCAAAGTCACGCCAATAGGCTGACGACGATACAATTCCACGCCGGATATATCCGGGATTTTCTACATGGATTCCACCCTGGTCTCAGGGTGATGGCCAGTTTATGATGAATATTTTAGCTTTCAGATGTATTTTACATCCTGTTATCAGATCTAGCTAAGTAAAAGGGAATTATCACCAGATACAATTTGTTTACCTTGTTGTTGTTTGTAACGAAGAGATATGCATGTATCATTTCATGCTGCAGAATGTAAACAAATATCAAAATTAAATGAAGTTGTCAATGAGATACGAGAACACCAAATAAAGTAGTCTTGAAAACTTACAAGTAACGTTTGAACGAGATCTTTCCTGGGTCGTAGTTTCAATAGGGGCATGCTAAGTTTGATGGAGCACAACCCCCCACGGCCTTCATAACAACAAACTCCGCCGCATCTAAGAAATAAGATCAAATGTTACGGCGTTAATTGCTTCACTTTTTGCCACAGCAAATAATTTAACCTCGTATTTTCACTTACAAAGTCATTCGCGGGGCCCACTTTACTTCACAACATGAAAGCTTCCCTTGAAAATACGTGTCGTTATACTGTAGAAATAGCTCTCTATCGTTTCCCAGCAATCGTCCACGATGGACGATGGCTCTAATTTTCTTTTTACACTAGTTGTTGCTGTTGATATTTCACCATCATTTCTTAAAAATTCGTCTTGAAGTGACAATGCTAATGCTAAATCTTCGTCGGCCATGTTGGATCGAATAAACCCCCCCGGCCCAGTGAGCTCAAAATATAGAACTCACTATTCTCCCCCCCCCAGCTTTTCTAAATCCAATCCTAATTCTAACCTAATCTCATGACCCAAATCCTACCCTAATTGATCCTAATTCTACCCTAATCTTTAAACCTTATCCCAACGACATGGGGGAGAATGTAGACCGCCAGTCCAATAAATATTTCCGTTAATAATTCATCATTTGAAGGACCCAAAACAACAAAATTGACGACTTTTTCAATGTTCCAAAAAGCAACCAAATATGCTCTAAAATGAAAGACATTAGTGTTAGGAAGCAATTTTTAGCATTTTAAAACAGTTTTTGAACAGTTCAAAAAGTCGTCAAAATTGATCAAAACGGTAAGGGGTAAGACTTACCATTTTGGTCAAAATTGATGACTTTTTCAATGTTCCAAAAAGCAACCAAATATGCTCTAAAATGAAAGACATTAGTGTTAGGAAGCCATTTTTAGCATTTTAAGACAGTTTTTGAAAAGTTCAAAAAGTCGTCAAAATTGACCAAAATGGTAAGGGGTAAGCCTTACCATTTTGGTCAATTTTGACCACTTTTTCAACTTTTCAAAAACTGCCCAAAAACGACTAAAATGAAGTATATTAGTGTTAGGAAGCCATTTTTAGCATTTTTAAACAGTTTTTGAACAGTTGAAAAAGTCGTCAAAATTGATCAAAACGGTAAGGGGTAAGGCTTACCATTTTGGTCAAAACTGACGACTTTTTCAATGTTCCAAAAATCAACCAAATATGCTCTAAAAAGAAAGATATTAGTGTTACGAAGCAATTTTTAGCATTTTAAGACAATTTTTGAACAGTTGAAAAAGTCGTCAAAATTGACCAAAACGGTAAGGGGTAAAAAGCTTACCATTTTGGTCAAAACTGACGACTTTTTCAATGTTCCAAAAATCAACCAAATATGCTCTAAAATGAAAGATATTAGTGTTAGGAAGCAATTTTTAGCATTTTAAAACACTTTTTGAACAATTGAAAAAGTCGTCAAAATTGACCAAAACGGTAAAGGGTAAGGCTTACCATTTTGGTCAAAATTGACGACTTTTTCAATGTTCCAAAAAGCAACCAAATATGCTCTAAAATGAAAGACATTAGTGTTAGGAAGCCATTTTTAGCATTTTAAGACAGTTTTTGAAAAGTTCAAAAAGTCGTCAAAATTGACCAAAATGGTAAGGGGTAAGCCTTACCATTTTGGTCAATTTTGACCACTTTTTCAACTTTTCAAAAACTGCCCAAAAACGACTAAAATGAAGTATATTAGTGTTAGGAAGCCATTTTTAGCATTTTTAAACAGTTTTTGAACAGTTGAAAAAGTCGTCAAAATTGATCAAAACGGTAAGGGGTAAGGCTTACCATTTTGGTCAAAACTGACGACTTTTTCAATGTTCCAAAAATCAACCAAATATGCTCTAAAAAGAAAGATATTAGTGTTACGAAGCAAATTTTAGCATTTTAAGACAATTTTTGAACAGTTGAAAAAGTCGTCAAAATTGACCAAAACGGTAAGGGGTAAAAAGCTTACCATTTTGGTCAAAACTGACGACTTTTTCAATGTTCCAAAAATCAACCAAATATGCTCTAAAATGAAAGATATTAGTGTTAGGAAGCAATTTTTAGCATTTTAAAACACTTTTTGAACAATTGAAAAAGTCGTCAAAATTGACCAAAACGGTAAAGGGTAAGGCTTACCATTTTGGTCAAAATTGACGACTTTTTCAATGTTCCAAAAAGCAACCAAATATGCTCTAAAATGAAAGACATTAGTGTTAGGAAGCCATTTTTAGCATTTTAAAACACTTTTTGAACAATTGAAAAAGTCTTTAAAATTGACCAAAACGGTAAAGGGTAAGGCTTACCATTTTGGTCAAAATTGACGACTTTTTCAATGTTCCAAAAAGCAACCAAATATGCTCTAAAATGAAAGACATTAGTGTTAGGAAGCCATTTTTAGCATTTTAAAACACTTTTTGAACAGTTGAAAAAGTCGTCAAAATTGACCAAAACGGTAAGGGGTAAGGCTTACCATTTTGGTCGAAATTGACGACTTTTTCAATGTTTTAAAAAGCAACCAAATATGCTCTAAAATGAACGATATTAGTGTTAGGAAGGAATTTTTAGCATTTTAAGACAGTTTTTGAACAGTTGAAAAAGTCGTCAAAATTGACCAAAACGGTAAGGGGTAAGGCTTACCATTTTGGTCAAAATTGACGACTTTTTCAATGTTCCAAAAAGTAACCAAATATGCTCTAAAATGAAAGATATTAGTCTTAGGAAGCCATTTTTAGTATTTTAAGACAGTTTTTGAAAAGTTCAAAAAGTCGTCAAAATTGACCAAAATGGTAAGAGGTAAGCCTTACCATTTTGGTCAATTTTGACCACTTTTTCAACTTTTCAAAAACTGTCTCAAAATGATCTAAAATGAAGTATATTAGTCTTAGGAAGCCATTTTTAGCATTTTAAGACAGTTTTTGAACAGTTGAAAAAGTCGTCAAAATTGACCAAAACGGTAAGGGGTAAGGCTTACCATTTTGGTCAATTTTGACCACTTTTTCAACTTTTCAAAAACTGTCTCAAAATGCTCTAAAATGAAAGATATTAGTCTTACGAAGCCATTTTTAGCATTTTAAGACACTTTTTGAACAGTTGAAAAAGTCGTCAAAATTGACCAAAACTGTAGGGGGTAAGGCTTCGTTTTGGTCAAAATTGACGACTTTTTCAATGTTCCAAAAATCCACCAAATATGCTCTAAAATGAAAGATATTAGTGTTAGGAAGCAATTTTTAGCATTTTATTACAGTTTTTGAACAGTTGAAAAAGTCATCAAAATTGACCAAAACGGTAAGGGGTAAGGCTTACCATTTTGGTCAAAATTGACGACTTTTTCAATGTTCCAAAAAGTAACCAAATATGCTCTAAAATGAAAGATATTAGTGTTAGGAAGCAATTTTTAGCATTTTAAAACAGTTTTTGAAGAATTGAAAAAGTCGTCAAAATTGATCAAAACGGTAAGGGATAAGGCTTACCATTTTGGTCAAAATTGACGAATTTTTCGATGTTCCAAAAAGCAACCAAATATGCTCTAAAATGAAAGATATTAGTCTTATTTCTTGAATAAGCAGTATATATAAAAAATAAGCATTATAAAATAAATGTCGAAAATATAGCCCAGGAAAGTTGATGAATTTTGAATACTTTAGTATTATGACCGGAAGTGTGACCGAAAAGTTATGACCGAAAAGTAACACAAATTGCCTCCTTTTGCATGGCTATAATATCTTCCGTGCAACTGCAGTAAAACCTGGCAATTATAGTAATTTCGGTATGCTCTTTTTAGTTGTGATTTATTTCCTTCTTGTTATCTAGATCACAAGTGGTCTATTATGCAAGTAGCCTGCGCCGCAGACCCATGCCCGAAATAGAAAGGCGGGGAAGTCATATTCCGTCTATGCGTAGACGTATTCAAGTGGTCGGCGGCCATAGTCAGCCTCGTACCCAGGCGCTTTAATAGTAAAATATATAACGTTGCATTCAGGTCTTATATAGAGGTCAGCAGAAAAAAAGCAAGCGCGTAGGGGTGCTTGGGGAGGTTGTGCTCGCGTTTTTTTCAGCTGACCTGTATACAATAACTGAATGCAACATTATTTTTACTATTAAAGCGCCTGGGTACGAGGCTGGGCCATAGTGACTTGCCTTAAAACTGAACTGTGCTTGACAGTGACTGCAATTATTCATCAAGGCTGCATCAGCCTGCATGCTGTTATTTTGTATATTGTTGAATGTAGCACTGTGAATGGTATGGTTTTATATAATAGGATCTAATAGGACATAAGTTTGTATAATGCTATATGACATATATTTCATTCACAGCACTGGGACTACGCAACATTATGTCACAGATTAGGCTGATAACATTTGATGCAACCAATACCCTATTTAAAGTTCATGGTGGTGTTGGAAAGGTGTATGCTGAAACAGCAATCAAATATGGGGTAGGAGCAAACCCTCAAGAAGTTGATAAAAATTTCAAAAAAGCTTTTAAGCAACATACCATTAAGTTTCCAAATTTTGGTCAGTCGTTTGGCATGTCATCCCAACAATGGTGGGATAGAGTTGTCTACTGTTCATTCAATGGTGAAGTGGAATCTGGTATTCTTAGAAAGATTTCTTCAGAATTATACATTAACTTTTCCAAGAGATCACACTGGGAATTGTTTCCTGATGTTTTTCCTGTCTTAGATCATTTCAAAATTAGAGATGTGAAACTTGGTGTTATCTCAAACTTTGATGAAAGACTAAAAACAATTTTAACAGAGCTTACCATTGGTAAATATTTCACATTTGTCTTGTCATCAAGGGAGACACAATGGTGGAAACCCTCACCAGAGATATTTCATCATGGTATTTCTATGGTGACCAAGTGCTCACCAGCAAACACCTTACATATTGGCGATAACCTTGAACTGGACTACAATGCTGCGAGAAATGCTGGGATGGAAGCACTTCTTTTGCAACGACAACCATCGGATCAGGAACTTTTAATGAACAAAGATGTACCAAAACATAAAATAATAACTAGTTTAGATCAACTTTGTAGTCTTTTATGAAATAATAAATTGCTTTTTCACAAAACTTACCATACCTATCTTGATATTTGATAATATTGATTGATATAAAAATTAGCTTGAAGTACTTTACATTGTTAAACCCAAAGTCAACAAATGTGGTTAAAGTTTAATCTGCTTAGGGACAAATTAAATTTTAAGGTTGTTAAGGGACATTGTTACTGTTACTGAATAGAGAGATGATCAAAATATACTATTGGAAAAGTTGCTACAACTACAAGAGTTTCCAAAACAATTTATCTCATTTATCAGAGGCACATTCTTGGGATGAATAACGGAGTAAGGACAGTCATTTCTTGTCCCTGTTGTCAAAGATTATTTATTGAAAACTATTCGAACACCAGACAATGGAATGCGCACAAACAACGTACAGATTTACAACAATTTAGAAAATATCTAAACCTTGTTTTGTCAAGAAGCAACGAAGGAATAATGGCTAAAGGAAGACACGTTAAATTAGGCGAGAAGGAACAACCTGATTTTACTCCAACGACGGAAGAAAGAAAGAGCCTGTTGTATCAAACAGAATTCATTGCAAAGAAGAAACGAGAAGCTAGTGAAAGCGAGTTGCAGAGTGGTTTAGTTGTGAAGAAACTTTGTAACAATTTGAAGACATATAACCAACGGGATATTACGGATGGAATGAATCAACTGGAACAAGCAAGAAAGATGAATGAAAGACGTGCCCATTATGTAGAAAGAAGCGCATGTGCCCCAAAACTTCCCAACGATTTAGTAATTAGGAAATGCGATGGCAACGACTTCAAGAAATTCAACAACGCCGTAGATTTAAAGAGAAAAAAGGAGAGGTTTGAGAGACGGAAAAAAGTTGAAGGTCATGAAATGTTGCTCCCGACTATTCCTCCTGAATCACACGGTGAAGAGCGTTGTATAACTGGTTCAACTGTCGTACAATTTACAGGCGAGAATACGAAACTTGACATATTTCTGCCTACTCTGATGTAGAAGAATGTAGAATCGAATGGGTGTCGTTTTGAAATGATGAAAATATAACCATTAAAATATAATTTATATAATTTACATAATTTTGGTAATCTATATTGAATTCGAATATCTTAAGAATACTTCTACAGACCTAAATTAAACGGTTAGTTTTTTATATTAATTTCTGTAATAATTTTGCGTTAGTTAAATTTTTTTTTCATTTAGCGTGCGGTGGTGAGAAAATACTTCAAAATAGCTATGTAAATATTCCTGCAAATACCCGTAGCTACTTAGCTGGTTTTTGGAGGGAATACGAATGAGTGAAGGCATTGATTTTGGACTGCCCAAAGCCAAGTTGATTTTTGACTGGTGTTTTCACGAAAGCAGACAACCCCGTTTTTTTCAAACCTTCCTCAGGTCTTCAACTCCAACTTTCTGAGCTCTTCACATGTCGATATATAAGGAGAATTTCCATTTTTGAAGTAGTTCATTCGACTTGCATTTCTCGACGGTTAGATCAACTTGTGAATTGTTGTTTTGTAGACAAAACCCCGTGTTCTTGTGCCTGAGAGTTTTGTCTCTAAGATGTTGAAATAACTGAAAAAAAAATATCAACGATACTGAGTTATTATTTCTGTTTATTTGTTTGCATATTAAAAATACTTTAAACAGCTATTTTCTAATTCTTACTATAGTAACTGAAGAGGACGGGGAAAAACAGACATTTGTGTATCTGGGACCAACACATACCTGGGCGGAGTCTTTTCTACAACCTTCTAATTTGACAATCTGACCAGCAGATTTTTCTTGTAATGTCAGACAGAGATCATGATGTTTTACTTTGTTATTTCGCGTTAAAGACCACTCCTATATGAATGATTACATTTAGTTTTCACATGTACGACATTGTAGGATATAGCGTCTTCTCTCGTGTAGCACGCACGAAAACCTGTTTTCCGAAGCCAAAGGCGGAATTTCTCATCAGAAGAGGATTTTTACAGGAGTAGTGCTTCTGTATATTTGTATTGAGGTGACACGATCAACAATAAAAGTAACCTACCTGGTTGCCCGCACCTCCGTGACATTTCATGGTCCTAACCGAGCCTCCGCCAAGATGACCCATCGTGTCTAAACACAGCTCGCCTTGCCTTAATTCACCAAACGCCACGTCATTCTGATCTGGCACTCTAGAAAATAAAGTAAAATATGAATGACTCCAGAAGGCAAACAGGCACATCAGAGCAGAGAGAGACATGAACCAATCAAATGCGAAACGTCTATCATATTAACCAATCACGAATGACAATAGGCCCGCAGATAATAGCGAAGATGAAGACATGAAGTCGAATCTGAAACTCGAATGTGAAGAATATTGAAGAAAACCCAGCCCAACAACTTACTGTAGCTCTGGATAGACATTTTCCAAATACCACTTAAAAGACTTGCATTTTAAATTCTTTCGTAACTCAACGCGGGATTTCACGCTATATTGGAGAGTACATAGTCGCTATTAAGCTCGGGATATGGAAAACGTTTACAACGGTAACAGAAATTCTTCTCGTTTGACTTACTTTCCATAAGGGCTATTCTTTGAACCATGTCGAGCGGCAAAATAGAATTTCTTGTAACCGTCCATCCAGACTTCAGCCGTCCGTCTTGTGTTTCTAAAAAGCCGAAAGGGAATTTCGAGGATTTTAAAAATTTTTCAACGCGCACTCTATTATAAGACTTTATTATTATCCTGCTCTATACCAGATGATTTACCTCGCCTGGCTCTACCAGTATTCCCTTATAAATACGAGTTATATAAGTGATGTGACGCTTGATTTTCCGATTGGGAAAGGAAGTTTCAACTTTCAAGTTCGAGGGCGTAGGTTTAAATTTTTTTTGTGGGGTGAAATGAGAAGCGAGTGGAGTGAAATAATGGTGAAATAATGGTGGTAAAACCTCTTCTAACCGTATGTAGGTATTTGAATTTCCATCCGGAAAGGAATACGGGTGTTTCTTGCGAAAAACGTGTCCAACACGTGAACAAGGAATGATCTCCATACTGCCGTCACACATCCAGGTTCGAAATGAAATCTCTAAATAATTTTAAGATAAAAGAACTTGTGTATTTTGATGTATTATTTAAAGCCCTTATGTGCCATCTTTATCCATCTTACCAAAGTTCTCACCACCCCATATATCCATCATTGTATCATATTTTCCTATCTTCGTGAAGAAGTCCTTATCAATCACAAATAATCCCCCAGCGATCATAGGTGTCCTAGAGATGACATCAAGGGAGATTCATTACAAGATTTGGGAGAAGGCTTCCCGTGCATAGGCGAGGGGGGAGACTCCCAATATAAATGAATGTTTACAATAGCATTAGTTTAGAAAGAAAATTAGTACTTTATCGGAGCAGTGGGTGCATTTCTTCGTTCGATTTTCTGCTGAGGTGTCAGCTCATCCCACTTGAAATGCAAACTCCAATCAAAACCTTAAAAAACAGAGAAAGTTTTATTACTACAGTACTAAATCTTTTAAAGCACTTTACATTGGCATCACATATATAAAAGCTCACATGTTAGATAGGTAAGTAAGGCTAGGACTTTGCTTGGGAGATCTTTTCACAATGTTCAAGGCTTTAAGCTTACTAACTAGGAAATTTTAAAAAAAAATACCTCCTTTGATATCAGCAGAAGCTCCAATATACTTAAAATTTTTCATGCTAATCACATCAATAATTGGACAAACGACCCGCGTTGGATCCTAAACCAATAGAGAAACCATTTTACACTGTTTTATACAAAACCAAAATAGTCATCTTATCCTTACCTCAACAACTCTCATTAGCAATGGTTCAAGCCAGCCAACATTGCATTCACAATGACTGTCCAAGAACGTCAACAACCTTCCTGTTGCTGCATCAGCACCACGGACACGAGAGCGAATGAGACCTGGGAGGGAATCAGATGAAGAGAATCAGGTGACGAAACCGTACTTGTGACTAGGAAAATGACCGGGTGAAAGACTACCTTCTCTCTTGTCATTGCGAATTAATCGTACTTTAGGAAGAGACAGCAGCATAGAGCCATCATTAGCTAAACAAAACACATGTGAATTAAAACAAAATACAACATCAATAAGCAAAATCCTAATGTGAAGGAACTTACGGTCATTACTAAAATCATCGATAAGTATAATTTCTTTGATCAATTTTGCTGGACTTCTGTTTAAAATACTACAAAAACAAATGAAAAACTGTAAATGAACTGCAATGTAAACATTGTATTGCAAGCTTCCCCTGGTAAAAATATAGAAATGAGCATAAATTGTATACTTTATTCCAATACCTTTTCACAGTTCTTAGTAAGGTTGACCTTGCTTCATTGTGGAAAGTTATGATAACACTGGTTGGTGGTAAATTGTTTGAATACTTTAAAGTTGTGCAACTAGAAAATATAAAAGTATTACATGAAACATTACATTATAATTTGCATTAAATCCAATAATAATTTATTTTCATGAAAGTAGAGGTATGCAAATGGCACAGGGGCAGCTGGAACAATTGCACCCTGTAGATAAGGGAAGCTTTTGTGCATCTCTACATTGATTATCAGATTAAGTCTACCTTGCATGTCTTGTGTCTGGAATCACTCTGTCACTGGCAAGGTTGTCACTTGCTTTACGATTAAACCCATTCTCTTTAAAAGGATCCTTGTCTATTTTTTTAGCATTCACATATTCATTTTCATTAAAATTAACATTACCCATGCCGTTGTCTACATCACTTGGAGACTAAAAGATAAACAAAATTATCTTGATGGAGCAGATCAAGTATATGATTTGAGAACTATATTAAAACTAATGATATACAATAGTTTTAAACATTTTTTCATAGCTTAAGCCTAAAAAAGATTAAGACCCATCCGTTATAAAGTGTAGAAAATTATTCTATAAAAAATAGATTGATACATGATTACTTTGTAGTGTCATATATTTATCCTAATTGTTATCAAGCCTGTGTTTACTTTATGTTGTTTTTAAAAAATATGAAACTCTTGTCTGTATAAACACATCGCTATGCCCTTGTGAAAGATGGAAAGATTCTTATTAATTTTAACGCAGCGCATTTTCTATAGAAACAATGGAAACATTCATCGTAGGTCAATTAAAATATTCTCAAATATTCATTAAATTTGACAACTTTTACCCGCAAACTCGTCGACTTCACCACGCGAAAACCGTCCATAAAATAAAGCACGGAAAAAAACCAAAGCAATAATAGCAATACATAAATCGTGCGCCTCCTCCGCCAAATCATCCTCGATTTTTTGATAAACTTATCCGGTAGAATTTCATTAAAAATTAATAAAAAGAAATATTGCTCTCCACTGAGTATGTTATAGCTCGCATGTTCGACTCAGCACGACGCGTGGATGCACATGCAGGTATGCTAATGCACGCGAGACGCCCACGTTTAGTTATAGCAACATTTACAAAACATTTACTGCGTTTCTATACAGTTATAAACACACAGAAACACGCGTGGGAGTTTGGGAGAACGAGAAGTAATCACCCTACGGGCTCGTTTTCCCACGTTATGTCGAGTTCTCCCAAACTCCCACAATGTTTCTATAACTGGGTTGTAGGTTGTGCTGATTTTAAAACGTTCTAAACCGTAACTGTTCTAACATTTGCCGTCACGTTTGTTACATATTTGGCATCTAAAATGGCACCTTATTTATTCTAGAAAGGCACTTATTCGAATTATGACTTCAGTACCCTAACCTACTGATTCTACTGTATAGTACCATATGTTACCATACAGGACTGTATACCAATTGCACTACGGTAAAGTAATGTATACTACTATATACTAGAAATATTGTAATACTAATAAAGTATATTGCAAACATGGGCTTATAGCAACCAGGCGTATAGCAATGTACAGTGTTGTATAATACTTGAACAAATGTTGGTTTAATTAAGGAGCATTGCCTCATATGAAACAAACACAATCGCAAGGGGGTTGTATCTTCAATGCAGAAATTTTGTCATTGAAGACAGATATATGGCATCAATTTCAATTGATCCAAGATGAAAACATACAAAATACTATCATATATTCCAGTAAAAATAACATTTGACAATATATATAATGATACCTTTTTGATGCATCTATTATCAACAAATATATCTAGAGAAATATCCAAATATTACCAGTTATCATATAGATGCTAATATCCACTAGTGATCATTATAATTCCTAATTGTACTATTGTACTATTATACTGTCCAGCGGCCCTAACATGGAAGCCTAAAACCTAGCAAGGCTTGTGATAGCCCTAGACTGAATTTTGCAGGATAAATTTAATAATTTTCAGCCTTTTCTATTCTGGGCACTTCCTCATTATATGAGCAACCATGCAAGGCATGGAAATATGTCTCTAACTATCACATTCATCATTTTGCTGATATATCAAGAAAGTGCAAAACATTTGGCCGTACTCGAAAAGGAGATGAAATTTCCTGGCATAGACAAGACACCAGATCATGGTTACAAACATGATTCCACATCAGTGATGATGGCGATGCGTCGTTGTCAAAATTAATGGAAATATAATTCCAATGATTAAAGCAATTAAGTCACTTTTCTTATGGTGTTCATGTCCACTTGATCCCTCGCTACCTGTTGAATTATGAGCTAAGTTTGTTGTTTCTGGTAAAACATGAACTGTAGCAACATACAGAAAAGTTCCTGCAGAGAACAGCATTGCTAGCCCAGTACCATTCACACTGGAAAATAACTCCTTACCGCTCTAAATTATAAAGAAACAAATCCTTGTTTAAACATTGTATTATTTCCGCTTTTTGAGCTATTTGCAATGTACGGAGTTTAGATCTTACTTACTTGGCTAAGACATGTGTACGTTAAAATTGCTAAAACTGGTGCCGCCATTGAGAAAATAAATAAATGTTTTCTTATTTTATTCCGCTGCATTCCCTGACAAAATCAAAAAACATTTGATAGGATAACATTTAATAGCAGGAAACTGAAATGCACTTGTATGTTTTAGTTCTTGGGTAGGCTTGGGGAGCAGTATATACTTTTATAATAAGATAAGGTGATTCAGTGATTTATTTAGTAAAAAAAAACACATGTTTCAAAGCCTTTACAATGTAAGGCAATGTACTGGTACTAACCTGTTGTAATAAAAATGTTGTGAGCCCAAATGCAGCTGGAGCCTAAAAAAGTGAATCCAGTAGAACAATTCATAGTTAAATTTTCATGTATATGTCTTTCCAAAATTTTCATTTACATTCAAAGATAGGATAAAAACCTTTCTTGTTGGAAGCTATTTCCTACCTTGTGTAACATAATTGCAAGAAAAACTATAATTTCTACATCAGGTTTTGATGACACTGCGGCTGCTCCCATTGCTATACCATCAGCTATAAAATAAGGAAACAATATTGAAATCTGAAAATATCTAGTGAAACATTTACACTGTAGTAGCAAAGTCAAACCTGCAGCATGAACTACCAATCCTACTGTAGCTGTAAAATTTCCACGATTCTGTCTGCCATTGTTCTCTACATCTGAAGGAAATTATACGTGCTATTTTCTGTCGGCTGAGGCACAAAAGAGGAAGAAAATGTTTTTCATACACATTGCTGGGGGGATTATCTGCAGGGGGTCCAGGGGGGGAAAGTCAGTTTTTTGTTTTGCTTTGTATTGACCAACCAGACAATCTTACACCTATTGTTCTCTATAGCCAACTTTTAAATTCAAATCCGGATATATACCAGGAGTATGCGAATGTCCACCAAGGCAATGATCAATCAAGAGCATGAACACAAAACCCAGGCAAAGAGATATACCAATGAATGCATGAGGTTCAACTTCAGGCATTGATCCAAGGTTTGGCAAAAATCCACCGGCACTTGTCGCATGTGGGGTTGTTTTTGGTGCCATTGTAACTTCATGATGGTGTTCGTGATCTGGTAGAGAAAAACAGAGATTGGGATAAAGTTAAACTATCTTGTATGCAATCACATCCATATTTCAAACATCAACTTAATTACCACTACAATAGCAGGGTATGTCTTACGATGGCTGCTCTCTTCATATAATGCATTGACTCCTTCAGGTATAATAACTGCAAGCGCAGTGCCAACTAATAGGCCAGAGCCAAGAACAGTAACCATGTGAAGTTTGGACTGAAAACAGAAAGGGTACAAGTCACATTGATAATATACACTATATGAAACAATAAAGCTATATGCAATATCTGAATGTCTTAGACATTCAGATATTGTATAGCTTCATTCTTTTATTGAGTGAATGAGTTTATACGTTTTGATAGTAAAGCTTTTATTACAGTTGAATCAATTAAACTAGCCTAGCGGTAAATTGGTGTAAAAACAAAGTTTGGAGCAAGGCGCTTATGCCCTGTTTTGAGTCAAATGAACAAATTATAAACAAACCTCTGATAGACTGATTGACAATGGCAATGTGCCCGCTATGTAACAGCCAGTTAGCATCGCAAACGATAAAGACAGAATACCCGTGAAGTGTTCCATGATTCTACGGTAAGTCTGACGGTAAGTCTGTACGGTAAGCTCTACGGCTCATTAGTTATGGTACGACAAAGAAAAATGAGATAAAGGAATATCCGATTTTCAGAAATATAATTATCACTCGAATTATTATCGCTGCATTGCCACGTCTCCCATACTAAGTTCATCACATTCTACTTTCGGACGATTGGAAAGAGTTTCAATGAGCATGCACTTGGTCAGTTATTTCGAAAGCCTATCAAATTTAATACGTTATATTTCATATAATATAATGGCTTTACTTTTAAGGGATAGATATGGTCATTAAGGATTGAATTAAACAGCTGGAAGAGAAGAAAGAAAATTTTCCAAAAAATCGATGTTATTTATTCTATAAATTCTATATATTAAAGCTAGGTATATCCCGGAAAATTTATCCTATATACGCTTAGTTTGATAATGGTTGAATTTGAAGACTGAAGCAACAGAGGCAACAGTAGATAAAGACGGAGTTCTGCCTGTTCTGGCAATGGCCCATGGCCAATGGCTATCGCTGTAGACGATGCTGTTTGGGCATATTAAATGCTGTATAATGTGATATGCACCGGGATTTTCTCCAATGAATGAAGTTGAAGATAACAGCTGGGTGCGTGAATTCGACGTATCGAACCCTCAAAAAACGCATGCTGGATATACAGTATACAGAGTTAGCTCGAAGGTAAGTTTGTTATGATGATATCGAAGTTATCAAATCGACAAACACTGAATTGTTATTTTTCGAATGTTTATCCACTTGAGCAAACAAAATATTGAGACTTTCGTGATGTGATATTGCTACGTACAATAATAAACTTGAAAGACAAGTGACAGAAGTAATTGTTGTTCTTTTTATTATTCTCATTGTATTTGTGACAACTGTATGTATTATCAACAATTACCGCTAATTAACCTATTGAATGTGACATTTCAAAAGTTCCACTAACCATTAGGCGAGTTAGACAGAAACGAATGGGTGAATGACTAAATAATAGTGTAGTAGAGTAATACAGGGCAATTGCAGAAAATAACCTGTCATTAAGTGTACCATAATTTTTTTTAAGGTATATCCCAAGGGGTCACCAGAAGGAGCATCAGAGGTAATGTAATTACGTTCATGTTTGTATTCTGAAGTAGTGCATTTTTCATTAAAAATTATTTTTATCCATCAACAACCAGCATTGTTGCCAAACCAGTCAAACTTTGTGTAGCATTCAGCATTTGATATCAATACACAAAATGTGTATTGCTTACGTACCATTTTTGCTTCAAGCAATGTGTTGGTCAATGTCAAAACATTTTTTACTAGATCATTGTGTTCAAGAGGTATAGTGAAATCAGGGGATTGTATAAGGAACTGAAGACTATTTATGAAAATAAAAATGACAAGAAGAAAAAATTTCCGCGTTTTGCCAAAGGACATTACTTCGGTACGAGTCGAATGACTTCTGTTTTGTGTTTATTTCTCATTTCGTTCCTAATAAATCCTAGCTTTTAAATAATAGAAGTTCCCACTTTTAATTCCAACAACACCAATCTTGTATTTGCAGATCGATTTGATGAATCTGTGATAGAGGAAAGACAGAAACAAGCCTTGTCATTGCTCTTGTTTGCTGGAAATATTTCCTTTCTTTTCACCAGTGAACCTTTTGTGAAATTTTTTGAGGTAGGTTTTTTGACAACAATTCATTAGTGATTTTTTGTTCACTTCTATTATGGAAAAATCTGATCTCAACTGAAAATACTGGTCAACAAATTTATCATGAAAATTTACATCTTTTCCGAGCTATTGTAGCCATATTGTAAGCTAATAGGTAATTTGTGGTTTTTCATATGGATCTAGGGTGGAGTGGAGCATTCTAGTAGAGGATCATCTTACAGTGACTCAGAACCAACTGAGCTTGCATTTGATGTGAGCAGCGAAACTGAGCCGTGGACCCCTGAGGTGTATTTCAATGAGAAACAAAACAGTTCAGACGAGGATGAGACCATTTATGAAATCAGACGAGATCTTGCAAATACTGATTTATCACTGGACATGAAGAAGACTTCAGACGTGGATGAAAAGGCGTGGCTGTTTAGAGCAATGTCCATGTGCAGTGATGGGGAAGACATTGAAGCACTGGCATCTGAGGCTGGGTACATTGCCGATGATGTAAAAGAGAATAGTTTGATTACCAAGGAGGATGTTAGTGATGCTACTGGTATACGCAAGACAGATGTTTTGCCAAGTCAAGGGAGTGTGGACATGTTACCAACTTTACTTGAGAGTGATGATGGTGAGGAGGAAGTCTTTGTTGAGATTTTATCTCCAAAGAGGATTTCGACTCCAGCCAGCTCAGATACCCAATCACCATTCGACAGTTGTGTTGATGAGGAACCTGGGCTCATAGATGAAACAAAATGTGTAAATTCTCAGCCTTTAGACAGGAAATTAGACAGTGCTTCATCTAGTCAGGATAACATTGATACCCTTGAACAAGATTCTAACTTTATTAGCCCATCAAGGAAATTAAATGACAGAGAAGACGAAGATAAGGAGGCCACTAGCAATGGTGAGGATAGAGATCACATGCAAGATCTCAAGGAATCTGGCCTCGACAATGAGTCAGGTTCTGTGGAATGTAAAAACCAAGGCCACAGGCAAGTTGGTCGCACTGTCTCAAATATAGCAATGGCATGGATTGATCCAAAGAAGAAGGATTACTTATATCAAGCAGCTCAGATCATCCAGCAAGCTCTGTATTGTGAAGCTAATGAAATGTACGAAGATGCTTTCAATAAATATAAGATTTGTGTTGGAATATTGCTCAACGGTGTGCAACGTAAGTTCTTTAATTCACAGATTTAGGAGTATTGCCACCTCAACTTTAGGGAGGGAAATGTGCAGCCCAAAAGGAGGTGGTGTCAACTCAAATTTAGTGTGCTTGGGTTCAGAGCTGCTTGTACCCTACACACCATATCTGGCACCTCGCCTAATACCCCATACAAAACCACACTGGATCTATTCCTATCTGTAATGTTCTCTTCTCTTTTAGATGACAACGACGGCAAACGACGCGAGGCGGTTAGACGTAAAACAGCTCAGTACTTAGTGAAAGCAGAGTTTCTGTTTAACACTTATCTGAAACATGATGACAACAATACTAGTGACTGGTCAACTGAGGTAAGAACATTGCCGTTGTGATAATAGTTCGGAAAAACGTTCGTTCCATATTACACTGGACTCTCTCGAAATATTCCTATTCTTTTAGCCTCAAAATTCCGTTCAAGACATCACAGATCGGAGTATCGTTGATCGGAAATTCGGTCATCTGACATTGGCAGGTTTGAAAGTCATTGGCGTCGTTGGAAAGGTAGGGTTGAGTGAATTTGATGGTTAGCATGGCTAATGGAGCTATCTATCTATAACAGCTGTCCTCTGGACTTTTTTTCACAGAATATGTTGGTGGAATGTGCAGGGTTAGATGGTGTTTTTGTCATGAAGGTACGATCCTGCATATATCATTTTTATTAAACTGGTGATCTGGTTGATCTGCGAACAGGGTTGTAGACGTAGTCACCGCAGGTTAACCGTAATACCCCAAGTGAACCTCATGCTAATACCCATTACTAACATCTTTCGTATTTTACAAGGCACTCCACAAAACCAACGCTGTCCACCGAAGCAGTAGACAAGAACACAAACAGACCAGTAGAAGCTTCTCGAAGAAATACGTGAGTCGATTTTATCAGCTGTTGTCAGCTCCTTCGTTTTAAAGTGCTTTAACCTGGTATTTGGTTTTTTTCCAGGTGAGGTCAAACCACATGGTGAAATTACATCGTCATTTTGACACGAACAATAGTATATTCTTGCTACTTGAGTATGCCCCGGGTGGGTGTCTGTGGGGTCACGTGAAGACACTAAGACAACATTACTCTCCGTGTAATGAAATGTCTGATAGAAATGTTGCACTCAGCAACGATACTTTCGCTCATAATGAACATCACTCTGATGTGGACGAATCCGCTGAAGAAGAAACTGCGCCCGAATGTACATCAGTTTCTGGCGAAGACGGCACATCAAAAGAGATTGTTGGGAATGAATTAGGCGTTGAGGAGATTTCTAGGAATTCCCAAGGAAATAGTATTAATTCAGCTAGTGAACCGTTTCGCGAAAATGTATCGTTAAATAACGACACAGGGAAGGAAACTGCGACGAATGCAAATTGTTTACCAGAAGAGAGGACGTGTTTGAAACCGGGTAAAACATCGGTTGAGCAATCCGGTCAACCCTGTCAGATAACACGCAGTGACGTGTTGGGTTCTTTGGATCACGTGGCAAGCGATCGTTCCGCGATGGATAAATGTGTACAATACTGGATAGCAGATCTACTGCTGGCTATTAATAGCTTGCACTCGTGTGGGATTATCTTGAAGTAAGTTTTCGTCTTGGAAAAGGAATACTGTAGGTATCCACAAGCAACTTATAATATCGTCTTTTGTAGGGACCTGAAGCCATCCAATGTGTTATTAGACGGCAATGGCCGTGTCAAGTTGTCGTATTTCGGAGTCTGGGAAGAGGTTGACCGCTCTGTCGACCCAGAGGCTGTGACGCAGTTTTACTGCGCACCTGGTATGAGATATAATACTCGTCGACCTTTTTTCGACCAGTTTTTAAAATATATTTTATTAACAGCAATAGTTCAGATGATCGGAGTAATTTAGAGAGAGCTAATTCTCTGGTGACCTGGACATAAGGTAAAGAACCATGTTATGGTAAAATGCATCTCGCAATTTGTTTTTCATGCATTTTAGAAATTTCTCGTGGTGAAAAAATCACGTTTGCAACGGATTGGTGGAGCCTTGGTGTCCTTAGTTACGAACTCATAACTGGAAAGGTACCAATCTTAATATATAGATACTCTATTCCACACTCACTGTAATCGCTAAAATACCTGGAGCGCTAAAACGAAGTCTGTTTTCGGTATATTGTCAATTGTCATTGCTTAAAATTTACGTCGCGGGATCAAATCGTCAGACTGGTTTAAAATATGACGCTCTTTTACAGACCTTGTTTTCCACTCATCCTTGGGGTATCTATCCACATTCATCAATCGTCTTCCCAGTTCAAGAAATATCCACCGAGGCTAGATCCTTCTTATCTGGGGTAAGTAAAATGTTTGTTTCAATTTGAAAATGATTTACAAACCTATAATCGCGGTTTACGATTTACTTATTTCTTACATGTTTTCAGCTTATTTGCCATAACTCCAGAGAAAGATTAGGTGAGTTTTCAATGACTTTATCGTCGTGCTCCAGACTAGATATTATTCCACAATAAACTGTCGAGGTTCGTTTCTAAACTACCTGAGAAAGATATCTCAAACGCGGTCGCCCAGTGTAGGTAGTTTTCTACAATAAACTGCCATGGATTGGTTCTAAACTACCTGAGTTAGCATCTCAAACGTTGTGGCTCAGTTTAGGTAGAACTCTGCAATAATTTGATTTGGGTTGTGGCTGAACTGCATGTCCAAAAGAGGATACATCTCAAATGTGGTCGTCCAGTTTATGTAACATTCTACATCAGACTGTCTTGGTTTGTGTCTTAACTACCGCAAACATGCCTAACATGCATGGTGCTTCATTTTCTGTAACATCATCTGTTTTTCTCAGGCAGCGCTATGGACGGGGTGGAAGGAATCAAATCCCATGCGTTTTTCAATGGAGTGGACTGGAACGAACTTTCAAAATCAAGATGACATTAAAATGGTCCAGAGCTATGCCTTGGGATGGCAATTATTATTATGCGTTTAGGGGAAACAATTTGAAATTTTATAAATATAGGGCATGTCGAAATATACATTATTTTTAAACGTTTTGTAAAATAGTATCAAAGTTTATTTTACTGTAATTCTAAAATTCATTAAAAAATACAATTGTTGAGGCAAGTTGCATATAGTTTTTTACTGTCATGTTCCAGTCTCACGGAATAGTCTGATTTACTATACTGCCACTAGTTTCCAAAATGGTCTTGTTTTTCGTGAAATGCAACTAAGAATGTGATGCATGATAACGATCAATGAGGCTTATTATCTCATTATTTATTTTTAATTGCGTTCGACGCAAATTAATTGCGACGTACAAAAAGGCGGTAATTAATTAAGTGTTTTTAAGTTGTTAATTTAGTTCAATATATGTTTATTTTTTTCCTCCTTATAACAACCTGTCGGGCAGGTGCTATTTTCAAAAAAGCAATTAATATCATTGTGAAATATCATACAGTTAAACGTGACATATTCCCAAAGAAAATAAGACCTTCTCTCAAGTTTAAGTCTGCACTATAAATGTTGTTTTCCACGTACGTTTTAGTATCGTTCTTCAAATACCGTGACAAGGCTATCGTGTAAATATCACCTTGAGATTTAATGTCAGACTTGCGGTCGTTAGTTTACGGTTGTTGAGCCAATCACGTTACATTTTGCCTTGAAGATAACCTGTCGCAGTTTATACAAAAGGTGTGGTGTGGAAATTGAGCAGCTGTTTCGTGCTGGCATTTTCTGCTGCGCAATCACACGGTGAATATCGTTGGTGCATAAGAATGTGAGAACAAAATGCTTCAAACGCTTTTGTGTCGTTTTCTGTCCTTGTGGCTGGTACTTGGCTATCATCAGGTGAAGTGATGTGTCTTAGTGTTTATCGAAGATGAATAACGTTCGTAGACATGATATGGAAACCAAATACTAAATCGTATTTCTCTTTCATTCAGTGTTCATGGGCTGCCGTCCCGAGAAACACAAAACTTAAGTTGGGAACAAGCGTGGTGGAAAATGCATCACCATTTCCTCTCTTCTCCGGGTAATCTGTCTTTTGTTGTTACACATTTACCACAATCGCGTCTACATGCGCGAGAAAAGGTTTTCAACAGGGTTATTTTGTTAGGTCTTCCCCGTATGCCATTTGTTTGCCGGGTAGGTTCTGGGTAGGTATTTGTGTGCACACTTTCGCTTTTTATTTCAGACTCAGACTGAAAGTAAATATATTGTCACTAATGTCATTGTTCAATTAAAAGTTGTTCAAAACGCCCAATTTAAGTATTTAACATAAGCTAACTGCTTAATAACGAATACGCATTATACGAATAAGCTTGATACAGCAGGTACTTGTCTCTGAAGCAGAACTCTTGTGAATTGTGACTATGCATCAAATAAGTTCTTTTCATTGTTTAGCGACAGGGTAACGTTTCGTATTGCACTGACCCATACCAGCACATCGCAAGCGAAAGCGGTAGACGCTCTGTTGCAGCTAGAGATTCCTTTGTATCTCAAAGTAGTGAGTTATAGCAAAGGCAATGGCATACAATGGAGCAGCGTCGATACTGCGGAGAAATGGACGATGAAGTTTAAGGTATATTGCGTTGAATTGTGCCATTTGAAAGACTATGGGAGAATTATAATTAACAATTGATAAAAACGCTCCGCACAGGCGAAACGGCGCGAAATAGGACAGACGACGTTTCCCAAAAGTCCATATTTGGTATATATATATATAGCAGTTAATATAGTAAATTATACGTACACGTCACGATGAGAGGACCCATCACGTGACAGAGGACGATGCGATTTAAAAGAAAGTCAAATATCTTTCGGAATTTTTTTGGTTGGGATAAATTCCGTCTTCATCGATGACTAACAAAAATGAATCCGGATGAACGCAAACCATTCGCAGCTGATGGGGAATTTTTTTTACTTTCACAGTTCGACGAAATTATGATATCAAAGTCAGTTAATCTATCCCTGGTTGTTGATGTGGATCCACACTATATCGCTAATGCTGCGGCTAGTCATAGCGTGGCCATTCTTGTTGATCTCTGGTATTATGGTGAAGATGGTCCCTGTTCTAGGCCACCAGACATGTACAATGCAATGCACGATTTTGAACGCCTTTCGTTGGAAATTCAGACCACTACAGGTACCCTAGATTTTCTCTTGATTAAGTCAACGTCAAACCTTACTGTAGACACAGATTTGTTTATATCCATGGAGCCCCTAAATCTGAAATATTTCTCTATTTTTTGTTCCTTTCGTTCTCATTTAGCATGCGAGAAACGGATAGAGCTGAAGAGCGACCAGTATTCTGCTTCTTCTGAGTCGAGCAAAGGACCAGCAAAATATGCTTCATTTTTCCAGCCGGGGGTGTGGCAGACGTCGGACGCGATGGCAAGAGAAAAAAATCAATTTTTACAACTCGATTTATCAAGATTGATGCGAGTAACAAAGGTACAGTTGACTACCTGATTGTGAATAATCAGATCTAGAAACTAGGCTGGTTTACTTATTTAACTGCAACCTAACGGATCAAAGTTACATGGCAATATGTATATGTCAATTTGAGTTGCGATTGTGTTGTGTGTTCAAGAGCGATTTAATCAAGCTAAGAAGCGGAAATATTGGAAAAGTTTCCGTACAAACTAAATCGCAAAAGACTCAAAGACGAGCTGCTTATTTTTGAAAATCTTTTCTGTTAAAGATTGCGACACGTGGTCAGAAAACACCTTCGATTGCTTTCGTCCGAACGTACCATGTTTATCATAGCAAGAATATCATCGAATGGTTTTCATCCCGGGAGAACAACGATATTAAAGTAAGTTTATTATATATGTACTTACATGCATACACGGATTCCTGCGTCTATGGCACCATTGTGCTTGGCCATTTCCGAATGAACGTCAAGATAATTTCATTGTCTTCATGATTGTATTTGGAGGGCCGAATCGTCCCAGCACCAAGCACGGCTTGACCTGTGTAGTACAAAATATCACGGTCACATTTTTTTATTTGTTATTGTTTTTCGCCCCCAGGTTTTCCAGGCCAACACGGACGGTGAAAGCGTCGTGTTCAACCCCATGCCATCCCCGACTATCGCCAGATATCTCCGTATTGTGCCCAAGTCTTGGAAAAAACGCCAGGTGATGGATGTTGCAGTCTTTGGTTGTCAGGTTCATCCCAACGAAAATTTGGGTACGTTTCTAGGATTAACTTGCAATCAGCCCCGTTTTCCGTTGTAGTCAACACCTGACCTTAATTAAAGCTACGTGCTGCGATTAGATAGGTACCTTGGAATTACAACCAGTGGTTTGTTCTTCCTAAGCTACTAAAGCTTAACCTATGTCCTCTAAGCTACCCCACCTACCTACGATGCTTATGCTATGGAAACTAAGGTAGGCGTTTTACATTGCCATCATTATTCACGGATGGGATTTCCTTGTGTTTCAGTGGATTACTGTCCTATATTCGACTTTGAGAATGGCGTATCAGGCTGGACAAGCACGGGAACAGCGTTCAAAAATCAGCCAACCTATGGGGACAATTATAAAATAAGAACAGGAACATCCGCCGACATTCAGGGAAATTCATGGATCGCTACATACGAGGACCGTATGAGATCATACACTCCTGCTGGTGGTAAACAAGGCGATGCTCCTGTAGGTACCCTTACATCCCCATCGTTCCTCATCGTCGTGTCAAAATTCCGCTTCCTTATTGGTGGAACAAAGAACAATTCTGACGTCTACGCAGAATTGGTGATCGATGGCAAGTCGGTGCGTAAGACCAGCGGTAGTGGTGACAACATGACGGAGATAACGTGGAACGTTAAACAGTTTAGCGGGAAAGAAGCTGTTTTACGATTGGTCGATGATACAGATAAAGGACATCTCAATTTTGATGCATTCAGAGTCGATTGCTTCCTAGATGCAGACGGTGTGTATTCTCGTTCTGAAATTCATGTATTCAGTTTAGCTACAATTGTTTTGAACAAGGCTTGCACAAGCAATGAAAGACCGATCTTTCAAACTACAAACAAACCAACAGAATTTGAGAATTTTTTTCGGAAGACGGTAGACAGACTGTCAAGTTGCATGTTTTCCCAACCTTAAGATGATCTCTTGGATTCTTCAAATATTATGAAAAAGCTTAAGCCCATTGTCAACTAGTTTTCTTTTTCCAGCTTACGACATTGCTCTACCAAATCGGGCTGTCATGTTGAATCCGAGAACTCATTCCTTCTACGTTTGTGATTCATCCCATTTGAGGTATAGGATATAAAAATATACCACATTTGTTTGTTCATCTTGCACAGGAATGAAATCCATCATGCGTAAGAGAAATGCTTTACGGCGTAGTATCTTACTGTGTCTGTTATTACATTACTTCAGGAGTGAAGACAGTGCCCTGTGTCGAGTGATGAGTGGGCTAAGTGACACGTGGATTGGTAAGAATTTACATTACATTACTGATTATGTACCAGAACAATGGTGGGGTACCACTATCACCCCCAACAACCCTCCTCCCAATAATAGGTAACCAGGGTTACAACAGGCGACTGAAACGGAGGGTGCAAGATCGCTGAAAATAGACTTCTCAGATAGTCGGATTCTCAACCAACTGGCAACACCCATTGGCAACACCCTTTGGTGGAGCAAGGAGGGGTGTGCACCCTTGATTCGCCCGGTGCAAACTTGTCAAAGTGTTTGACTTTTTAATGTTGTCATTTCTTTTCAGGCTGGCTCATTCCTTAAATGTTCCAATTTTTATTGTATATAGATATACCGGACATCGTGGGATTACTGGGGGTAGATAAATCAACCAACCAATTGTACGCGGTATCCAAGGATCGTTACGTCATCACAAGCATGAATCCAGCCGGAGGAGACTGGAGGTATGCTAAGAAATCAGATTGGTTGAAAGTAAAACCTAAACCTAGCACGGTTCGAATGGAAGCGATTCCTTGGATAACCTTGCGTGACGGAGTGAATGAAGAGACGCTTAAAACTCTTGCTGATAGCAACGGTGATCAATGGAGAGGTAAACATGAAGTATTTCATGCCGTATCGCATTTCATTTCCAAGAAGCGAAACGGTGAATCGTTTTATAGGTACAGCCGTTCACACAATCTCTTAGGTTTTCAATGTTAGCTACTATTTAGCAAACATTTAGGATATTTTTCACCGACCTCGTATGATCTTTCATTTCAGCAACATCACTTGGCGTTGGGTATAAACCCGCTGGCCAGTCCTGGGTGAAGATCGCAGCGTGGCGCTGCCATGTGTTCGAGAATGCCGAGGATCCGTGTTTTTCTGAACCATGTGAACATCAAGCAAACTGCACGGCGATATCACGTGGTCAGTACAACTGCAGTTGCGTTCCTGGGTATACAGGTGTCAACTGTGAGACGGGTAAGTGATCTGAAAATGTCACCAAAGCTGATATTGGTGTCAGGCTCTTTCCAGTGTTCGCACAAGCCGACAAAGAATCCGCCAAAAAGATTTTTTTAAGATGATTCATGACATTGTAAATTGGTTGGAAATCCTACCAGCAAGAATTAGAATTAGCAGAAAACCTCCGTGACGTGATTGGTACCTCATGAAGTGAATTTCCCAGACATTTGATGTTCTACTTTGGTGTTCTTGCATAAAATATTTGGGAAAGTCAATTAAATTAAACAGTATTTATTTTGTTTTTAGACATAGACGAATGTGCTGAAGTCTTTTGCGAGAATGGCGGAACTTGTGTCCAGGGAATAAATAAATATTTCTGCCGCTGCCCATATGGTGTTGATGGAGACCACTGCGAGAATCGTAAGATGGATTGATTTTGTTTTGTGGGAAGCCCTTGTCTATAAAGACATGCAAAGACATGCGATGTGTTTTGTTATCTAGTGTTACCCGCGTGTCGTACATCTCCGTGTTTGAACGGGGGCAACTGTGTTGATGAAACACCGCCAGCTTTCAGATGTGATTGCACCAGTAACTACAAAGGAACTCTTTGCGAGATTGGTAAATATTTTCAATAGCATACCTAACCATACCATACCATATCTATCTATCTATGAAGTAATACAGTCAGTTGTGCACTAGAACCATAAAGAAGACGAACGAATCATGTGATTTCATTGAAGTCAACATGCGCGGCATCAGTCAGATTAGTCAGAATCCAAGGAGTGTTATCTGCTTATTAGAAGTTAAAGTTTGATTCGATTTGTGCCGCCCCGAATTCAGTAATTGCTATATTACGCAAGAAGAATGCCAAAATCAACATTTGATTGTAAGGAAATACTCGTCGAATCTGGTTTTATGTTGTTACTGTTTTTTTAGTGTAGTTTGATATGTCATGTAGTTTCATGACTTGCATCCCTTCCTCACACACAGCACCTCACGAATACTAATCAATATTTTAGAAGTTTATCACATCAACATAATTTTATATTGCTAATGTGTTTCACTAGTTCTTACTTTGCAAAAAACTAACCCAGAACATTTTTTACTCAACGCTCAACAGAAAAAGAGCCATGCCTAATCAACCCATGCAGTAATGGAGCTGTCTGTGTTCCAACTGATGAAGGGTATCGCTGTGTTTGTCAATACGGTTACACAGGAACCCATTGTACCACTGGTAAGATAGCCACATTACTGTGCCTCTACCACAATTGAAGTAAAAATATTGAAATACTATTTGTACTGTATTTGCACATCAATATTCTCCTCCCTATCTGTATCCTATCAAATCACTGACACTAGATTCAAAATTTTGCTTCCAGAATTTAATTTATATGCTTCTGAAAACTGAGCATTCGCGTCGCGTTGCCGCATCGCGTCCGGTCTGTGTCAAGCTTTAGGATATCATAGCTAGGCGTACCGCACCATTTACCAGACCATTACCGCAACAATTTTAAACAAACTAACCCCCTACGTTTTCTACAGGAATTGGGATAAACTTGAAGGCAGTGCAGACAAAGACTGTCACAGATGTCAACAGTTATCTGGTGATAAAGGCTCAAATACCCAGCCATGGTAAGTCATTCCTGGAAAACTGGTGCAAGGAGTACGAAAGACTTTGCAAAAACTACGATCGAGAACCGACTGGCTTCGGGCGATCGTACAACCATATCGAAGAATACGCAAGCTGTCAGGAGAACTACTTCTCGGTTATGGATCGAGCAAACCTTCTTGGCGCGAACCCGAACGAAAAAGTCGCCGCGTTAGCGCAACAGGTCGGCTTCACCGACGCAACCCCCAACAATTCATTTGCATTTAATGCGTGCGACGGCTCGAAATGCTCCAGTGTTTTACCAGAGTCCGGTTGTCACGAGGGCTTATCGTGCATCAGCAGATCTGTGCCAAATCTTGAGGTGTATACGGTCTGCATTGATCCCAATTCGAATTTCCGTACCGCTTTAAAGGTTTGGGGTGTTATCAACGGTGTTAGACAATTAAATTTATTGGTTACAACGCCCTCAAGGTATTCGAAATTGACTACATGGTGTGACGATTACGAGGCGCTTTGCGATCGCTATGGCCTGCGCGCCATAGGTGTGAGAGAGAATACAGGTTGTGTTGAAAAATATCGCGCTATTTTTAATCCAAACAATGCTAACGGGGAGGTGAGAGATGTCGTAAGCGCTGGCAGCGGGTTTTACTTCAAAGATTGTGCGCACTGTAACAGTAACAGTTACTCTACGTCAAACGCGGTACACTATTTTAAGTATTATTATAATAATTTCGGAGTTGCTTGCATGCAGCCGAATGGTATCGGCTTCAAAGTTTTGGATGATAAAAAGCTGCTGAACTACAATGGGAAAGATTACACGGTGATCAAAGTACAAGTCCCTTCGAACGGAAGTTCATATGACAAGAGTTGGTGTGAAGATTACAAGAAGCTCTGTAATTCCTACAAAATGGTGCCGCTGGGTTGTGGCAGCAATTGCGTCGCAAAATATCACTCATCGTTTACCACCTGTCCCATTTCAGGAAGCGAGGTCGAACAAATGGTGCGCAATGCTGGATTTTCAAGTGCATCTTCATCGAACACGTTTGTTTACAAGTCCTGCGAGGCTTGCTCTCATCTTGTCAATAAAGGCGAATGCCGAGCTGGGGATCTGTTCTGTCTTGATGACGCGAACCCTTATCGTGTGTTTTATACTGCTTGTGTTAAAGATGATGAGAAATATCTACCCGAGGACCTTGCTTTACGACTAAGAGATTTCAAATTAATTTCATATCAGTCTAGGCCTTATAAAGTACTACGATTGTATGATCTTCCCGAAGACGGTTACCCCATGTTGAGCAACTGGTGTGAAGAGTACCAGGCTTTGTGCAAGAGTGTTGGTGGGCGACCTGTGGGCTGTGGGCCTTCCTATACGTCCGACCCTAATATCGCGAATTGTGGAACTGCGTATGGAGCAGTTATGGATAATGACGGCCTGGGTTGTAATAACAACGGCATAATAAAAGATATGGTGAAGGATGCGGGATACAATCCAAGCAGTTACAATACCTTTATGTTTCATGACTGTTCATCTAATTCATGCAGTAAGCGACTAACTTACGGTTGCTATTATTGGTCATGTTCTAGCCATCCGGCGCTTTCCTGTCTTTCTACGAGAATGAGCAGGTATTCCCGCGAAGCGTACGCCGTATGCAGTATGGCAAGCAGCGCTTTCAAGGTCCTGGAGACGAAGGACAGCACATACGGCGGGCATGACGTACTCGTAGTCAAAGCACAGATTCCCAGCGACGGTTCCTCGTTCACGAGGAACTGGTGCGAGGACTATAAAGCTTTGTGTTACAACTACGGCTACAGACCAACCGGATGTGGCGTAGACTACGCTGACGACAGCAACTACGCATCATGCAGATATGATTATCAGTCAGTAATGCCAGCAGACAATGTGTATGGGTGTCCAGCTGTGGGCACGATTGCCCTCGTTGCCAATGCAGCTGGTTTTTCCAATGCGACAGTTGGAAACTCATTCGGGTTTTCGGACTGCAACGCGACCTGTGTTTCCACTTTGACAAACGGTGGTCCTTTCATTGATCTTTCCGTTACCGACGGCATCGTGTACACAATTTGCGAAACATCGGACAGCAACTTTAAAGTAATGTCGACGGTGCAGAGTGTTTACAAAGGCGGGGAGTATACGTTTGTCCAAGCGCAGGTGCCCCAAGATCTGATCTCGAAGCATGACACTTGGTGTACTGACTATCAGCGCATGTGTGAGTCGTTTGGTTTGAAACCAGTGGCCAGGAGTCAACTTGAGACAAAAGATGAATATGTGACCTGTCGAAAAAAATATGGAGCCATCAACACAAAACTGAACGAGGCAACCACCAGTTCCGAAATCCAAACCTTTGGAGGTCCTTTCCTTCGCTATTCACGACTAGATGATAATAGAAATTTGTTTGTTTTCGGACAAAAGTGCGACGACTATTGTTTTAAGGATTTGAAAGATGGTTATTATGAATACGCGCTGGAAGATATATATGTGTCGTATCTCTATCGTTACGATTACACCGTGTCCACCGTATGCGCTTCCTCAGACAGCAACTTCCGTGTTATTTCAACCAAAACAATCGCTCACCAAGGTCAGGATTTTCTTGTCATTATGGCCAAGTTACCTGAACATCGCATGTCGAAATACGAGAACTGGTGTCGAGATTATGAACGGCTCTGTCGTAGCTTTAGAAAAAGACCAACCGGCTGCGGTCTTTCATACCAGTGGTCTTCCAAACATCGAGCATGCGTAGATAAATATCAATCCGCAATGGCGATGAACGACCCGGTCGGATGCAACTCCAGTGAGACGGTAGCCAGCATAGCCAACTTGGCCGGATATAAGTTCGCGCATATGAACAATTCCTTTGCGTTTTATCAGTGTTCAAGTGAGTGCCCACAGAAACTGAGCAGCTCCTGTTCTGATTCCCTGCCTTGCCTCAATGACCGTTCGGATATAGTTTACACTGTGTGCACAGATTCCTCGAGTGCTTTCGAGGTCGAACGTGTCGTGCATACGAACGAGGGGCCAAAAACACACCCCCCCCCCTGCTTTTTATCGTCGCGACATTGAATGGAGTTGTCGATGCAAAGTCCGGGGACTGGTGCGAAGATTATCAAAGGCTATGCCAATCGTACGCTGCCAGACCGGTGGGATGTTACTCCAGCAAGACCAATGACGATCTCACCAAATGCGAAACAAAATATAACGCGGTACCGTTACAAAGCGATGTGCAGCGATGCGGAGGTGACGGAAAAAATGATATTGACCGTTTGCGGGGCTTAACGCCTGATCTCACCGACGGAGCGTATTTCAAGTGTCACAAATGTAAGGAAGGTGACTGCAAAAAGAGTTTATCGCAAGACTGCCACGCTGCTTTGAACTGCTTGAAAAAGAGCGATTGGGTGTACACGACCTGTTCACGTGCTTCACATAACTTCGACATCATCAATACGAAGACAACATCTCACGGAGAGCTCTCGGATATTCTCGTCGTCAAAGCCAGTGTCCCGGCTGACGGCCGATCACTTTACGATAGCTGGTGCGAAGATTACACGAAATTGTGTTCAACGTATGACAGGGTTCCGTTAGCGTGCCCCTTGCGTCCTGATTATACAGCTGAGTCAGCATATCGTGCTTGTAACAAGGAATACAAAGGTTACATGATGAGGAACTACGAGCTTGAAGGAAACGCAACATTATCTTGCCCGTTGAACAAGCTGATCTCGGACATTGCTAAGAAAGCAACGTTTAATCAAGTTTCGCCGACCAACACGTTAGGCCTAAATACGTGTCTTTCGTGCTCGAAAACATTGCAAGTTGTTAATGATGGTGCGTACTTATCCATGAGCTGCCTTCCCGGTGCCACGTGCACGCCATGGAATACAACTTTAGATAGGAAAGTGTTCTTGTTATGCGTGAAGCCGCCGCAGGTGAACAGCACGTTCCATATCGACGAAGTAAGATTTGTGAAACACAGAGACAGGAAGTACGCTTCCGTGCGTGTCAGCATGCCGAATGGTGAAGAGTCGATCCATAATGACTGGTGTACCGACTACCAGAAGATCTGCGAGTCCCTCTCCATGAGACCGATAGCAGGCGGACGAAGCTACGAACGATTGATGGGTCGGCGAAAATGTAGAATAAAATACAATGCTGTGATGCTAGAGGAATTCGGTCTTCCCAATTACGATCTCATCGCTGACATTTCCCGCGCTGCTGGCTTCAATTACAACGAGGACATGGTATTCTCCTTGAATGATTGCAACTCGTGTTCGAGAAAAATATTTACCAGTGAAGGCGTGGATAAGATTACTTCCACTTCCTCTTTCCAGTACACTACAGCATGCACGTATTCGGATAGCAATTTTGAAGAACTTCAAAGGCGAAACGTTACCGTGGATGGCAAATCGTATCTTGTTGTCAAAGCGCAGCTGCCCGCCGACATGCTGTCCTCCCATAAAACGTGGTGTAAGGATTACCAAATGATGTGCGAATCTTATGGAAAAAGACCGTTGACGTGCGTCGAAGGTACCGACTTTCAGACAAACTACAATTCTTTGTTTTTGACTCATAGTTGTGACTCAAGTATACCTAAACAAGCTGGATTTGCTGATGCGACCGACGAAAACACATTAATGTTCAAGTCTAACAATGGAGCAAAATGTTCCAGAAAGTTGCCCAGCGCGGACGGTCCGTTTGGGAGACTAAACTCTAATGTTCCGCACCGTCTCGTGTATGCACTTTGTCTAAACTCGGCCACCGCGTTTGAAGTTCTGGCGAAAAAATGGCATGATGAACAGAGCAGCACCTATCTGTTTCTCCAAGTTGCCATGCCAGAGAACGGGATAGCAAATTACAACACCTGGTGTCACGATTACAGAGAACTCTGCAGAGAGTATGGTATGAGACCCGTTTCTTGTAGCGAATACTACTGCCGTACTCAGCATGGGGCTCTCCGGAAACTAGATGACGTCTGTCCTTTGGATAAGATGGTTAGCCTTGCCGAGAAAGCACAAATAACTGAGGTGAAAAGCACAACGAGCTTCCTGTATTCTTTTACCTGCAACACAAATAACTGTAAGAAAGTTGTTGAAACCCGAAACTGCACGGCAAGAGGCAAGAAAATCCCGTTGTGCTTCGACCGTGACGAAAATAACGGAGAATTTACGACCGTGTGTTCATGGCCAAAAGAGCAAACAAGATTCTCGACTCTCGACGTGAAATACGTGAGATACCTCGGAAGGCCGTATACCGTGATACGTACGCGGAAGACGTCCAGAGTTTCACTTCAAAATAATTGGTGCAACGATTATAAACATCTCTGTCGATCATTCATGCAGAGACCTCTCGCTTGTCCAGCGAGGTACAATACCGACGCAGAACATCATTTGTGCCAGCGGAATTACGAAGGTGTTTCCATGGAAACTGATGATCACGAATGCCCCATGAACAAGTTCGTCGCCGAATTAGCCCAATATGCGGGTTTTTCGCGCGCAACACCACAGAATTCGTTTGCATTCCGCGATTGTAAGGATGCCTTCTGCAAGAACCAGTTACCAACTGGTGAATGCAGCGAGGCGCTATACTGCGTAAACATGTTGGGCGACCAGGAGGATCTTTACACAGCATGCGTCAGTGGTGACAGTGCCTTTAACGTTCGTCGTTACAAATTCAATGTGAATTACAATTATGACAATTATGGCGTGATAAAAGTGACTATCTCGGAAGGCCTCAAGTCCGCTCACGAAGACTGGTGCAAGGACTATCAGAGATTATGCGAGTCCTGGAATATGGAAGCCGTGCAATGTGCAACTGGCCTCGAACTAGCCTCGGATATATGCTCGATTAATTACGGTGCTCATCAAAGACTATCGTCATGCGCAGCTGACGCAAAAGCTATTGCTACCAAGGCTCAATTGGGCAGCGTTGCTGACAAGACGGCTCTGGTGATGGATGGTTGTAAATACTGTTCAAATATCGTTACAAAAACTTGTTCCTCGTCGCTAAACTGTCTGCGTTCGGGCACACTGTTTGCTGTTTGTGCCATGCAAAAACAAGTTGACGCTTTCAAACCTGTCCAAACACGATTTGTGAACTATGGCAACACGGCCTACTTGCTTATTCAAAGTTATCTCCACAGTCGACAGTCGCACAGCTTTATGAATGCTTATAACAATCTCTGCGAGCAAATATATGGCTATCAACCGATTTTATGTGGCAGGGACGCGGTTGACGGGTCATCAAGCTATAGATCATGTCGTGATAGCTACCCGAATGCCTTGTCCCATCAAGGTAATGATTTTATTTGTCCACCGGCAAAAACAATCGCATTCATCGCTCAAAGATTTGGATTTCATCGAGCATTGCATTCTTCTTCATTTGCGTTTTATCAGTGCTCCCATTACTACTATTACCGCTGGAGCTACGGTTATCAGCTTTCAACCAGTTCCTGTAACAATCGGGTTTGGTGCTTAATGTGGAATCAATATTACATGCTCCATTACACAATGTGTGCCGTACCAAAACTTTCACCTTCCCTTGGCTTTCATGTACTGGATAAAAAAGAACTCATCTTCCTCGGAATAAAATATGTCGCATTCAAACTATCGCTAGGTAAGAGGAAATATTTTATATCCAGGGCCGCTTAAATTGGTGAGGAGGCCGGGGCAAGGGAAGAGGTATAATCATACACTAGAAATGTATGCTACCCGACCGAAAAAAAGAATGTACTGAAGTGAGAGGTAATCCCCAATCATTGGTAATAGCTAATAAGTTGGTTACTGTAACAGACTACAAGGTAACATGTTCCTGGCTGTTTTAGTGTTGAAAAACCCTCTTTTGATAACCCTGCCCGAGTTACCCTATTCCATAAACAATTTTATAAAAACGCTTTATTCCACAGGCACTTCGGGCGTTTCTGCTACAGATAACTGGTGTTATGACTATCGTGAGCTCTGTCGAAAATATAACATGGTTCCTACTGGCTGTGGGACGTCGAAAAAGAAAGAGTCGGGATATTTACAATGCAGTTCAAAATATCGATCGTTTATGTCGCATCGAAACGCCGTAGGTTGTGGCAAGAATCCTGCTCCTTCGTCTCTTGCCCGTCGCGCGGGCTTTCCTGATGCCAGCGAGCAAAATACATTCGTTTTCAACGACTGCAGTAAATGTGCCAAGAATTTACCACCTACAAGCTGCGATTCAGCCCTCACATGCCTGTACTCGGAGGTCTTTAATAAGCATGCGTACACGCTGTGCGTAGAACGGAAGTCTGGATTCGAGTACGTGGCTAAGAAGACGACGATCTACGGCGGTGTTGAGTATTCAGTGGTAAAAAGTGCACTTCCGGTTGACAACAGACCGCTGTATGATAACTGGTGTGTGGACTACCAGAAGTTATGCTATTCCGTTGGTGCCTTTCCTGTGGCGTGTTCACTTGCTTCTGGTGTTCAGGATTTGCGCAGGTAATGAAAAAATATCCATCGTCTCTAATTATATTCTATTCTATATAATCTATTTTTAATTAAGTTTAATTTATATTTGATGTATACGCTTGCATTTCTGTACTCTTGTATCACCTCTTGTGTGATATAAAAGTATCACATCCTCTCAGTATCCTCTCATCCTTGCCAGGAGCTGACTTATCGATTAGTGTGGCAAAATTAAGATTTACATTGAATTTTGAAACGTAGCCAACGTGGTCGTAATAAACACATTGTCTTTTCAGATTCGCAGAAAAGTACGGAGCAATAACAGTGGAAAGCATACCTTGTCCTCCCATTGCAAAGGTCCTCGCTATTGTTAAAAAAGCCGGTTACAGCAACGCAGTTTCTGGCAACTCGTTTGTATTCACTGGTCAATCCAGTGCAGAGTGTTCCAAAGATCTTCCCACAGCGCACTGCACCCCCGGCCTGGATTGTTTGAACCAACAGTTCCGTGAGGTGTACGCCGTTTGCACAAATCCCACGAATTTTGCCGTGTCAGACGTGCGCACGAGCTGGCATTCTGGGAACACGTTCACGGTGGTTGAAGCCACGTTGCCCACGTCGGGTCTCTCTAAAACCTCGTCCTGGTGCGAAGATTACGCAACATTGTGTCGCTCCATGAAGCAACAGCCGGTGGTGTGCGCTGGTCACGCAGACAGCAAGCAGTACGAAAAATGTCGCGATAATTATCACGGGTATTTATTATTCGATAAATACAATTGCAACACGGAAAAAAGACTTTTATACCAGATTGCACAATTCGCTGGTTTCGCGAAAGGAAACTTCGGCAACACGATCGGATTTGCGTCGTGCGCGTCTTGTACACGTGAACTGCACGTGGGACCCGAATGCGACTCTTCGTTGAACTGCGTTAACAATCAGACGGCGGATAGACTTGCCTATGCTGTGTGTTTGAGAGAAAGCGAACACTCTGGCTTCCAAGTTGTTGAAACGAAAGACACCGCAACATCAGAAGTGGAGTACAAGGTTGTTAAAGCAATAGCATCGCCATTTGGAAAATCAAAGTACGATACGTGGTGTAAGGATTACGAAAGGATGTGTTCCAGCCTTGAGATGAGACCCGTACGATGCTCTTCGTCGGATGGAAGCACTTGTCCTCTGTTACATAAAGCGCTAGTGTCACCGCAAGAGAATTTCGATTGTGAGGATAACGCGGGATTGCTTAAGTTTGTGAAGAGCGTGGGGTATTCAGAAGCCACCCAGAACAATACATTCATCTTCGGCGCATGCTCGACGGCTGAAAAATGTCGCAAAACGTTGTTGGATAATTCTTGCGATGGTTCCATGAACTGCCTCAAGAAGCAGCCCGGTTCACGCCTTATCTTCACGCTTTGTGCGCGCGGACGTCACACCAGCTTCAGGTACCTGGACTCGTCTGTGCATGTCCACCAAGGTATACACTTTCTCGTTATCAAGGCTTCTAAGTTTTCTGACGAATCGAAGAGCATCAATTGGTGTTACGATTATCGTAACATGTGCGTATCATTTGGAAGGCAACCAATCGTCTTCGGCTCGTTTGGTCAACATTTCAACAATGACAGAAATCAGTGTTTTGCGGCATATAATGCAACTTCAACCATGGTAAATATTAATAGTTATCAAACAATTTTGAGTGAAATGAGTATTCCAGTCTCAAACTGTCGCGTGGTGTATACGTATTGTAAAAACTGCATCAAAACATTTCAACATTGCCCATTTCGTGCCTGCAATTGTGATCTGTTTTATTTATTCTGTCTTTAAAAATTGACATTATTATTTATTATACATTACTCTGGATACTTCATCGCCTGACGAATGCCGTGTTTGGTAAGGCGAATCGCTTGCGCTGGAACTCAGTGCTTGCGTTTTGTTTTGCTATAATATCTTTGGCAATACAGAATAATTAACACCACAATATCGCACTATAATTCTAAATAATTAATTCTAATTACAACACGCGCTTCACAATAATTGGCATTACCATGACATCAGAGATGGTTTTCAAATGTCACAGCGAACATGTTTGTGCACACGTCAGGGGCTTATTCAGAGGCCAGAGCTGTGATTTTTCAAATTTGCAGAAATATAGCGGGCTGATGACGTATAATTCTACATTTATTATAATGGTAGTTCTGCTAGTTCATATTCATTAATAACATTATAATTGTAACTATATATATAATATATTCCGTACAGATAATTTAATTTAAGTCATGTGTAATTTTTTTCCATTTCCATTATTAAATTATGCACAAAATTCATGATTGTCTTTTTGTGACTGAAAACGTCCTATGCTGCGGTCCTTATTCTCGACAAATAAGTGCGCTTTATGACTTTTAGAAAATAGTCATTTCATTGGAGGAAGGACTCTTTTTCACTGGATTGCAACAATTAGATGTGACTGTATTGACGCGCGCACCTCTGACATTGGCCGGTTGCGGAAAGAATGCTAATTAGTACGTCATATACAGCGAGGAACGCGTCTTGATCAGGCGTAGGCACAAAGGAATGTGGCGAGGGTACTGAAGATGCGAAAAGCGGCGAAAATTTGCAAACTATTGAAACTGCTTTGTGGGGAATGTTGTTGCTGCTGTTGTTCGAGAAAAAAGCCAACAAAACGCAAAAATAAAGACGATGACTACTATTATTATGGGGATAATGGCGATTATTACTGTGATGACTATTACGACAATGAATACTATGGTGACGCCTATTACGAGGATAACGACTATTATTATTATGACGATACCGAGTTTAAAAGAGATCCGAAAAGTAGCTATAAAAAGAAACCACGAATGCCCGAACAGCCTGATCTTCCACCGAGAAAGAAGTACAATTCCAATCAAAGGAGATATTTATAATCTTTGAAATTAGTAAAGTAACCTTTAGCCAAACTGACAGTTTTAGTTTAAGTCATAAAAAGAGCATTGTATGTGTTAGCTGCGAAACGCAGTGAACTGCTGAATGTCTGTATGAACTAAATATTACTTGAAGTACAACGGTAATGAATAATGATACTCTTGGCGTATTGCAAAATGGCCAACTCTCTCTCACTTCAACTAAATTTTCTCATAGAAAATACTCTACGATACTGAGACTTTTTTAGGATTTCAACGTGACTTCATGCCGAAGTTTCCGGTTTTTCAGTTTTTTCAACCGAAGTACTCGAGGGCTAGAGTCACATCTTGACTCTTGAGCTAAGATAACATGAACTGTCGAGTGTCGATCGTTTATAATATAAACAGCATTCAATTTTGATGTATGTTCTGTAGCATATTGACTGACAACGTCGAGACAAGCAAATAACGTACTGTCAGACTGAATGTTAGCTCAATAGTCTTTGAGTGGCAGTGAAATGAGTGCATGCATCATGCAGCACCTGGCTCTCTCGCCATTTTCAACTTGAAGCAAATATTTCTATCATTCGGTGCGAAATAGTTATGGACATCGAAGTTAGCGTTACTCATTTTTTGCAGTTGTTTTATATGGACTCTACCAGCTTAGGTTAACTGTTAAATTTTCAACCTTCCCGCTTCAGAAAAACATCAAAACAGTACAAAATCTTCAAATACTGAACGTCAAATGTTCTTTCGAATATTAATGCAGTTGATTTCGAAGCCTTATTTTTACGCTCAAATTCGAATTGACGTCTTTTAAAACCCTTTTTGAAGTTAAAGCAATGGATTATGTCTTTAGAAAACGACATGCTAAGCTCATATACAAAAAAATGCATGCTTTAATGTAGTCAAGTGAGCAATTATGGAGTATAGACACGTACCAGTTTAGAACATTTCAAAGCCTATAGATTATAAATCGTTCCCCTTTCGCTGTTCAATCCTGAATTGTAATTCTTTGTGCCTTTGATAAATATTTCCTGGTGACATCCATTGGATCTGTCGTTATTTTTCACATTTTGTTTGGTACAATGTCCGGGTTTATGTTTATAAAGCCAATCAAAGTTAGTGATTACCAGTCCCCAAACGACTTTGCTCCTCTGGGTATATCTATGGGTGGTAAATTTTGGGTGGTATATATCTCACTGTAAGTATGTGTGTCTGGCCCCCTTTGGCACCGGGATGATTACCCCATTCCCCCACCCAGATTTGTAGAAGTGAGCACGCCCCAGAAATGGATTAGTTAATGAACAGAGTTGCACCTTCATCCAATGCTATCTATTTTTTGGTGTTACCAGAAAAGAAGACATTGGTGGTACACATATGTTGCATACCACTAACTCTGAGAAGGGGGGAGAGTAAGACCAAGATTTTTGGTCTATTTGTTTTGACCCCACCCTACAAACAATACCCTGCAGTATCATATAGTCTAATGTGTTGTGTATTACTAAGGATTTTAAACATAAAAATAATCTACTTCAATAAATTTGTTATATAAATACAGGAAATCAACAAAACTACAGAGGATCTGATATTGTTTTTACATCAATTTCACAGCCAGACATGGCCATGTATAAATTTATTAGAATAAAGGCTTAGGAGGCTTTCTTCAATTTGCCTGATGCCATTGCATAAATAGTGCCAAGAGTGATTCCAATGCCAATGACAGAAATACCCATTGCAATGTTGTAGATCATCTTATCCCGAGAACCGCCTCTTAAATGTACAGGAATAGAATGGTCACCTGCCTAGAATGAAAAGATAGGTTTGACTGGATGACCAGAGCAATATTCCCAGACTTCAAATTCAGGTGCTTGGATTAAGAGTCACCTGGAACAACTTTTGATACTTCAAGATATTGTTGGTTCGGTTGGCAATGGAAAAACTCCCGGTTGAGCCAGATGATGCCATTACTGGGCGAGGTATTTCTGGTCGAAGCTCTGTCAGAACCTTAAAAAATTCAATAAATTAGATAGAGTTGAATATGATTTCTGTGAAATTTTAAGAGGAAAATATTTTGGTGAACCTACAATAAGGGTGAACCTGCAAAAATAATACTGGAGGACCTGTTTAATCTATTAAATGGTGGTTTTAAATAAAAAAATGTAAAATCTCAAACGTAGATTGCAGACTATCTTAATAATAATATAGAATCTATATAAATAAATTAAATATACTATTTAAAATAAAATTGGTATTAAAGTAAGGCAAAATAACTTACCTGTGGTTGGTACGCGGTGAACGGCTCCGCGGAACCTAAACGACCACTGAAAGAGTTGTGTTTATAAAACATCAGAGGAAAATTTCACAAATATTTTGTGCAAAAAAACTTTTCTTCAAAAACAAAAATGGCGACTTTAGTTTAGTTACTAGGCTCCGATCCGGCGCGCGAAAAGTGAAATTCAACGTTGGTCGGTCAATATTATTTCAGGACTTTTAGTGTGTATATTTTAAAAATATTCCTTATTTTATTCGTGTATTAAATGAATTACACAAAACGGTGATTTTTTTAACAATTTGTCAAAAATAACACTCAAATACTTGTACTTTAGAATGGCGTAGATAGTTCCCCACCCCTTCCCCCCAAAGTGGATAATATTGTTCTTTTCCAAATATATGGAGCATGTAGCTGGTTCGGACAGGCTTTTTTATTTTCATTTCAAAATTTTTCAATACATAAACATGAAAGTGACGACGAAACGCAAAGCAGGTTAGGAATGAGCGTTTAAAAGCACAAAAACCGTCGTGTTAAATGGATATCGATGAAAGCGATCCGGGTATATTTGCCGGCAATGGCGAGGGACAGGCAGAACAGGAAGATTTATCCAGAGATATACTGCCAACATTATCACGCCAAGGTCAAGTCACGCAGATCAAGAAAGAAAAGAAACGTAGAGTTTCATTTCCTGACGACGATAGACTCGTATCCAAGTCAGTAGAGCCGTTTGATCCATGGGCAAATGGTAAACAGCATCTAAAGTTTAGTTCTATATATTTAGGTGTTACGTGTAACTGCAATAATTATCATCAACATTCTTTTCATACGTAATTTGACCTGAATGAATTGTATCGGTTTTGAGAGCAGGCCACTTGCTATTGGAAGTTTGATGTAATCTTGAAGTGTGTAAGATGCTGCCAGTTATTTATGCATGTGTGGCTAAGTCCTCTTAGTATCATATTAGTTTGGTTAAGACTAATCTGAACTTTGCCTGGGCAAGAGCTACATACATTGCTGGTAGTTTGCATATTTGATACATGTTTTGATGCTTTTATTTGATACATGTCATTGTCTCGGTCACTCAATATGATCACCATTTAAAAATTATTTGAAAATCTCCTTTGCTCACTATTATGTAGATTGATAAAACTAACAATGTAATTATGAAATTTGGTCTTGTTTCATTTAAGTACCAGCTAGTCTAGTGGTGCAGCATATTGCTGACCATGGTCCGGTTGTATGAAAGCTGGTTAGGGCTATCCACCGGATAGTGTTTCAACTTTGAATAAATCTTAGTATCCCTAAATGGAGAATCCTCTTGAACAATTGTTGGTTCCAAAGCTGAAACATGATTGTTCTTCAATCATTTTTAGAGCGGTTCAAAAAATCACTATCCGGCTTTCATACAACCAGCCCCAGAAACACTGGGAAGTGAATTTTTTTGGCATGGGACAGTTGAAGAATAGTGAGAATAACTGCATATTTCATTTTCATTTAGCCCTAAATGCAACATCAACAGAAGTCATCAAGGCATATATGAATGCTTGTGCAAGATTAAGAATCAAGCCAATTGATAAGCTAGTTAAACAATTAAAGGTCGATATTTCATTGTATATTTCTTTAGTCAAATTGAATGCACATTAAATCTTTCTGCTTTTAACCTTTTGTAGGAGCATGATGTATTTCAAAATAGAATGGATATTTTAGATTTTAAAGGCTAGTTTGATATTTAATTTTTATTGATTGTGATTTCAGTACAATGAATATTTATGGCTTAAATGTTTAGGTGCTGATTTGCATGCTATTGTTTGACTTGTTTCTATACAATATCTCATAATCAGGCCTCTCTGATACCTCAAATTTATTTTAGTTTTGATATATTTTAGGAATCAAATTAGAAATAAAAAGTTGTGAGGCTCTGGAAGAAGTATTTAAAAGAGTTCAGGTGCACACACTGGATATTGAAAATACAAGTTTAGAAGATGAGGTATGTGCAGTCTTTTCATCTCAACAGTGAAATAAGTCAGACCATGTTAACATTCAAAATTATTCAGTGATATATTTTAATAGAACCAATATTTTGTGGTTTTGATCATATTGAACGTCCACATTACGGGATTGTCATTCTTCGTTTGTCCTCAAGGAAAGGTCCAATATGAAACACTTGATTGTGAAGAAAAGTTGCTTAATACATGTTCATACACCGCAATATTTTATCAATAATCCAGCTCATCCCCATAGGCTTGATGTTGTTGTAATCTGTTTACTAGGAAAATATTTCATTCATTCTGTTACACTCTCTATCTGAGAATTGTTGAAAATATAATTGTAATCTGTCAAAACCATCACAGTTAAAATCTTTCCTTTTTAGGGAGCTATTGCTATAATAGAAATGATTGAATTTTATCAGTCAGCTCTTCACGTCTGCATTGGATACAATCCAAGAGTCAAAACCAGAGGATGGCAGATATTTAGCCAGATGGTTAGAAAGGTAAATGTGACATGCATATGCCACAATAAAGGATGGAAGATTTTTATATAAACAGTCAAATTGTTTGAAAATGAGTACCAAAGTGAATCTGCATGACTTGCATATAATAAAATACTAAAGTGGGTACATCTAGATAAATTGCAAGTTGATGCATTAAATAATTCTGTATGAAATTCTCAAGTGTTTATATAATTTTTAAACCTGTTTTCCTCTAATGCCAGGCTGATTTTATTGAATATATTGATGTACGTCATTGTTGCTTCAATGATCCTTGCATGGCTGTGATGGCTCGTTCGTTAAAACTGAATACAACGTTAAGAGTTGTCCATCTGGAGGGCGATAATTTATCTGGAAAATTATTACTAATATTATGTAAGTTATGTGATCCTAAAAGTTTATGCATTACTAAATGTTTAGTTCACACAGTCCATGTCCTGTAAATTTAATTTGTTTAACCACTAATTCTGACTGAAATTTTTCATCTTTTAGGCACAGGAATCAAATTCAATCAATCTGTAAGTGAACTATTTTTGGGAGATAACTTCTTGATTTCATCTGATGCCAGCACCCTGTCGGCCATGTTGAGATCAAATTCAACTTTACAATTATTGGATGTTAGGAATAACATGTTGCAAGTAAGTTGTCACATTCTCTATCCATCGCATGCTTTTAATTTGAAGTTTTATTTTCATGACCGTTTCTGACCAAGTCAAAATATTTGTATCCAAATATTTCAAATATAAAATTTGTTCTCTTTTTATCATGTGCGGAGTGATATTTGAGTATCTATTCAGAGTGTCTAAGTCTTGTGCAGTTAGAAACACATTTCTTGACCAAGCAATTCTTGCAATGCTATCATTGCAGTGTATTATATTTCATAATATCTATAAACCATCCCACCTCAAGGACCAAGGAACACAACATTTATGTGATGGTCTGGCACAGCAGAAATCGTCAGGAGTTAGGACCTTGGTGTTGTGGAATAATCAAATAACAAGAACTGGCATGATTTCCATGGCAAATCTTCTGGTCAGTCGACTACAGTTCTATCCAATATGGATATCCTTTTTCTAATTTCATGTCCTTACCTGAATTTCGATTCCGTTTTGTCGGTCCATTATTTCCCTGCGAATTCTTCTGTGAAATGTTCCACTTTTCAACTTCCAGGCGACGACACAAAACATTCAAACTCTTAACATTGGTCACAATCGATTAGGAAATGACGGCATTCGCAATCTGCAAATAGGATTGTTGAAAAACAGGTCTTTACTTCGGCTGGGATTATTAAATACGAAGATAACTGCTGAAGGTAGGTTCTGAATTTCGTAGTCTCATGATAATTATTAGTACACTGAACTAAATTTTACGTCTGAACTAAATATGTTTACCTGAACAAAACGATTACCCACCGCACCTGGGTTTGTTTACACCATCTGTCCTCGTCGTATTTTACCACGACGATTTTACCCTCAGGGAAGAAGGAGGGTTGCAAAGAGGTGATTAACTTCTCTCTGGTTTGTTCGTCTCGCTAGGCGCTGTGGCTCTGGCTGAGTATGTTGCCGACACGCGGACGTTGTTAAGATTGGATCTTCGTGAAAATGACCTGTTCGTGGGAGGTTTGATGGCGCTCACTTTAGCTGTGAAAATTAACGAAACTGTCGTGAGAATTGATCTGGATAAAGATCTAAAGAAGGAACAGGTCAGTTGTCATCTATAAACTTAATCTAATAAAGACGGCTGATCCTAATCCAATCAAGGATTAAATTCGTGTATTGAGGATTTGCTGAACACGAAGATAAGACCTAAAGTCACGAACAGTGGAACTAAACATGTTTTATTTCACCAGGGTATGGAGAGAACACAGACATCGCTGCTTGTTGACATTTATCAATATTTAGAGAGAAATAAGAAATTAGGCGTTGAAAGAGAAGAATTGAGGCGACAAAACGACCTTGAAGCTGAACAACTAGCAATCGCCCAACGTCTTGAATCAGATGACAATAAAGACGATGTCTCTAATAATGAAATCGAATCACATTGTAACAGTTCTGGTCATAATCCAGACAGTGACGTCATTGCTGACGTTGCACCTGGTGATGACGTAACGATTGAGAATGACGTCGCCGATAGCAGTTGCAACAGTGTTGTAGATACGGGAGATAGTTGTGGATTTGAAAATCACGTGGATGGTCGTAGTTCACGGTTTATCGTCAGTCCCGTGCGTGATGATAATACGGAGTTGTCTTATGAAACCGAGCAGCGTTGTTTGCAAGGAGCGAGTGAACATTTTAACAACATTATTGATGAGCTACCTAATGAAACTAGCCAGGATAGTTTGAATAAAGATGACCAGCTTTTTAATAATGCCGAGAATATTGAAGGTACGTCAACCGGCGGTGTGATAACAGTGGATATTCTCTATGTATGACCAAGCACGCGACATGCCAGGGACCATACGATTTTTGTAATTTTCACTCAAATGCTGTCCCAAACGTCATATAAACATTTTCTTACATGAAAACAAGTAGTTTTAACTCACCATAACTTTGATTTAAAATAGCCTCATGACATTCTCTGACTCTATCTAGAAATTTCTGATCCCGAGGAATTTGACAAAGAACTGGACGAGCTTTTAGCGAATGTGTCCGGAGTAAAAATTGATCTATCCGACCTTCCGAAGCAAGATGACACCGAAGGTAACATGTGTTCCTTTAGTTTTACTGTGTTTGTGAATGACCGTATAGTTCATCCAAATTCCTAAAATTAGCAAAATAAGAGTGGTTCAAAATAAGAGAGTTCTTGGATTTGACGTTGAGTGTATCCTATTTTTATTCATAGAATTCTGGAATAAAGATATGAAGGAAATCCTGGAATCCCCAGTGAGTTAGAAATATCTCCAGTTTTATTTACAATTGTAATTTAAAGACACGATGAATGTAAACTATTTCGTTTATATTAACTTAATAATATTAATATAAACGACTCGAGAAAATAGAGCGAAAACAAGTTTAATTTCTAGTGTAAAAATAATCATTTCGGTGCTTCGTTGAGTGTCTTCCAGCATAGAAGATGTGCATGGTGTCACAAAAAATTACCCTGCATGGGCTTCTGATTGAATTTAATGCCTGATTATTATTTCAAGATCTAATTTTTTAATTTTATAATTGGTATTAAAATTCCAAAGAGTTTGATTTCAAAAGGGATAATTTCTTAGGGACACCTCTGTTCATAGTGTTGTAAATTGCAACCATTTGAAATCACGCGAAATCGGCCCATTTCCCGTACGATATTTTATCAAAAGTGTAATTAAAGGATAGCGTTTTGCAAACGGGTTAATGTAGATTTTGATATATGTAACTATAAATTTTAATTCAATATTGTCGTCCTCAATGTTCACAGTTTTTGTTGAAAGTGAGCTGAAATTATTGCTCCCTTGTATAATATATCAAACAACAAGAAGCATGTCATTCGTAACTAATTCTTTAAGGTCAGAGTGAAAAAAACTATCGACAACCACTTTGGGATTCCACTTACTTACCACTTGCGAGACTATAGAGGCCACACTTTGAACTCATCGACCGACCCATAGATTTAATAATGCAAGTAATATTTTTGTTCTGTTTCTTGCTAAACTTACTTAAACCACGGAAACGGATTACTGATGTCAACTTGTTTGAGAAAAATGCGCATTGAAATCGCTTACCGAAATTGCATTATTGAACACCGCTTACAAGCAACTTCAACTTTTGAACGGGGAGTTGTTGAATTAAATGATTATATGTGAGGCTATTGCCTTTACCACTCGGCCACCAGCTGGGATCGGTTGTATAAAGCTTTTTAACTACATTTTGATTATATTTTTGGACTTTAAAGGTAGTTAAATTTAATCACATAGTTTGGCCTGTTGTATAAAAAATGTTAGTACGTACAGTTCGCGTTATTAAACTGCAGTTAAAACGTAGTTATCATAAGTTATCATAGTATCGTAATTATCAATATAGTAGCAACACATACCAAGGTTTTCAACCGTTATCCACTCGAAGCTTGTAAACTTCCAACATGCTTTTATTTTAGTCATTTTGACAGCAACGGAATATATTTTTGCTTCGGGAGAAGTGTCGATGACTCAATGCCGAATGGCGACTCGAGCGAAGATTTTAATAAAACGGACTCCATTTTCATCTACAACCAGTGTATGCAACCTGTAGTCTTACTCAAAAGGGCGTTTTCATAACAAGAGCGTTTTTTCGTTGAACTATTTTGATGTTTTTAACTTCTTCCTTGTTCCTTTGCAACTTTGCCAACATTTTTGACAAAAAATACTGTCAATTTTTGCAAATACGAGTCCTCAGTATAGCAGCGGTCAATAATTTTCGAAAAACTTCATGCTACGCAAGCACTGACGCACGTTAACTACATGATTAGCTAATTAAAATCCAAGAGCAAACGATAATTAACGGTAATTAGTGGATAATTTTGGAAAATGCGAAAATAAGGATTAAATACTCGTTAAGAACTTAGACACTCGTGAAGAATGACCTATTAAAAAAACTCTGGATCTCGGGGCAGTTTCAGAGCGTTGTAGCAAATTCTTTGACATTTCAAAATTACTGGATGCTGATTGTTATTTAATCAATATTCCAATACAATGTACACGTGATATTTTTATCCTTATTGAACTTCACCTCTTTGTAATAGAACGAAAGGATTGTACATAATGAATGCTACTAGAATACCTCCCTAGAGCGTTGAAAAGTGACACAATTTCATTTCGTTTCAGACGAAATGTTGGACTCACACTTTCTTTGTTAAATTGGTGACTTGAAAACAGGATTTTCAGAGCTGTACCAATACCTTGAGTCTACAGATAAAACCAAATAAAAATCACTAATCAATTCCGCTAATTTTCTAGATTCCACTTACATTCTGTCCCAAACATTTTCCAATAAAAAAAGTTTTATTGGATGGAAACAATCAGTTAAAACTCTTTAGATTTTGTTTCTAGAAATCAAGCAGCTACCTACCAATCAATAAGTGTACGAAGTGCAAATCATACCTGGACTTTTCCCCATAATCTGCATTTTTGGCAGCCAACACAGTCCATTATTCTTGTTATGTTGCGAAATTTTTTCCGAAATTCTTCCTAAAGAAAACATTGCGAGAAAATTAACAGTAAAATAAGCAAAGAAAGTACTATTAGTTTGCCACAGCAAAATGCAATTGACTTGTTTATGAATTATGGTACCAGCCTCTACCTTCAGGCTTTTAGACTTTTCTTCTGTAAACAATATTGTCTCATCAAATGTGTTTGGACAATTTCTACAAAATACAAATACATCAATAGAAGGTAAGTGTTATGGTATTTTTTTCCCGCTCACAATCTGGGGCTTAATTGAAGAACCAGGTGTTGCAGGTTAATGAGCACACTTTGCTTTATCATTGCCTGACTAAATCACCCGACCAGGTGATAATTGAGTAATAGTTTAAAGATGTGGGTGGTATAATTTTGTGGTATAATCAGCTGAAAAATAATCTACCTTGACTGAGATAAAAGCTCTCCAACATATTTCTTCACAATGGCATCCTCTGTCACATTACCAGTGAAGAATCCCTCCTGCTGCCAATAAGGGCCTGCCTTTACAACAGCTCTCCATACAAGAAGATAGAGGAAATAAATATTCTTCAACCAACTGGGACCTACACATGAAAATGCACATATTGTGATGTTACAAAATAATGTGTTTAAGACAAAATAATAGAAGTAACAAGTCCTCCTACACAACACTAGATGATGTCTTGCCTGGAGTTCTGTCAGCTAAGATTTTAGTCAGTGCATCTTACTTATAATGAAGTCAAAAGCTGAAGGTATAAAAACACACCTTGTCCTTTTGTTCTCTCTGGATCAAATCTCTTTTTAAATTCTTCAACATTTGGACGCCATTCAGGCTTCATAAATCCATTTCCTAGTGATAAAAAATATATGCCATAACAAACACATAGATGGGCATGATACCCTAAGACCATTGCGAGACAATGAACTGCTACGTAGTTCTAGTACTATCACAAACCTTTAAACAAATACTGTGCGGAAAGATGTGTGTTGATACTTGCATGCATCCCAGAGATAACACGATAGAACACTCTTTTCTCCAAACACATTTCTAAGACAATCAAGACTGGAGGTTAAATTTGGGCAAGCATGTATCAAAATTTTAGAAACGTGATAAAAAAACTTACGGTTTAACATGGATGATGCTTCATACTTTTCTGTGTACATATTTGGGACCCTAAAAACAACAAAGACATATTATATTAACTATATTTCAAGGTGGTTTTAATCCATTCACTGGCAAAACACATTCAACCTTACTTGAAGCAATTTTCCTTGTAGATGCTGTACCACACTCTGTTTGCTGACTCCCCTTTGTAGTTTGTAAACCTTTCTGGATTTAGTAGTAAGTTGACATACTTTGAATCTGCAGAAAACTCATCTACAGTGGAAGAAGAAAATAGAAAAATAGGAGACTAAGGTTTGCAAGTTTCATAACCATACAACCCTGGCAGATTTGTTTCATTAATTTTCTATTGCAGTGATTATAATAATCATGCAATCAATTGTGCACATTTCTGTGTTTTATCATTAAAGAACCAACCTTCAGGATGACAAAAACTATCTTCAGCATCATCATGATGTTGCCAAGTTTCAAATGCTTGTTTATCTGCCTCACTAAAATATAACATCATATTCAGTTATCTATCTTAAGTGAAATTATCTGGCATTAGCCAGAATAAAATACCAGGTAAGGTGATAAAATTGCCTGCCAATATCTCTTGTTTATAGTATCAATTGTATTGCATTTTTTAAAATTATTTTGAAATTAAGCATATAAACTTTTTCTATTAAAAACTTAATATTACCTCAAATGAACATCAACATCACCAAGCGTGGAATTGTTCCCATCACATTTTTCTTTTTGGTCCTAGCACAAATAATGTAATGCAATAAGTGAGGTTCTATCATCCTCTATCCCAATATCAGTATCATTAGTTATATCTATCATCCTCTATCCCAATATCAGTATCATTAGTTATATCTATCATCCTCTATCCCAATATCAGTATCATTAGTTATATTTAGTTATCAACAGTTATATTATATATTAATTAATGACAATGGATCTTTGTTACCTTGTGATATTGCAGATGTTTACCATTCCCCTTTGAGAATGTGTTAGGTTTATGGTTAAAATTCTTTAAAATGTTTAAGAGTTAAATTAGCTTAAACATGGTAAAATATTATTGAAAGTAATTTAAATTTTAACTGGATTAGCTTAATAGTGTTTTATCTTAACAGAGTAGACTTTCTATTCTAACTAAATGAGACTGTTAATTAAGTACCTTTTTAGAATGATACCCTTTCACTCCAGCTGGGACTTCTTCCTAAATTAAAGATGTATAGTTTTATTGACAAAAAATGCACTGATAATAGACATTATTAATTTAGTTCCAATGTTTTTCTTAAAGCAATGCACCTATTACTTCCAAGGTGCTCTAGGCCTCAGGAATTCTGTCTCCCCCTTCCCTAAATAGCCTATTTATAAGGAGCTTCAAGGTGTAGTGAATATTGATATTCTGTTATGTTAACCTCTTCACATGTCTGTACGGTACAATCTTTCAAACTACAAGTCCAATCATCATGCCAAAATGGACAGGCCCTTTCCAGATTTACCTACATTGAAAAAATATTTGGTTAAACTTGAACAATAGGCACATTCTCTTATCATCTTATCAGGGTTTGGTAAAAGAAAATGTGAAATAACCTGTATTTACCTTGTAAAATTTAAAATAATTTTGTTTTACTAGTTCTAAAATTTGTGGATAGACTTCTTTATTTAGATTATTTACAGTTTCAACATCACAACAACAGTCTTCAACTTTTCCAGTGAGCTGAAAGTACAAAAGTGAATTATCACATTGTTTCATAATACCATGTTTTTATCCTAAATACTTTATCCTAAAAAGTATTTTTTAGTCTTTTTCAGCAAACCTATATCCCACATGTTATGGAAATAGCTATTCAATCTAGTTTGCATAATTTGCAAGTTTATCACTGTGTATAATTGCTATGCAACAAGTCCACATAGGATTGATGTGTTGAGCTTCAATTGGCTGAAACTAAACTTAAAACATGAACAGAAAAATAGTCAACATCAAAAGGTTTAAAATGACACATAAACAGACGTTGTAAATTGGATACAAAAGGACTTAATCTACAACTAATCCATAAAGTCAATTGGGTAGTTAAAAGGGAGTTTTATAAGATAAATTGGCAAAAAAATCCTCATCGGAAAAGGTACTTAAAGGTTAATAGGCCATGACTGAAAGCAAATAAAATTTGCATGGTTTATCATTTTGCAGGTTGTTTTTTCAAAGGATTTTCAACATTACGTTGCATAGTCAGTATAGACATAACAATTTCGGTAATATGATACAGGGCATTGCAATATATTTCATATTTAAACCGTTATCATTCAGTTAATAATAAACTCAGTCATTTCCCTATAGGCCGTAATGATAAATAAATTATGAAATCATATAGTGTTGACATAAATTTCGACGGAACCACAAAATACAGGGAAAAAAATATAAAAACATAGATGTAAACAACTGTATTAGACACTAGTAACGAGGTTAAAGAAAGTGGCCACTTAAAACAAAGAGAATATTCGTGCTACTTCGCACATCTTTCTTGCAGAGGAACACGTTTGAAATATCATCTGTCGATCTGTTAATTTCCTCACTGAAGACAACGAATATTTGCCGCAAATACTTACACTTACTACGATTATTGCCATAGGGAACAAGTACACCTATCACCCACACATGCATGCTACTCGTGATGCATTTTGTAGCCACAAAATTTGATAAAACAGGATAAAAATAATTCGTACGTCTATAAAGTCTTACCTCACAGAAGCACTTGTCATCGCTTCGCTCGTAGTGGCATTTCGTTGAAGGGGAAAATATGGATATAAATAAAATTGTAGGATACAAAAATCTTGACATGTTTAAAATGGCTCTTTATGCGTCTAAATAAAGCTTTATTAAGGTATCCATTGTGTATAAATGACCACCAAACAGCAACTTTAAAATACCAAGGTTTCCATCTTTCTCTCAGAGACTTTTGCATATATACAGCTCAGTGGTTTTGATATAAACAGACTCGCGTGATTCGTGGACGGCCCTCGTGGACAGGGAAATTCTTGTCACATTCTCATTGGTGTTTTGCGTTTACACGCGCCATACACGCGTGGATTAGATAAAAACACGCGAAGAGGGGAAATAAACGAAAAACTACAGCCTTCTGTCGGCGGTTTTGATGTCAAATTATCAAGTGGGTTGTCAGCGCATCAGCGCATGATCAGCAAGATATTTAACAGCTCAGTGAGTTTACAGCATGGTTTACAGGTATCCGGTATATAAGTCAGCTTAGACAGTTCATAGTTGACCTATATATTCATACTATGCTGTTTGATATAAAAAATACAATGGTAGCTATTAGCTAAGTACAATGTTTATAAATATACTTCCATAACGTGCTTTTAAGTTTGTGCTAACGTTTTAAAATTCGGATGTCAATATCTTTATGTTCTTTATATTGACAACATTTGTTTGAATAATTACATGGTGCCATTGTTGTGCTATTTTCCTCCCTACAATAAAGTGTCATTTAAGCAGGCTAACCATTTCTTTAGCCTCATTTCGGTGGTAAACACGTGGTTGCGAACTTGCAGTTAACAGAGAGTTCATTACTTGCAGTTAACAGTGAGTAGTGCACTGCCTTTTTGCTTCGCTGGACGCCGGGCAACCTCGTACCAGGGTTTTCCCTCTTGGAGACGGGTTGGTCATTTGAGCTCTGGACGCAAGAGAATTGCTATATTGTGGGCATTATCTATTATTGCGTGTATCATTGCAAGCCTCACAGCTATTATGCTGTTTGCCAGTAGCGTGAACTGGGAATAAACTTATAAATCCGTAGATTGCGAATATGTTTAAAAGACAGTTTACAGTCTTACAGTTTACAGTGGCGGATCTCTTACTTGGAATAGGAATGGTCATCCGCATCGACGTCCATTATATGAGGGCGACGTCACTATTTTTCCGGGAATCTTTACCCGGGGCTGTTTCCCCTGGAGCAAGAAAAGGCCCATCAGGCGCGGGACTTGGCTCCCTCGATGTATTGGAATTATCTTCTTTCGGGTGTGCATTCTCCTCGGGCGAATCCTTCGTGCCTGCTCTGGACGATGATCGATGGTCGTCGGAAAGAGACGAATTCGACCTTGCGGGACCTGGGTAGGAAATGTTATCGCCTTCTTCAGGTATTGTTATGGCAACGTCATTTGCAGGATCTTCCAAAGGCCCCGGTGATTCGCTCGGAGTTGCACCATCGTCTTCTTCTTTTTTACGCTTCGATTTTTTACCCTTTTTCTTCTTTCGCTTTTTCTTGCCATCTTCATTTTGTAGGCTCGAAGATGACAGCATCCCAGGATCTTCGTCTTCTCCTGGTTTTAGTAAATCATCGTCCGGGTTTTTTTCTGCTTCGTCCTCTTGAAGCTCGGGCTGGTCATCGTCTCCAGGTTGAGGATCCGAAGGTCCTGGTGTTTCACTTGTGCTATCTACTTCATCTTCTTTTTTTTGCTTCGATTTTTTATCACCTTTCCTCTTCTTTCGCTTTTTCTTGCCGTCTTCATTTTGTAGGCTCAAAGATGACAGCATCTCTTGATCTTCGTCCATCCCCAGGGATCCTGGTTTTAACAACTCATCGTCGGGGTTTTGTTGTGTTTCGTCCTGTTGAAACTCGGGCTGGTCAGCTTGACTCAAAACCTCACTCATCTCAACGTCTTCTACGTATTCCAACGCGGCAGTACCAGGCTGCTGAACCTCAGGTATGGTCACAGGAATCACCGACTCATTCGTTTCCTTTTCTTCATCTGAATCGTTTTTCCGTGTAGCTTTCTCGGCTTTCTTCTTCTTTCGTCTAGCTTCAATTTGTCGTTTCTTCGTCAATCTCCCGCCAATTCTATTTGACTGTTCCTCTGCCTCCTCTTCATTTTCTCCTTCCTTCTCCACTTCGTTCTCTGGTTTTGCATTACCTGTCATTCCAAAATTTTCCAACTCAACCCAATCCGGCAAAGGCTCTTCGGGCATTTCCGACTTCACTCGTGACAAAATACTCGCAGCTCGGCTTCTTGTCGCTTCGGGTGTCTTAGTTGGTTGAATGCCAAGTGCGGAGTTTGAAGACTCGGACGATTTGAACCCGCGTTCTTGCAGTAGACTAAGTATAGTTGAGATATTCTGCTCAAGTTGGTTCATCTTTCCGCCCATAACTTCAATTTCGCGTCTAACATCCGATTTCATTCCTGTGATTTCGTTCAAAAGTCCTTCAGAAGCTGATGATGAGTTTTGATAGTCGTTCCAGCGTTTAAAATCGTCGTCGTCACCGCTCGGATCAAGTTCGGCATTTTCCGGAATGCCTTCCATACCGCTTGCAAAGGAATAGCGAGGTTTTGTGGGTTTGATAAACGGTTTGCTCGGTGGATCTGTGTCGGTCATATTCTGACTGTTGGGTGTTCCCAAGTCGCCATTGTTTGAGTCGGTGTCGTAAACATGTTGCTGCATCTCCTCAACCATAGAATACCTGCGGCCCTCCATTCCCTTGGCCATGAAGGTCGATTTTGCACGAGGATGCGCGGAAAGTTTTCGCATTGTTACCTAAATGTAGCAGTAACATAAAGTATTAGGACTGCGTAAGTAGACCAGACGGAGTAGTAGGTTTAGTACGAGTGAGTAGGGATTCGTAGGGTGAACCAGGGGGTAGTTAGGGGATAAGATGTGTGATGGTTCGTTGGTGATTAGATGGTAGATGTTCTAACCTCATCTCTCAGGCAAAATGAAAGTCGGAAAACTTTGGCAAACTGAATTCCATACTCGGGATAAAACGCGAGAGCATTCATTAGTTCATCTCGACCAATCGCGTGAACATCAGCGTAGGTGAGTGCGAACACGTCAGCCACTGATCTACCAACGTCACTGAATCGACAAACATCATCGCCAAACACATCACCTTCACCTAGAACGAAAACGATTGATTGAAGATTTGAGTCTTTAAAATCGCCTTGAATCCAAAGATCACTCAGTTCTCCTTACCCAACAGTCCTACAACTTTGCCTTTCTGCGTTACTTCAAAAGAGCCAGAGCCGATGAAGAACACAGAATCCAGACTTTCCCCTTCATGTACCACTCTCTCGCCTGGCGCCACTCGATGTATGGCAAAGTTCCTCGCCACAGCTCGCAGGACGGCGTTTGACAGTTCGCCGAAAGCTGGTGTGCTGTCGATTATCTTTCGATTGAGGTGTATACATATGTCAGATTGTAAATCTTTAGGACAATTCAAGAGTACCTGTAATGCAAAGATATAAGACGAAATAAATAACGAATTGCAGTTAATCAATTTACTATCGAAATAAGCTATGATTTTATATATTTTCAAACGAAAAAGTATGAAGGACTTTTGAGAGTATACGAATAATGTTAGAATAGCATTAGAATAGCATTAGAATAGAATTAGAATAGCATTAGAATAGCATTAGAATAGCATTAGAATAACATTAAAATAGCATTAGAATAGTATTAGAATGTCATCAGGATTTGTTGTTTATATATTAGGTATACACCTTTGCTGGCTTTGCAGAAACTATTTATAATGTTGCTTATTATTCAATGGATTTGTATACTAAGGTCAGCTCTTAAATTTTGACCATTGTTAAACATTTTCTCACCTGGTTAGTGTCCACTCCTCTATTTAACACCCAGGTGTACATGTAGTAATCAATGATTCTCGTGGAAATTTCTTTCGGCACTTGATAAAGTTTACAAAAGGAACGCATGTTGTCCAGCGTTTGATGGTAACCTTCCGATTTTTTCTGCGCCTGTTGCACAATTGCCGTGACTTGACCAAAAATCACAGCGTAACACAAACCTGGAAAAGATAGAAAGTAACATTAACGAATTAAACGGGTATTTTTTCGTATAACTGTGAAAGTTTGAGAAGATGGCCTCAACATTCTGCATCAAGCTTAGTTTTTTATCTTGTTTTAACCGTGCCGTAAACGTCGTGAGAAGAAAGAAAGAGTCTAAGCCGTTCATCGACATTCACGATAGGGTCGCGACACTGTTACAACCATGTAGAAACCAAGCCTAAATACCTACAAGGCGCGTGTACTGAAAATTTCCAACCCACCTCCAAAAATCATAGTCACGCATGAGAATATTTTCTCAGCCGTTGTGTTTGGAGCGATGTTCCCAAACCCAATTGAGGTGAGGCTAGTGAGAGAAAAGTACAGGGAGGACATGTACAGCGAGGCAAGGGTTGGCTTCTCAACCACAGTACCATTGATGATAACCAGCGGTTGCATTGTCTGTTCCGACATGGCTCGCACCCAGCCGATGTCATCAAATTTGTCGTAGTGGTCAGCTATGGCAAAGAAGATGCATGCCATCCAATGAGCACAAAGGCAGAAGAATAACATCCACAGGATTAGTGTGATGAACCCATACTCCAGGTATTGGTCTAATGCTCGAACCACTCGATTCAGACGCAGTAAGCGGACTGCTTTTAGAAAACCTATCATTTCTGTTATTCCCTGAAATATTAGAATATTTAAAGAATTAATCTAGTATACAGGATAGTTGTTTACAGATACATTAGAATAGCATTTGAAACACTAGAATAACATAAGAATAGCATTAGAATACCATTAGAATATCATAAGAATACATTAGAATACCATTAGAATATCATAAGAATAGCATTAGAATAGCATTAGAATAGCATTAGAATAACATTAGAATTTGTTGATTAGTAGTGTCGTGGTGTTCGAGATGTTCTCTTGTAAAATCAGGCTTTTCTTAATTACTAAATAGCCACCTAAGTTCTTTGTTTTGAGCCTCTGAGCTGATTTTTATCAGGCTCGGCTGATTCCGGGCTAGAATACAAAAAATCTCTCACCCGTCCTACACCCCCACCAATCAAAATGCCTAATAGACCATACGGCAAAGAGGTGACGAGATCCACGAAGAACCAACTTCGGAAGTACGATCTTCTTATCCGCTTAAGATCAAAGACGATGGTGCCATCATCGCCGACGTACGACGTATGGAAATTAAGGACGATGTCAATAAGAAACATAAAGTCCACTACCGTGTCGGCAATACTCATCGGAAGAGAGTCGAACTTAAAGCAGACAATGAACGGCACAGATGTCGCCGTGTAGAGGATGAAAATTAGGATAAACCAATCCCAAACTATCTTCGGTGTCGAGCAATGAAGAATGACGTAACGAGGTGTGTCAGGTATTTCTTGCTTATACTCAGGAAGGATTTTCACGTTGTCTTCCATTAACTGGGTGCAAAATGAAACGAGAAATGTTAGAAATGCGTTAAACTAAATCCGTTAAACAACGAAAGAAAACAGTATTGGTAAAGACAGTCACGGAAATTCGGTTAAAATCTTTGTGCTTAACTTCTCTAGGTACTTTTTTCTTTAGCACTTGAAAGTTGAACTAACAGGAAAGCAGAATTCCTTACTTGATTGATGAAAAGTCGGTTTTTCTCCTCTTTTGCCTTCGAAATCGGGTTGTCTTGCATCGGTTTAGTGTGGAGAACTTTGTTGAATTCTGACCATCTGTGTTTACGATCTATGAATTATAAAGAAGCCTCTTTGTTCAATAATTTTCTTCGGTTATTTAGTCTTGGTAAAGAAAATATAAATTTGAGTCATAAAGTATTTATCAAAGACTTTGCAACTACTTCCCAACCACTGTAGATAAAAAATGAATGGTCTTTCTCGTGGCCAAACTAAAGACCCTGTTACACGGTGCAATTTTTCTCATGGCCAAACTAAAGGCCATGTTTTACGGTGCAACTTGCAATGCAATTCTACTTTTGAGAGATGTATATTTGGGAACAACGAAAGCTTTGTACCGTGTAACATGGCCTTAATTTCGTGTAACACGAGAGAGAAAGGTTTATTTAGCACACTTACAGCTGGGGTTGATGGGTTCTTTAAACTCGGTGATATCTTGAAACGTGAGCAAGAACAGAACACCCTCGTCCAACTCATCATAAACCAGGCCGATGTTTAATAACACCCAGAATGGTGTGCCTAAAATTGAATGAATGGAGCTTTAAATTAATTTTCTAGATCCAATCAAGCAAAACAGAATTTAACTGAACTGAATAGTTTCGTTCTGAGATGTTGTAAAAGGTGGAAACTACATTCAGTCATAAAAGGATCTTTGTGAAACTACAGATTATCAAAGACCTACTAGAGTCAGACGTTATTCTCTCTTCTTGGAGGATGAACCTTCGAGCCACGCGTAAAATGCATGTATAATTGTATTTCCAGGGACGAGGGGTGATCTGGTTTGGTCGGACCTTAAGCTCACCCTAGACCCCAACCTACCGTCTCTTTTGTATAGCAATATCTCAATCTGTGAATCTTTTTTCTCTAGGATGGAACTTCTCAACAATCTCACAGCATCTTTGGTGGTCAGGGACCCGTACATGAAGCTACAATTTGCCTTCTTTTTGACGACCTGATTTTTCTTATAGCCTGTCATCCTAGTGTAACCTTCACTGCAGTACACGATCGGGGAATCCACGATTTGGGCGCTTGCCAACAGGAAGTTCTCATCTGTAAGAAAGTTAGTATCCTAGTAACCCGTCTTGGAATGAGTTTAGGGGTGATAATGTGGTTGAAAATGCATCTCGGGGCTGCTTTTGGGACGTAATTAGCCGCATAAGCTGGGCCAAGAAACAGCCTCATGATGCATCAGTTTCCATCTTACTATCCCAGTACACTCGGAAAAACGAATGTCTTGTCTCATCAGAGAAGAATGAAATGATTTTAGATTCACGAGACTATTATAAATACAGATTATATATGGCAGGGAAAGATTGGCATGTTAAAGGACAATAGCAATCCTTATTTGAAGGTTAGCGTCATGTCGTCATAGGCAGGTCAATCAACTAAACCTATATGGCAATCTTTATACGACGGTAAACGCCTCAAACATGTGAAGGTATAAAGGGACTTATCAATTCCGATATATAGGCACGCGCAAAAGAAACTGACCGAGGAATTTGCGGTTTACTTTAAGTGATAACAAATATCCAGCGAACGAGAGTGTTAGCACAGCAAAATGTTCCACGAAGCTACATAAGTATCTTCCTGAGTTGGAAATCTTTGTTATATATGCATGAGATTATGTTAGTTAAAAGCCAAGCATATGGGACAGGCCAACAGACAAGCTATATTAACTTTGTATTAGGTAAATTGTATTTAAGTGACATTCATAATTTATGTATGTATAAAAAAAAGGTATTAAATTTTCATCAATGTCAAATTTGAAGACTTCATTTACATTTAATGCTGTTTGGCTTTTCCATACGAAGGAAAACGTGATATGTCGTTCAATGAGACAGATATCGTAGTCTTATGCATAGTCCTGACATCACATTTGACTGCCTAAAGGTCATTTTAGTTCCCAAAGGTCATAGTTGAGAATTTTTATGATCGGACAAGTTGATAACGTGATATTACAAAGTAGCTATTCAGTGTCGAGTGAAGGCTGGCTCTAGTTGCGTCGCTTTTTCGGGGGAAACACGTGAAGATACATTGTCATTGACACACGGTCCTAAAATAATGAGTTAATGTTTTTTGCGTAATTGAAGTTTCAGAATATTTTTCATTACGGGAATATCAGTTGCGTTGAGGTAAATCAAACATACCTGCCTATCAAAATTACGTATGAAACACATTAGCAACGACAGCATGCAAAATAAAAATATTCTAGCGGGAATTTCTTTGTAGTTTATCCATTCTGCCTCAAAACATACCCTCAAAAGTTTCTTTCCGCAGATTCCTCCAGCTTTAAAAACATGGAAACATGTCGCCGTATTGCATACAATTTATTCAAACGTGTGGTAATAATCGTTTGTTTTCAGACATGCAGACTTTTTAAATAACGTGCATCTCTTCATTTTGGCGTCCATGACTCGATTACTGAACATTAAACATGCAAATAAGCGTTTGTTTTATTGTTTCCTGAATTGCGACAAACGTATTATCCGCGGTACAGGCTGATTAGGAAAAGTAAACAGCGTTCCACTTTTGTTTCAACTTTGTATAAGATCCTATCTCAGCGTGATCTCGCCTTCCGCGCGATATTCTTGTCAAAAATCTGGAAAGACTGCACGAGAAGCTTTGAAAACGTGGGCAACAGCAATTTCCTAAAATAATTTACGTTCTTGTTGCCATGATTACGTCACGATAACGTAAAAACCCAACTTTCAACCTTGAGACCTTTATCACATCAGTCAGAATCTATTATTTCTTTCGACCTTGAAACACAAAAGCTAGTCGTTCCATTTTACTTCAATTTCAATGTCACTTCTTATAAATCAAATTTAAAACAAACTCAGCCTCAACGGAAGCCCCGAAATTGTTTGCGTGTTTTAAAATTACTCTCCGTGAGACGATTATAGACAGTAGTATATGTGCAAGATTTACCCGAAACTTAACGTTTTATTAAAAAGCGTTTGCATTATTGAAAAATTTGAAGGTAGCTAAACTGCGCACTAAGTTATCAAAGTTGAATATATAATTTTCAAATTGTATTTTTACTTTGAGGCTCTTCTGTGTATTAGCATATATTTCAATCACACAATATATATATACGTATATATAGAAGCATTAAATAACTTTATAGTTTTCGTCGTGAATTGGAACAATTTGAAAGTATTCGTGTGCTATTAAATGCTTGTGACAATGAAGGAGATTGGTTTAAACAAAGTTCCTAGTTGGAACTTTGTTTCCAAACAAAAGACCGTAATCTCAACATGCAGTGTTATTTGATGTTGTGTCAAAAAGTTAAGGTATAGTTAGCTTCAAATTTGTGCTTGCATCAAATATTAGGGAATGTTTAACGTCAAGCGAATACGACTAACTGAAAACAAGGTAAATTAACATACGTGTTCCATTCGTCTTCTTTACAATGTTATCGAGGAACGTATTCTGCGGCACAACCAACCCTCGTCTTCCAGCCATGATGAGCCCAGTGAAGATCTGCTAGTTTCTATAGTATGTGTCGCCAACACGACTGCAAAATGCTATTCTTTGGGACGTTTTATTTCCTTCGGTTGCTGTCGAGTAATTGCGCGTTGAGATCGCACCGAATGTCAGGTGTGCGGTGGTCTCTGATGTGTCAAAACTGCGGTACCTGCTGCATGTACGCAACGCGAGGAAACCTTGTGAACTGTGCGAGAAAACGTCGTGGATGGAGGATCTCGCGATGGAGGAACTCGACATGAAGGAAAAGCAAGGATGACGGCAGGATTTCTGTAGGTTAAGGTGGTGTAAGCTACATCGAACCAGGATTACATTGAAACACTTTGGGTTTGTTTTCTCTCTCGAATTTTCGTCCATGGCATGCGCTCTGCATTGTAAACACAACATTCTCTTTGGCTTAGCGACAGGAGGGATGCGGTCAGTGAAGTGCATATCAATCTAAAAATTGACGTTTTTAGACAAAACAAAACGTGAACTCTTCCTATACACTTTCTAAGTTTGCTATACGCGCTACCCTCCTTTATTGTGAGTTTGAAAGGAAACCGCTATAGTGGTAACCACATCTGATATTTCACTGGCTTGGAGCAAAATCAACGATCCTCGAGCCTCGCGATTCCGTATTCTGCATACCTGCTAAAAACAAACACCTGTTCTCTTCCGATGTAAAATATTTTTAGCTCACCATATCTTACATTTGCCGGTAGTGTAGTAAAGCTTTACTAAAACACGTTTTTTCATTCTTGAAATGTTGAAAAAGCGTGCGTGTTATGCAGGGCAATCTTTTTCAATGACATCTAACAGACGATACATGCGGAGAGAGGGACAAACAGTCTATAAAATAAATGGGTAATAAAGTCAAAATAAACTGAATTATGTTTTCACTTGCCGGTCACAAGAAGGATATGCAAATTACGCAACTTATAAGTTAAATAAAATGTTTCAGCCCCTTACGTTTTACTTAATTAAAGATAACTTTTCAGTGAAGAAATGAATTGAATATGAAAACATGCAAAGTTTGCCAAACATCTGGCGGGAGACCTGAGAGCAAATGACATCCTAAAAAAACTTTATTTGTCATCTTGTATTTTCTTAAAACAACATTAACTCTTGGCCTGAACGAATATCTTGTGTCATGTTAATTTCGAAAAAAACAAAAGTACAAACAGAAATTTAAACAGGAAATGAAACAGAATTTTTTATTTAAGCTAGAAATTTCCGCAAAATTATTTGTTATCGAATTCTCACAGTTTTGCTTATCCTCGCGGAGGTACACGGTTGTTAGGCAACGATGTCGTTGCCTAACAAGTGGTTTCCAATGCTTTGGGTATCCTAGCAACAACATAATTACATATTACGGGGAAGAAAATTGAGCGGTTTTAATAAAAATGCGCGCTTGGGCGGTAAAACAAATCGATGTGTTTGTTGGAATTTCGTCTTTCATATGTCGCTACATCAATATAATATAGAAAAAAATTAGCACAAGTTATGCAAAAACACCATAAATATAAAATATTTATCGCAGCCTTAGGGATACAGTTCATGATCTAGCCTTACTTTTCGTTCATTTTCTGTATATTGTTTGCCGTTTAATTAACACTCGACCCTATTTAATTAAATAGTGCGTGTGCAAGAGATATTTTTACAGCTTTCCAATTTCATCGTTACACTGTTACAAAATATGTGTATCCTATGATTATCAATAATTTACCCCCTCGAGGACTGTGAGTGCGGGGGGTGAGCAAAAACGTTGATTATAGAAAAGCAGGGGTACAATAGAAACTACTTGACCATAATAATTTGTTGTTCACTATACACGCTAGGTTCAATGCATCGTTCTACGGGATAAAAACTAAAAGGCCTAGCCTTCTTCTATTTAACCCTATCTATATTTGCCCAGCGCTTTAGGTTCATTTTGTCGCCATTTTTTAATGGATCTGAGATCATTGATTTGGCTGATTGGGATTGGTGAACCAATACCATTACTATTTAGTTAATTTACCATTCAGGCAGAAGGAATAGTACCATTAATTAGGCTCGGTTCACACTGTCAAAGTTCCTGTGTTCACAGTTGAAAATTTGCATTAGTAAATCCCAAGTTCTAAACATTTTGCAGCGAGTATCACGATGAAGTAAGTTAGTAGCCACTGTTTTAGTTCCATTGAATATTTTGAAACTTAGAAATACAAATACTTTGAAACTTAGGAATCACAAAACATTTGACAGTGTAAACCAGGCTTAACTCTCCGGTCACACCTTTGACACCCGGCATCTCCTGGCATTATCCGTCGTCTTAACGTATTACCCTTCGTTTATCTTTCTTCGTCCATGACGGGCAATATTGACAGCTGGGGAGGCGGTATCCTCGTTACCATCACGTGACAATTTCGACGACACGCTCCGATTACTCGAATCGGAAACCGGCGACTGTTTTTGTACAAGTGTCGGATACAACCAACTTGGTGAAGCGACGTTCTCGGGCGTGTCTGACGCATTACTAGATGTTGTCGAAGTTGGGAAACTCGCACGAGCTTGGAGTTCGGGTTTGGTTTTTTTACTCTGCACAAGCCGAATCACTAGAGCGAGTTGATTTTCAACTCGAGTTAACTTTGCATTAAGTTCACTTACAACCTCATTCAGTTTATCTTGAAGACCGGCCACTTCTGAAGAATGTTGGTTTTCATGAAATTGATTTGGATAAAAGCCCATATTTGCTTCCTCGGTCCCAGGGTCAACATTCAGCTCGGGCTCAGTCTCCAAAGGTAACTCCTCCTCGCGCCGTTCTTCTTCGTCCTCCTCAGATATGACTGTAGTTGAGACACGGCCGGGTCGTTTCCGGGCCCTGACGCGACCAAGCCCACCGGAAGTGTCGTTGCTCGTATTTACGTCACCATTTACCCAGGATTCCATATCGATGGTCTGATTTAGCTCCTGAACTAAACTGAGTCTGCGGCCATGTCCAGCAGCAGCTGGGTTCATAAACCGCGTGCCTCTAGTTGGAAGCGAAGTTTGGTTGTTCTCAGTCGTGTATGCATCCTGAGTTGGTTGTACAGACGACGCTTTTTGTCTGTTCACCTGAGTTAGAAATTTAGAAAGAACCTTAACTGGAACTTAAAGTACTTAAAAAGTCTACAAGCATGTCAATTTCTAATCTTAAACCTTCGGATTGTTTTCCCACTAAGTAAGTACATAGCATTAGAAAAGTGTTGCAAGAAAAGTCCCCTGCCAGCATGACTGAAAAAAGGACAAATTCCTTTTAAGGCATTTTTTGCTAAGTCTCAATGAATACAGCATACCTGGTGACGTAAATTGAATGTAAGTTTGAGATTAGTTGAGAACTGAACGCCAGACTCGGGATATGACATCAACACATCTCTCAAATCATTCCTATCAATACAGTGTATATCACTATAGGTCAGTGCGTACACGTCAGCGATCGACTTTCCGACAGTAACTTCGTTGCAAACGTCATCACCAAACACGTCATCTTGACCTGAAATTGTGTACAGACAAAATGAATATTTCGCCCACTCTACAAGCAATTGTTGGCGGTGAAAGAGCTGCCGGCAATTTAGTACCCAGGTCTTGCCGACGTGGCCGTGACAAGGAAAATTCGAGGTTTTGGAGCCTCTCACTGATCTGTAGATAAACCAGCTGAAACTGAATGAACTATCTATTATAAAAGGAATTAGAGTTAGTTTGGCTTACCCAACAACCCAACGACTTGTCCATCTTGCTTCACTTCAAACGAGCCATGGCTAATGAAATACAACACATCCAAACCTTCCCCCTCGTGTACCACGCGATCCAGGGCCCGCCACATGACATATGCAGAAATTCCTTGCTATGGTGCGCATGACACCCATCGGCATTGAGCTGAACGCTGGATTGTTGTACAGCACTTTCCGATTGAGGTGAATACAAAGGTCTGATTGTAGATCTTTCGGGCATTGTTTTAATACCTGCAAAAAGAAAAACCACAGGAAATAGTATAGTTAGGCACAATATAAGTTGAGATCTTTTAGCTCCACAGACAAAACCAGTTTGCACCTGGGGATCGCCTGGACCGAAGGAGGGGGATTGTCGATTCATTAGCCATGGCTCGTTTCAAGTGAAGCAAGATGGACAAGTCGTTGGAGTGTTGGGTAAGCCAAACTCTCTAATTTCTTTTAAAATACCATTGTGGTGTTACCTCTATTCTGGTACATAAAATAGTGAATGTTACCAACGCACCTCGTCTGTGTCTACGCCTTTTGTCAGAGCCCAGGTCGACATGAAATAATCCAAGATTCTCGCTGAAAGTTCTTCAGGGACTCGGTAGAGTTTTTGAAATGATCTTATATTATCCAGAAGTGAGTGATATTTCTCGGACTGGTTTTTGAGCTTGTTGAACGATGGCTGTCACTTGACCAAAGATTACTGCATAACCCAGTGCTGGCAGAGTGAGTAAAGAGAAATACACTGTGATCATGCGAATTCGTATACAATAACTTAGAACGCAATCCGACACAACAAAACAAAACACAAAACAGAGAAATGCAACAGACAACAACTGAAGAATCGAATAACACAACAGGCACAAAACAACAACCTAACACAACATAGCACAACACAACGCAACACAACACAGCAATAACCCAAAACAACAACACAACACACATTGAACAATAACACCACAGCAATAACACAACACAACACACATTGAACAATAAAACCACAGCAATAACACAACACAACACACATTGAACAATAACACCACAGCAATAACACAACACAACACACATTGAACAATAACACCACAGCAATAACACAACGACACAACACACATTGAACAATAACACCACAGCAATAACACCACACAACATGAAGAAACAGCGAAACAAAATACAACTAAAACGAACCTCCAACGATCATAAAAATGCTGCCAAATATTTTCTCCGCGGTCGTATTTGGTGCTATATTTCCAAAGCCAATCGTGGTTAAACTCGTCAAACAGTAATACAACGCGGAAACATAACGCGAAGGTAAGGTTGGCAGGAGAGGATCATCAGCTACTGTTGTATTGAATGGCTGGTTCGTCTGTCTAGCCAAGGTTGCAACCCAGCCTACTTCGTGGAAGTTATCGTAACGATGCGCAATCAGGTAAAATATGCATGCCATGAGATGTGCACAGAGGAGGAAGGCGACCAGACAAAGGATCAGAGTCATGAAGCCGTAGTTGATAAATTGGTCCAGTTTACGAAAAACACGACCCACGCGAAGAAAACGAATGCATTTAAAGAAGCTTATGAGATTGACAAAAACCTAAACGAGAAATAAAGATTAATCAATCCGTATCATTAGTACAAGATGCCTTAACACGCTTAAGCCATCTTGGAATCCGAGAAATACAGATTAATCAATCGGTATCATATATTAGTATAAGATACCTTAACACGCTTAACCCATCTCGGAATCCGAGAAATGCAAATTTACTAATCGGTTTGACATATTACCCTCTTAAACTTATTCACTTAAGCTGCTTTGGACTACATAAAGACTGCAACGAAAAATTCGCTGTTCCAGTTTGTTTGATAGCTCAGTTGGTTGGACAGCGCTCTGGGTACCTGAAGAAGATACAAGTTCAGGTCCGCTCGGGGACAACGAATTTTTCGTAAATCTTTTCTGTGGGAGCTATCGAATTTTATATCAGACAATAGTTGTGGAATACACAACTGACCGAGTCAGTACTGACAAATGACAGCAATCCATACGGCAGGGAGGTGACCAAATCTAGGATAAACCATGTCTTGAGATAATAATGTCGTATTTGTTTAAGGTCAGTTATCACTTCACCATCCTCGCCGACATACGACGTATGGAAATTAAGCGCAATATCCACGAAGAAAAACACATCCACCAAAATGTCAACGACGGTCATCGGAACGGAATCGTAACTGAAGCAGAAGGCAAAGGGCACTGCCGAAGCGGTGTACAATATGAAGAGCAAAACCAACCAGTCCCAAACCACTCTGTAGAAGCTGTAATGAAGCATCACCCATTTCGGGGGCTTCGGAATCTGTTGTTTATATTGGGGAATAAAGTCCGCATTTTGGACGCGAAACTAAACGGGAAAAAATGATCGATTTAAAAACGTTGTCAAAGGAAGGGTTTGCATGAGACCCTCGTGGCCTCAGGCCGGAAAGAGGGATGAGAGAAGAGAGGGAATGAGAGAAGAGAGGGGGTGAGAGAAGAGAGGGGATGAAAGAAGAGAGGGAATGAGAGAAGGGGGGGGGTGAGAGAAGAGAGGGGATGAGAGAAGAGAGGGAATGAGAGAAGAGAGGGGGTGAGAGAAGAGAGGGGATGAGACAAGAGAGGGGATGAGAGGGGAGAGGGGTTGAGAGCAGAGAGGGGATGAGAGAAGAGGGGGGTGAGAGCAAAGAGGGGGTGGGAGGGGAGAGAGGGTGAAAACAGAGAGGATAGGGAGAAGAGAGGGGGTGAGAGCAGAGAGGACAAAATACACAAAGTGCTCAGAGGCTGCCTTTCTTGACTGCGAGGGACGAAGGACCCGTGCTCAGCAATTTGTTCTAAAGCCCCTGGTTTGTTTTCACTGGCCTTGGGTCATGCTCATGCACTGGTCATGAAATAAAATATCTGGATGAAATAAAAATTTATTATGCTTGGATAGCTTGCAACTGAAGATATATAGTGCTTTCAAACACGAGGTTGTTTCATACCTGAGCAATACGAATTTTATTCTTCTCTTCTTTGGTTTTTGAAAATGCCACAACGAACCCACTACGATCCTTTGTCTTGATGGTTTGTTTCAATTTCACCCACTTCTGAGCAGCGTCTGTAAATCAAAATATTGATATTATTATTACTAGGCGGGCTTCATTTTACTGGTCAAAATCACCCGTGTCAACTCGCCCTTTGGACGAATTGTCAACACGGGTTCCTCTTTCCTATCCATCGATGCTCACCGTTCTCAGCAATGGGTTCCTTGAATTCAGAGATGTCTCTAACGGTAACCAGAAACAGAACCACAACATTCTCCTCGTTCTCAATAGGCGCCACGTGGAGCAGATACCATACAGGCGTTCCTAGAGCGAGGGTATAAACACCAATCTACTCAATATAACCATACCTGAATCTTCAAATACCATAGCCTTCTAACACCATACCTTTCTAACACCATACCTTTCTAACACCATACCTTTCTAACACCATACCTTTCTAACACCATACCTTTCTAACACCATACCTTTCTAACATCATACCTTTCTAACACCATACCTTTCTAACACCATACCCTTCTAACACCATACCTTTCTAACACCATACCTTCCTAACACCATACTTTTCGAACACCATAGCCTTCCAACACCATAGCCTTTCAACACCATGCCTTTCTAACACTATACCTTTCTATCCTGCATAATGTGTGGGGAGTTGTAGCCATATAAATCCTGAATCGTTCATCCCAGAGGCTTCACGAATATTTTTACTATTTCGATCAACTCACCGTTTTTTTTATTTCCAATAAATTCCACTTGGCAAGACGTCTTGGTACGAAGCGCATCGTCGATGCTATCTGTGACGTCCTTCTTCACAGTTGAACGGTGAAGAAAGCGGCCATCACAGCTGTACCTCATCACTTCCGATCTCTTGAAGCCGGTAATTTCAGAGAAACCATTGCTGCAGTAAACTACAGGGTAATCTGATATCTCGGCACTACCAACCATGAAACTTTCGTCTGAAATGAAGAAAGAAATTGAGGTGAACAGTATGTGAAGCTAGTTCACAGGAGAACGAGGATTCCTGCGTCTTGTAGTGTGTAAACTCAGACTGTTATCTCATCAATTTATCCCACGAATGAACCACTCCTTTGAGAGTCAGTTCCGTAAGAAAAACTATGTAACCATATTGGTTGTTTCCCCGTGAAACCGTAGTGGTTTGTGCTGCTTCCTGATGAAAACTCTATATTTCTTATAAAAAAATGACATTTGCGATGATTGATTATTAGCAGTAAAAGATAGCATGCACTAAAGTTAGTCAAGTAATTTTTAACTTTTCTCAGGTGAAGAATTCTGTCGGATATATATACATATAATATTATTATTCTGTACTAGCTCCAGAAAGGATTTCGGACGAGTTCCTTGTTTGAAAGATTTATAAAAAAACCACGAAACACGCTGGAGAATTGTGACCGCAGGTTGTCAAGACACATGCATTTCAAAACATTTATTTATTTTTCAATTAATTAATTTAATAATTTTGGATTAAAAAAAAATCTAGAAACGGCTGAATACACTTATACAATACGTCTTATCAGCCTTGTGATTCGTATCAAAAATAATTGCTTCACATAAATTTCATTATTATATAATTTTCAATCAAGAATGTTTTTCAATAAAAGATTTTATCTTCGCCCTGTGCGAAATTTCATGATGGGCCGTGATCAAAATTAGAAAATTTTAAGTAATTGTAAACCATATGTCTATCTTGCTTTATAATAATCACCAATATTTCCTAATTTTAATAATTGAATTACCCCAAATCTTGAAAAAAACGCATGAAAGATGACAAGAAATAAGAAAGGTACAATCAAAAAAGGGTCGAGCGCATGCATATCACAGAGCTGACGATACGAACTATGCTCATGCAGATGACTATACGTCAAGCATGCGTGCGTGCGTTCATGGGTTCCCAGACTTAAACAAACAGAAAGATCGCGCGAGACTTTATATATCTGACAAACTGAAAAGGATTACGTTTTCCAGATATGGCTAATAACATAGCGCTTCAAATCTCAACATGCGGTCATAAAAAAATAATGAATTACTTTCCCGGAGCCGGAAAGTCGAAATCTTTCGAGGAAAATAATGAAAAAATTATCAACCGCTTTGTTCGCACTGATCTAAAAGCAATTCATCGTACATGTACAAGATCCTTTTAGTACACAATAGGTCTGTGTTCTCTTTAAAAAAAAGATCGCGATTTAAAAAAAAAAGCGGTTGATCGGAAATCTTTACCTTATAAAAAACGTGGGCTTCGCGGTCAAAACTAATATGCCTGTATGTATTTGCTGACAACATTTGCAAATTTTCTCAAATAGAAAAGCATGCAGAAACAAAGGAAACAAAAATAAAGTAAAAAAAAGTTCAAGCGTAAACACAAACTGACATGTGCCGGGATATTCTGACCGCTTCGTCTGCCTGTGGGACATTTTATGAAAGTATTATATAAACGATTTTTTTATGTAAAATTTATTTTGACTTTGTTTGAAAATTTTGGCCGCGATGCTAGGCAACGCCTAAGTCATATCGATATGAGTTATATTAAGGAGAGGTAAATATATCTGTACATTTGCTTGCTTGGGGTAAACACCATAATGGCAGTTAGAAATTAAATTTCCTTGAACAAGCTTATCTGTTTAATATATCTATAACACATACGCCTCACACAACAAGGTTTGAATTGCATGTTTTGCATGAAACATGGAAAGGTGACGTGCATGGGGAGTCGTTGTAACTTTCCGAGGGTATTTCAAAAAGATATCATGGAAATGTTAGATTTGCGCTTTTTTGAATTACAATTGCGCAACTTTTGTTAAATTCAAGCGCTCTATATAAAGTTTTCATATAGTAGAGCCACAGTGATCTTGATTAAACCGCCATGATTCACCCTTTGCATGCGCAAATATTCTTCAAAATCACCGACACGGTCTGCACGCACCCTATAGCTGAATTAAAAATCTGGATGGATCCTGGGGATACATATACAGCTTCTGAAAAAGATCAACGATGAACGATCCCTACGCGCGGTGTTCTTGTAAAGGCTTCGCTCGTGAAGTTACATGATTTATGACACCCGAAGCGCAGCTGAGAATAGGGAGACAGCTCACAGCGCGCACGGGAGGCAGGCTTCAACTGCAACCAGAATTTCATATATTCAAATGATAAAAAAAAGCTGAAGATCCGTGAAGAACTTAACTAGTTTGCTTATCATTCACTGACGCTGATTTACATGCATAAGTTTCATTGAACGTTTGATGCATATAATGAATATAGACATGATCATATCGCTTTTCCTAACTTTTTGAGACAACTTTTAGTTATAATTCAAATTAAACCGTATAGTTGACATCTGTGATAATTTACTGATGACATTGTCTTATCCGGCTGCTCGTCTAGTTTCCCCCGGCGTTTATAAAGCTTGATAAATTAGAGCACTGCACGAATGAACTAGCATGCACACATACAACGATTATGGATATACTTAGACTTTACATATACATGCATAATGGAATAATTAAAAAAGTTTCCATCAAAAGCGCACATAAAAACGTTTGTATAGAGAAACAACTTATAAGTCTTAACCGATTTACCAGCTCGAATTGGACGTTAGACAATTTATATTAAATCAGTACATAGATATATTCCTTTGACAGAATCTTTTAAAGCTGACAATTTTCAACCGACCGCAAATGTAGTTTTTATAAGCAAGACAAACAACCAATAGACAAGACGGCTGTAGGAAATACAACGCGTCTCCATACACAACAAACATGCATGCATGCAAGCCGTTCTGTGTTACATATAATAATGATGCTCGTTAATATTCCTCGCTGTTTCAGAGCACTTTTTACACCTTCCACCTGCAAATTATCACCGTCCAAAGTCGGCTAAAAAGCCTTTAATTTCGAGGTTAAAAATAGTTTTCATTCAAACACCTTTTCGTAATGCTTTGAGAGTTTTAATTAAAGACCGAAGTTTTACCATGAATTTGGGCAATAATGTAATTTGCACGCGGATTTCTTTTCTACACTCGACCCAGAGGGCTTTCATCAAACACTACCCGACTATTCTCGCAGGTTTGCTAAGTTTTAGCAATTTAGAAGCAGGCCCCAGTCCAGAGCATGGCAGGTACTACTAGAGCGATTCGAAAATTAAGAAAACGCCTTTTGGAGTAAGTACAATTACACATCATTTATGTAATATGACAAACAGACCGCGAAATTACGATTCGGTTAGATTAACGTAATATATATATCAGTACTCAGTTGTGATATGCCTGGCAAAAACGGTTTTGTAAATCTTGTTAAGGGATTTACTTGTTCCATAGAAATACCGCACGTTGAGAGTGCTTAGATAAAAAATTATCCACTTTTATGATAATCTTCGAGTCTTCTACCCCCTGTTCAACTTCACAAAGACATGGCAAAGCAAATAAGGCCATGTAGTGTGATTTTTTCACAGTTGAAATAAACTTCGTGAGGCCGCAACGTGAACTACATGTAGTAGAGGGGTTTTCCAAACGATGTTTGCGTCGGCTCCCAGCACGTAGCTTCATAAATGCAACATTTCACATCGTCCAGCGTGAAAAGTCGCTACTGACTAAATAGCCAGGCATATAACAACCAGTTCTTAAACGCGAGGGGTATATGACCACGTTAAGAAAGAGATATCTCAACAAAAGAGGCATTCGAATAATAAAAACATTTTAAGACTTTACGACAAGCTGATAACGAACATAGCAACAGTTATTAATCCTACCGACCGGTGATATTTCACCTATATTTAAAACTACGCACAACTTACGCAAACTGTCCGACCTTCGGATCACATCTTCCAGAAAGGTGTTCTGCGGGACGATTAGACCTCTCCTTCCTATCGGCATTTTCCGATCCTCAACATTGGTTGCTTGTCTTTGAGCTGTTTAACAGGAACGTATATCTTTGCTTAAAATTAATGCGTGTCTCTTGCTACAACAAACATCTGTGTGTGTATATGTCCTGTGATTACGGCTGCCAAGTCACGCGCATGTCCAAGACAGCGCGTATTTGTGAATTTGTAAGTCTCAAACACCTGCCAACGCATGCACGTCGCTGAAGCGCGCTCATTAGCGCTGACAATTAATCTATATACGCAAGAATTATATAAACCATGTATAAGACCCCAATATCAACTCTCAACACAGATATATGCATAAGTTCAGTGTGTGTTCATCTCAGCAAGGGGCGTGGAATAATCTAAACATTTTCTCAAGTGATATAGGGGGTTTCATGAAATATTAAGAACGTCTGTTGTAAAACGGCATATATATGCATTTTTATAACAACGGCTTGGAATAATATTTTCATATTTAGATTGTTAGCTATTTGCATCATCTTGTAGTTTTGAGTTTTCAAAACCGGTTTACGCGTGAATCACGTTATCATTGGTTTTATCATTTTGATGGCGAAACAATAGTATGATATAGATGGTATGTATCACACAATAAACAAAAATACAAATTAAACAACTTAGTTTAGTCTTTTAGAAAGCAAAAATAAAATTTGTAGGATGAAACATGTTGGCCGCATGATGAGAGCATATGACGTTATATGCCAACAAAGAATGGAAAATGACGTCATATGCCGACGTCATATTTTCATAAAAGACATATTTTTCATGGTCAAATAAATATGAAAGAAATTATATCAGACTATACTGCTATTCTCGTTCGAAGTTTTCACTGCCAAATCCTGGATGTGAAGGCAGATGGACAACAGTTTGTTTTAGGGTGAACGTTACGACATTTTCTTCAATTGTTGTCAGCCTGAAATGTGTTAACGATTATATGCAGGTCTGGTGTGAAAAAAAATGGTATCCATGCAGAGTACCCGTAAGGACTGGGTCGGATTCTGCCTGATTCATTACGTGTGACAATCCATTTCCAATGAATTATTTAAATTACTAGTCATCATAGCCGAGCAAAGCGGAGTGGAAAAACGGTTATAAAAAGGTCAGACTTACACAAGTTTCTCCTGAATGAGAATCGCGGCATCTTCTCAGACCAAATTCTGAAAATTTTCACGAATTTCCAAGATATTTTCAGCTGTAACTGCTCAGCGCTAAATCAGAAAAGAAAACATTTTCGTTGAGTCTTTTAACATGACATAAACGGAGTCAGTCCCTGCCTGAGACTAACCTTTGAAAAAAGACGGTTAACGAAGCCGGCTCTCTACGACTTTGTTAAACAGTATAAAGATGGATATTATATTGTTATTATCATAATTAATTGCATCTCCAAACATTTGGTTTTTCAGATCAATTTACAAAAATGTTATATCAAATGTATATATCTAAGAATGTTATATCAAATGTATATATCTAAGAATGTACATATCAAAGAATGATATATCTAAGATTCTTTTCTTCGTCTATATATCAAATCGTGAATATGACCACTGATAACATTGACGCGCATGCACTTACAAGGAACGTATCTTTCTTTCTACCCAGATGGATCCCAGGTACGATTAGAAAAACTCTCGGCAGATAACTGCGAGGATACAATGTACAGACTGCATGTCGTCTCGACTGGACCCCTGCGTTTGAATTATGGACCAGAATGCGGTATATTTTGTCTTTCAAACTTATAGTTTACAGACATGTGCTCAAACATTCGGTAAGCCAAAATACTGATAAGCGCATATAGACGTGAGACTTTGAGAGGCCGCAAATTATGATAAAAAAGCGCGGTTTTCTGCATGCGGTTAATATTCCCACAAATTGAATGGAGAAAAAAAACTGAAGAAGTTATTAAATCTGGGTTCTGCTATAAAATAAACCAAGACGGCAGACTTTCATCTTCGTATGTTTGTTGTTTAAGGATTTTATATATCTGGGGCTGGTTGTTCGAAAGGCGTTTAGCATAAACAGTGAACTTACTCTCATACATCTTATGCATTAAATATGAAAATTAAACTGTTTACATCGAAAAATTTCAGCTCGGTGGTTCAATAAATAGATAATTTTGTTTTTTTACGCATGCGTACTCAACATAAAGCTACTCATAAGAGAAACATCTACTTCGGTCCGAGTTTAGTGTTTTGGACAAACTTGGAAACAACAATCCCAGAGGCAGACCTTCAGCACGAGTTGAAACAGGAACCCTCCTAAATGGCGTTTAGCAGTTAATTAACGAGTTATTGCTGTTTTCCAAGATCATTTTAAAACGTGCTTCAGTCATAAGTGTCATTAATATTTCACATCGATCGCGATAATATTGATCCAATTACCATATCGCTGGGAAACGTGGTAAAACGCAGGACTGCAATGCACCCGCAGATCTAGATATTGGATTTAGAAAAAACAACATTCGATGTTCTTTTCTTATGTGTTAGATCCTGATCACCGCGTTTCCCAGCCTTGATCCATCGCTAAACGACTTTTCTTTTAACTCTCGCAAAAGGATTTTTAACGGAAAGAAACGAAAAAGCTCAAATGAAATTGAAACCGAAATTGAAAAATGTTTTCAAATGAAAAAAGGAAACTGTTTATGAGGCATGCATTCAACTTATATTGCAGAAAGTTTTATCATAATGAATGCTTTTTTCATATTAACTACATGATGTATATAGTTAATAGCATCCATTATTTCTAATAGCAGTGAAGCTTCGTAATTGTTTAAACTTCGGTCTCTTTCATACACTCAGCCTGAATGACATAAACGATTAAGCAATCGACGATGACTGTAGCACATGTACGTTTTATCGTGGAAAAAAAAAGCATATAGGGGAAAGTGGACTTTGAGTGCATGGAAAGATATTCGCTATATATATATATATATATATATATATATATAATATATATATATATATAATATATATATATAATATAATATATATATATATATATATATATATATATATGTAAGGTGTGTTTGTTCTTCTACACAAGTATGACCAACCGGGCAAGCAGAAAATTCTACTTGACCGCGGTGGGAATCGAACCCGCGACCTTCGCATTTCTAGAACGATGCTCTACCGCCTGAGCTACAAGGCCAAGTTGGGAACGACTGTGATTTTTGCTTAAGTTGTTATTGACAATGCGGAGTTTCGTCCTTTTACATGTCGTTATGCAGTTACTTCTGCAAATGTTGATATATATTTGTGCTTTTTTTGCTCTTAATTGAGCCATGTTTCACTTGTGGATATATATCCACAAGTGAAACATGGCTCAATTAAGAGCAAAAAAAGCACAAATATATATATATTTATATATATATATATATATATATATATATATATATATATATATATATATTCTTCGTCGCGTCACAAGTTATACACAGAACGTGATGACCTAGCTTTCTTTGATCAAATTAGATGAAACGTCCATGCAACAAAACATGCAAGGACTATTCGAAATAGAGTATTTTCTGGCCTGCTTTAAAAAGAACTTGAGCTCGTCCAATTATAAAATTCATCAACTTCGTTATAATTATAAAATTCGCATATTCATCATCACACAGACAGCGACGCCTGAGACGGACAAGTACCGTTTCAACTATATCAACTTTCCACCTTCCGTAAACACACACACATGCATACATACAAATATATTATTTTAGTTAAGTGTAATTTTAACATGGGTTTTTTTAATCTTTTTCCATGTAAAATATACGCCATACGCCAAAATAAATAGCCTTAGCCCTTACTGCTATCTATATGCGGCGACTGAAAAGCAAGTAGCTGTACCGGCGAGGACACGGCTCCATTAGTCTCGTCAACCTGGTCTGTATAAATATAAATTTTAATTTATAAATTTTGACGCTGACAACACTGAACACTATTACGCGCGCTAAATATAGAATTAACTATTCTTTTAACAATGCACAATAGTAGACAATAAAATTAAATTATACCCTAATGATGGCATTTTTCGTCCGAGAGTTAGTCGCTAGTCAGAGTCTAGCACAAATTTCAATAATCCTTTTCAAAGCTATACCGAAAACGATATCTTAAAATGGAACAAAAAATGCTATATAATACCTGCACGATTGAGCGTTGGCCAAGCCAAAACGGTTTCCTATAAAGTTGGAACGGAAACAAACTCATTAGGTTATTGCCAAAGCGAAGTTAAACAGCAATTATTGCCATCATGCGAGGAAGTTCATTACTTGACTTTGTTCAGACGTCATCCATCTGAGCAGGTTGATCAACATAAGATATGAACGGCATATTAACTGGCCAATACTAGAGAAGGTCGACTGTGCGTTTAGCATGCAATACACCTGTTCATTTTTGACTGGCAGGTGTGTGATGGTAGGAGACCGCTGGACGCTTACGATGGCACATCACAACACGACAGATCGGAAACAATACCTCCGACTCAGGTCGCAGGAGAAGCACACGACCCCCCTCCCCCCTTTTTAGAAGCAATGAGAAAAAGTAAGCGTGACCCCTACCAACCCCCAGTCCACAAGATTAGACCATTTACATCCAGTGCCCGCTACAACAGTAGCTGCCTGTGCATATACTGTCTGCCGAGTAACTAAGTCGTTTCTAACACGCTTTCTATGCCTCTGGTTTGACTTGAAATCTTCAACTTTCACCGGATTCCAAGCAACATTAGGACCTTCTTCGAAGTGATGTGCCCGAGCTTGCTCATATAGAATGAACAAGAAATCAAATTTCAAATGAATACATAAGAATGCAATTTTCTTAGGTTGACATGCATTTGGGCCTGGCATTTTTAAACAAGTAAACATTAATCGCATAAACACGTACGAACGTAAAAATCCTTAAATCAACCGAGCTTCGTACACATGCACATTCGGAAAGTCATCGAACACTGTACCTTCACCATACACTCTCGGCTTAAAATCTTCAAATATGCAACGAAATTTCCATTGAATTCCATTCTGCATGTAAAATGATACTGTTGTTTTTCTTCATTCTCAAACAAATTCGTGAATGACTCGGGAAGAGTGAGGCGATCTTCCAATGAATCAATAATGACCAAGATATCGAGTTATGATCAAGTTAACCACATCATTGGCACATCGTCATGACAACGAATGATTTAAGGTTGAAAATTAACAATGATTCTGGTGCAGTACAAGCTATTAAAGGATCATTAGCGGTAATTAAGTTGTCCGCAAAGTCCAATTACTGAATTAGGCCTTCTAAAAAACGTCCGTCTGTTATCTTTTTTAATATTTTATATGTGTAAAATCCGCTCTCTTTTCTATAGACAACAGTTCATCATAAATACTGAGTTAAGTGCTGCTGGTTCGAATTCTTCAGTCTGGGAACACAATCGCGACGTTCCAAATATGGAAACTAATAATTAAAGATCCATTTTGCTAAATATGTCATCAATTTCATCTTCTCCGTCCCTCAAATTTGCTTTCTTCTCATCAACTCTTTTGATGGCCTCGTCAGAAACTTTGTGCCTAGATGTGGTCGCTGATTGCTTATCATTTTGACAGAAAAATACATCAGATCTCCCTGGTTTTGTCATTTTTTTCCATGAAATCTTATCAGCTTCACGTGTGCTTGTATTTTTTGGAAAGGAGAACACATCGTCCTGAGAAGTTTTCCTTTTCCTTAACTCTTTTCGCAACGAGTCTCGTATTCTCAGAACTACCCTGCGCTCTCTGACCAAACCTTCTCGTAAATGTAAAATAAATTTCACACATTTCCAAAGAAATGCAAGTTTTTTGCTTGGCAGCTGAGTAAAATCCGTTGTTGCAAGTAAACTTCTCACAGTAAACCTACGCGGTGTTATCTTCATAAAAAAATTATTTTCATTACTGTTTAATTTTTTCCCTCGTCTGATAACAACCAGTTTCTTGCCAGATTTCCGACTTCTGTAAAAGTTACATCGACTCTTTCTTTTCCCATGTTCAACTTGAGGCCATCCGGTTTCTAACGTTCGCTGATCATTCAATCCTTCGACGATTTTTATAATAGGCTCAGGTCTTGAACAATCCTCGTTTTCACGAAGCATGTTGCGTGTAGCACGTTCTGGGTCGTTCTCAGTCTTGCACGAATAGCGTTCCAAGTCGAATTTTAGTGTTAAGTTTGTTCTAAGACCACTCACCGTGCCATCTCTGATCAATCCAGGTGTTAATGTATCATGGTCGGTGCCTGAAAAAGGTAATCTGCGCATGTCTTCGACGGGTTCTACATGAAGAAAAAAGTTAAAGGTATTTCCATTGGGTAAAGTGTTGGGTAAAGTCAAGAGAAAGTTGGGGAAATTGAAGTTGACATTTGAGAACGAACCTCCGAGGTCGAGTTCCTCAGGCTCGGATGCATTAGCTCTATCTTCAAGCAACCTCGGAGAGTCGATGCCTGTTAGGAAAATAGAAAGGAAATGCATGATATAATATATGGTGATGCAAAAATACCATTTACACTAAATTCCTTTCACAAACATTCAAAACAAATCATACCATTATTCTCTTGGAGCCACTGTTTGAAGAATGGGTTAGTTGATCTCAGAGAAGACAAAGGATCCATCACTTTAGTATCTCTAAATGAAAAACATTTCAGATGCTTTCCGGAATTGTCTGATAGGGACTATACATAATTTAATCATGGAGTTGATTTCTCCTAACCTTGGATTAAATATCTTCTCCACATCTTCACTCAACCATAACTCCAGACATTCTGGAAATTCGCTCAACTAAACCGTAGGATATTTAATTGTTAAAATACCAGTGAACTCATTAGCATCATTTCCACATTTGCAAAAAGATTTTCCATGTAAATTACTCACATTAACATGGTTCTCTGTAAGTCTAAGAAGCGATTTTACAAGTTGAAAACACTCCACAAGATTTCTCCAGCAATCTTTCTGAAGTACCCTTAAGAAACAGTTTAGGTGTAAACATGAGTATGCATTGATCACATTGTGTGAGAAAATTGACAAAATTTATATTCCAAAACAGAATAAAGAAATATATTTCATTCTTACCAAATTCTACTGACAAGAGAAAGTAAAGTTGTGTGCAAAGTAACAAAGAATCCTTGTGAGAGATAGGCAAGGTGGTATCTAATTTATTGGTTAAGAAAATTTCCACTTCATCTTTAGTTGTATCGATAAAGTATTGCACAGAAATGATTGGGCTGTAATCTATTGTATTTAAGAGGCAGATACTGAGCTGTTTCCTGACAAAGTATTATCACCTGTAAGAGGACGAAGATTAATAAATGATTTGCAAGAAATGAATATTCATCCTTATCAAAACATAAATTGTCAGAAATAAACACACCCTGATAGCTAACTGTCCACCCTGCATTACTTCATTTAGGATTTTCACTAGATTCTCTGTTTCACTAAAAACACAGATATATACATTCTAAGAAACATTTGAATGACAGAATGATTTCCAAGAAATACCCCATCATACCTAACATTTTTACTTGTTAATATGATCTTCTTATCAAGACAAAGAAGTTTGTGTTTGTTTAAACATTTGTTTATCTAAAAAGGATAAAACTTTGGTTAAAACCTCAATTTTTTAAAGAGATATTTCCCAGAAAAACAGATTTGTGAATCAATACTAAGATGGATTCAACTTGGTCAATGCTTGACAATGTGAAAATGGTGAATAGAGGGAATAGTGTGTTCATACATAGATGCATCAAGCTATTTATTCGCTATTTTCACAACATCTTTAAAATTCAGTCATTCACATCCCCATGCTATTCTATCTAATAATGGTTTGTGAGTTATTCTGACTTTGTGTGTAGTATAATGATAATTAGGCTAACCCTTTCTATACATTTGAAGAACTTTTCTTTATTGTGGGTATTTTTTGATTTGTAAATTAACTTGTTCAGAACTTTCGTTTCTGACAGCAGAGAGGATGATGAACATTGCATATTTTCTCCTATACTGCTTAACTTCTGCTGTATATCTGTTTGAGATTTATTGCCCTGTAGTAAAGAACAAATAACATATAAACACGTCGTACTGTGTATCATACCAGCATCACGTTTATAAATATAATATAAATTAAACTCTTTTCAAGGGAAATAAATAAAGTACCTTCGCTCCTCTGTTTGCCGCCATTTTCATTTAAAAGGCAATTTTACACATTGCATATCCTAAAAATACCATCACTCAAAATCACTGACTTTTACATCATGTATTGATGTTGCAAAATGAGATTAATTTTAAGCTAAAAAGCCTTAAATTTTCTAAATATCGGGGGGAAAAAGAAAATTAAAAGATTAGTGAGCTTTTTTTTAATTTCTAACTGAGCGAAAAGCAAAGATAAATTCAACTTATTTTATATAGTTTTTGCTCTCGGTGATGGTCGTAAGCAAATCGACAGGTTGGTGTATGGTGAGTGATCTGAGAAATGGGCCAATTGCAGAATTGCAAAGCATCACGGTAGTTTAATTACATAGCAAGATTTTTCAACATGGCGATTGTATTTTTCGAAAGTGGCACTGTGCTAAACACACGAAATTTGCAAGAAAACTTCTGTCATTTTTGATTCGATTAAAGTTTGTACGAAATATGTACAACTTGTTTCGTATTTCTACTGCGTCTTGGTGTTCTACGAGCGACTGCACTTAAAATATTCAAGATAGCGTACAGAGTCGTTGAAGCTGGGAAGGAGTTCGATCCGCCGTTGTCAGGTACAAATTTTTGAGTATTTCACGATCAAAAGGTAAGTACTGTATTAAATTATTTTTGTAGTGAGGAACACGTTGTGATTTTGTGTTTGCCCGAATATTTCAACGATCGGTTTAATTGTAGAGGCTCGAGAGGTAAAAATGTTTGCACACTTGACGATCATGAAACAACACATGTTTGATCAAACGTTCTTTTCACAAACCAAAACATTGAAGTTGTCTGGCGGGAAAAATAAAAACAGTTACTCTTTCAAATACCGAGCTTTCACATTTCAAAGGTTTTGAAATATTTAAAAAGTATTTTTAAGTACTATTCACTGCTGTTCAAGTTTCTCCTTGGAGTTTTTTAACAACAACACATTCACGCGAGTCAAATTTTACGCAACGTCGCTTGTTTCGAGCAAATTTTGCAGCCTTTTGGTTTACCATTTATTTTGATATGGAGGATGAAGTACAGTGGACAAAAAATCTTCGTGGTATTCCCGCATTTACGCATGCATTATTGCTTGAACATTTGATAACTGACGACTCAAGTAAACTTGGAAAACCACCGAATGCTCACAAGCATAAAAAGTACGGCTATCAACTATTCAAAGATAAGATGGTTACCCAGGTTAAAGTCAAACCTAATGTTTTAAAAGGCCAGGAAAAGTTTTTCCTCTTTAAATGTGTTGTGCATGCCTCTATGAAAAAGGCACACTATGCTGTATATGTTCACCTACGCCAAGACACTGGTAAAATATCCCATGCAAGTTGTACTTGTACAGCAGGAAAAGGTGGCTGCTGTAAACATGTAGCTGCCTTATTGTTTCAAATTTTGGACTATATCCAACTTGAATTACCTGAAGTCCCAGATGACTTAACATGTACACAACTTTTACAACAGTGGCATGTGCCTAATACTAGTGAGAAACTTGAGAGTGCAGTGCTTTTCGACCAAGTAAAAATTAGCAAAGCAACTTCCAAGACAGAGAAGCATTATGTCTCAGAATACAACAACCCAGCACCTGTTTTTGCTAAGTGTGTAAATGTTGAAGATTTAAAAAAACTAGAAGATGGTTTAAAAACTGTTGGCACTTGTGATTATTTGCAGGGCCTTTTAGCATCTAATAATTGTGAACCATTCCACTATCAGGAATTTGTCAAGGAATTACCTTCTAAAAAGGCATTTAATGATGCAGACCTATTTGCAAATCAAATGTACAATGTTGAAATTCGAAAATCTATACTGGAACAAATTACTGTTCCTGACTTTACAGAAGTGTGCAAATATTTACCTTCTCAGGAGTATATGCCATATACTAAAAGCACTCTTTATACAACCAAAGAAAAATGGTTGATATTGAATGCAATACAAGAGGTCAATCCCAATGTAAACTATGGTTTAATGAACGACAAGGTCGTCTAACTGCCTCACATTTTGGTACTGTAATGAAACGAAGAGAGAATGTATTCCCTACTTCACTTCTTAGCAAAATCATCTTACCAGCAAGTAATGTTACTAAGCCCCAGAAGCCTGTCAGTGGGGCAACAGTAATGAGCAGATGGCCATTCAAAAATATTTAGAGCAAAAGAATTTTGAAGACCTGATGATGAGTGCATGTGTTCAGTGTGGGTTATTTGTTAACATTGAAGCCCCATGGCTTGGTGCAAGCCCAGACTGTTTGCTACATGATCATGTAGAGCCATCATTTGGAATAGGAGAGGTGAAATGTCCATTTTCAAAAAAAGAAATGACAATTATAGAAGCCTGCAAGGTTGACCCATCATTCTATTTACATGTACTTAATGGAAAACCACAACTTAAGAGAAACCATCATCATTTTTATCAAATTCAAGGTGTTATGTCTGCCTGCAAAGTGAATTGGGGAGACTTTATTGTTTATACAAACAAAGAAGTTTTTAGTGAAAGAATTTACTTTGACCATGAATTGTGGTACAAAACAATGTTACCAAAACTTACTTCTTTTTATTTCACATACATTTATCCGAAACTAGCTACTTAAGAAATAATTTAAAACAATTGTTTGATATTTATTCTGATTCACACTTTTCGTTTATCAAGGGTGGGTAAAATAGAGTGAGGTATGAACAAATTACCCATATTTTGTTCAAGTCTGATGACATCTTGAGGGGAAAAACATTTTTTATAATTCTATAACTCTTTATACGTTGTATTGCTCTTTCCACATGTACTCTCAATGATGCAATCTTCCGTGTGTCATTTTCAGCCCCAAGTGAAAGTTGACTAGCACCATTTAGAAAAGGTGGTATATTAAGCCCAACCCCAGCAGGCATGTCATCTGCTATATCAAAACCCCTGTCTGCCATAATGTCATCACCTGATTCAAGCAAATTAAGAATCCCACAATCTTTTGTCACTTGTTTATCAGATGCCCTTCCAGCATACAATTCGGATACAAATGTTGGATACCCAGCAGGAGAAATTCCAAGCAACCCCTTAGCTGTATTGTGATTTTTGTATGACGAGTATGTTACAGACTGACTTCTAAATGATGTTGGCATTTCAAGAAGTAGTTCTGTGCAATCAATAATTACACGGGTATTTGGATATGTTTCTTTAAAAGATTGTGGCATAGTTTGTTGCACATAATCACGTGATGCCCAGATAGGAAGGGCTCTTAACTTGTGATATAGAAACTCTAACCAAGTTGCCCATATACGGGAAACTTGAGCCTCTGAAATGCCAAATCTGTGAGCAATGTCAACCCCCATGAGACCGCACCGCAGGCGAACTAAAACCATAAACAACTCTTGCTCTGGTGTCATAGACCTTTTTCGCCCCTGCTTTTTTGACTCTGCCGAGTATTCCACATTGTTACTCGATCCAGCATAAGTTAAGAAATTACATGCTGGCTGGAGAAAGTCAAAGAAAACTTTAAATGTCGCATAATTTTGGAAACCTGTGTAGAATTTAAAATTTATGTCGCTGGCAAGTACATGTTCTAATCGCAGTGCACACTGTTTATATTTAGATGATAACTCCTCGTATTTTCTTTGTAAAGCTACATGATCATTTTTCAATTTTTCATAGTCCGAATCTTGTACATCAAAGGTAGTATTGTGCTGTTCAAACTGGTTTGTTTCAGTGGTTGTGTCCTTGTTTATTACACATGTATGTGCCCTTCCACGACTGCTATTTTCAGTCTGTCTGCATGATATTTTTGCAACAGTTGGCAATGCACCAAAAGATTTCTTTTCCACCGGGGAAGTGTAGGGAACACACTTGTGGCTTTTAGAGTTGACTTTGTATTCCTAATAAATTTAGCCATGTTTCTTTCAAGCTTGATCCAGGGAATTTATGGAACGATAATCCGGATTTTTAACATTGTTACTTCGACAGAATGGCACACAACACGTCGTTCCCCCATACTTTTTATCTTTGGGTACTTTCTTTGTTTCGCTTTCCATATATATCAAAATAAATGGTAAACCAAAAGGCTGCAAAATTTGCTCGAAACAAGCGACGTTGCGTAAATTTGACTCGCGTGAATGTGTTGTTAAAAACTCCAAGGAGAAACTTGAACAGCAGTGAATAGTACTTAAAAATACTTTTTAAATATTTCAAAACCTTTGAAATGTGAAAGCTCGGTATTTGAAAGAGTAACTGTTTTTATTTTTCCCGCCAGACAACTTCAATGTTTTGGTTTGTGAAAAGAACGTTTGATCAAACATGTGTTGTTTCATGATCGTCAAGTGTGCAAACATTTTTACCTCTCGAGCCTCTACAATTAAACCGATCGTTGAAATATTCGGGCAAACACAAAATCACAACGTGTTCCTCACTACAAAAATAATTTAATACAGTACTTACCTTTTGATCGTGAAATACTCAAAAATTTGTACCTGACAACGGCGGATCGAACTCCTTCCCAGCTTCAACGACTCTGTACGCTATCTTGAATATTTTAAGTGCAGTCGCTCGTAGAACACCAAGACGCAGTAGAAATACGAAACAAGTTGTACATATTTCGTACAAACTTTAATCGAATCAAAAATGACAGAAGTTTTCTTGCAAATTTCGTGTGTTTAGCACAGTGCCACTTTCGAAAAATACAATCGCCATGTTGAAAAATCTTGCTATGTAATTAAACTACCGTGATGCTTTGCAATTCTGCAATTGGCCCATAGGGTCACAGAAAGAATCTATAATCACGCTATAATGTAGGCAACGATCCATGAAATTACTCTAATAAAGATAGTTAAAGTCAACTTAACTCTTAAAAAATATACAAATTGTAACCATGTCTGACGCTTTCAAGGTTTCTTTATCCATTTCAAAGAAGAGTGACGGTTCTCAGCTGTTTTACAAGATCGATGGCGAACGTTTCAAAGAAAACAAGACTATAAAACTACACGTTGACACCGTATACAAAGTGACTATAGACGTTCGGCCTCCTTTGGATATAAGGTCAGGAAATCAGCGGGTTTAGGCCACCGTTTGATCACATTTGAACATACTGTCATAAAGACTAGTTTTATAAACTACCATATCACTATATGTTATGTTTTTTATAAGAGATAACTTGTTGATTATTATTAATCATATTTTTCTCATATTCCTTGTAACCTACTTGGTAAAAGCTTGTAGCTACTTCCTGAATTAGTCATCTGACAATCCACAAATTATTTTCATTGCTACAGATTCAATTGTATTGCTTCACTCCATCATATTAATGTTCCCAATATTCAATTTCAGCACCGTCAGTTTAAGTGGGATTAATGTCGATGGCACAGCAACAAAGACTGATTCTCAATCAAGCTTTTCAGGAACATGGTCTTCGGGTATGGTGCAGAAAACATCCAATAAAGTCCGGACGTTTCTACCTCTGCACGTACAATTCGGGGATGGGAGCTCTATTCAGATATCACTACAGAGCAAACTTTATAATTTGAAGGATAAAACTCATGTTGTTTGGGGAACACCATTGAAATGCATTGAACTAAAATGCAGCCGTCGTGATGGGATTAACTCAGTTTCAATTGATGATGTTAACTTTATGTAATACTGCTGTTCACAAACATTTATTTCATAATGTGACTTTTATATAATCATGATAACTCATTTTCATTTATACAAAATGCACATGTTAGTTCCCGAGAACATACTAAGTTTAAAATTATGAAATCATGCTGTCTCCAATAAAGAGTATAATAAATACATACTAATACTTTTACCATTGTTTAAATTAGATCATTATTAAATATATTAAATAATTATATTAGTTTTTATACAAGAAATGCGTTTATTGTGTAAATATATGGTAAATAGTTAGATTATTTTCCACTTAATTTTTATGTAAATCATGCATTTTGTACAAATAATTTTTAATTTACTAATTTTAAATAAATAATTATTTTATAAACATCTGCATTAGAGTCTAGTGCTTTTGTCGCCCTCTTGACTGAGTTGATGGTACAGCACACGATTCTTCTTCAACCCAGACATCAATTTATTCAACTCTCGTTTGTAGCAAAGCCGTATACTTACTGCCAATACGATACACAATGTCACCATAGATATGATCAACTTATTGGTCAGAGACAACCCTAAGGTATCACCAGGTAAATCATGGTTAACATGTGTTGGTTGAGGTATGACTGGCTTGCTATCAGTTATACTTATACCAATCCAAAGATCATCGAGAACCACCACATGCCCTTCTTTATCTTTTCTATATCCACCAAATAACCATACATTGCCATCAACTTGCCAAACATTTGCCCCAAATCTTGGGCTAGGATCAGGATACCTGGACCTGGATTGAATCCAAGTTAGGTTTGAGCTTTTCAGCATCCAATGAACTGAAGTATTCACACTGCCGGTACTGGCTATCCCAAGCAAATGAAGATTGGAGTTGTCATCAACCCACCTAACAAATCCATTCCTACTAGACCAATATTCTGGCTTTGTAATATTAACCTTAGATATTGCAACATTGTCATGACTTATTGACAGAAGCACAGAGTCCTTGCTCATATTTTGGGATGACCATACATACATGAATACCAAACCATCATGCTCATCATTCCAAAGTGAAAACTGATCCAACTTGGAAATGCCTTCATCCACATGTATTCTTTCTGTGATATTTATTGGTTCCCAGTTCATTGTTTTTAACTTGAAAACCCACAGTTTAATAGCATCCATGTTTGAATGGCAAATCAAAGATAAACTGTCTGAACTCTTGTCACACCACAATGCAAAACAACCATTCATGTCCCCAAAGTGATTTACAGTTTGAATCAAATTCCAAGCATTTGAAGATATATTGTACGCCCATAACTCTGATTCATTATTGTGAACTTGCTGACCAAAAACGAAAGCCCTGCCATGACAAAAACATGATAAACCATTGCTGAGCTTTGGGTATCCTGATGAATTTTTATGCACTACTTTTATCCACTTGTATGATTCCTGGTTAAATTTCCACAGTTCATATACATCTTTCTTCACCTCAGATTCATTCTTTCTCACAACCTTTTTACCAGAAAATAACCAAAGTTGATAACGGTCATCAGCCCAGGTCAATGCATCAAAAATGCCACTTGGTCGATTACCACTTTTGGCACTAATCTGACGCCAAACTAAATTCCCTTCAAAATTTTAAGTGTAAAAAATTCATGAGATGCAGATGGCAATTGACTTTTGACTGCGTTTAAAACAAAGATCAAACAAAACTGAAAAGAACGTCCGAAAATAACGGAAAGCCTGAAAACAAAGATTGGTTAATTAAATTACCCTAATAATTTCCAGATTACATAGTTCGCATGCCTAAACTTTAAACACGTAAAAGCAATTAAAAAATAACGTAAATTGCCTTCGTCGCATACTTAAATACATTAATAGTTTTGTAAAAATATTGTAAAGCAAGCTTCAATATACCCGAGTCTCCAGATGAAAGGTTTCCAAACAATGGGAATATCAGGAAAATCAAAAGTATATAGAACATATTATGAATTTATCAACTTTTCAAAAAGAAAAGGCGAATAGTTTCAGCATACTCTTGTTCGAGCTTTTCTGTATAGAATTTCTACCACTTATTAAAATTTCATGGCAATTTGTGCTTAAACAGTAAGGGACCGGGGAATCCCGGGGAAGCGTCGATAGCTGGCGGGAATGTACGATTGCGTCCGATTGCCATATTGTTTATTTTCTTCATTTCACATCATAGAATATTAAACTGCGAACATAAAATGGCATCTGGTAAGACTTTAACAAAAGGCAAAAGTGGCCTGCGAATGCTTCCAAACGACGACAAAGACCGTTCTCCTTTCACGATAGAAGAACCTCCTTGGCAGCCAGACGAAAAAGTGTGTGAATCGTTGTACAAATCTGCATTTTTTCCCCGAATACGCAGACATGTGTATTAATTTATTTCAATAGTCCCAGTACTTGTAACCTTATACCTGTATTCTGGCCTGTCGAAATTTGCCAGAAATTTTGACTTAAGAATGTTTTTTTTTAGTATACTTCGTGCGTGAAATGTAAAGCGACGTTTGATTTCTGGAAGAGACGGGTAAGTTTTTGTTCAGGCGTATATACCGCTTAATATAACTAGCAATATTAAATATGTCTATTGTTCATTGATTTTGTTTGGTTTAAACCTTGTTGAAGTAAATTGGATTGCATACAGTCCAGGCTTGGCAAAAAAAGTTTTATTAAAACTTTTTTAGTCATCATGCTTCAATAGTTAACTTATTAGCTGGCAATGCTTTTACACATGTCATTTCAAGAAAAAAAAGCAAAATACTTTCGCATTACAAATCACAAGCAACATATGGCACTAGAGATGACAAACTTGGGCTTATTGCCAATTAATAGGTGAAGCATAGCCAGTAGAATCACTAGCAAGTAGTTTCAGCACAATGCCTGAAAGATACTAATATGAAATGAACTGGCCATGAATTAACATATTTCTCCAAGCATGGTGTGAACCACTCATCTCATATTGTATTTCAGCATCATTGTCGAAGATGTGGCAATGTGTTTTGTGGGACCTGTTGTGATCAAAAAGTTCTTCTACCAAGACTAAACTTTGTTGATCCTGTTAGAGTGTGCGAGGAATGCGCTGCTGTGGCAAAGAAAGAAAATGAATTTTTTGATAAATCTTTGAAAGTTTTAATGAATGGTATAAAAGTTGATCAATACTGAAAATATCATCTTTGCCCTAATAATTGGGTTCATTTATGCTGGATTATGCTCCAATGATACTTCATTGCATTCTCATGATTCCTTTTTAGGAGCGGATTTTTATGTTGATGAATCAACAGAAGAAACTTTGCATTGTAAACTTAATCACAAGAATCACAGGTGGATGGTTGTACATATGTTAAATCTCTATTTGTTTCCCAATTTTCAATTCACTACTTTTTCACCACAGAGAAATCCTAATTGGCAAAAATCATGATGTCATTGATTTGACAAGACTCATCTCAGTAAAAACTGTATCTGATAATCCAGAAACCCAAGGTACTGATCTTTGTTGCCTGAGTATCCACCACACATTCCACTCCAACATTTCATCTTTTTCTTCCAACCTCTACAACATGATGCTGTCTCACTACTGACCCTATATACACCTATATACCCCTTCTAGGCATGCTTTTTATTTCCTCAAATTCCACACCCATTTGCCAACCCATACCATACCCCTTATAACTAACAGCCATCTCCAATTCCATCTTCTAGTCCTCTCCACCTGTCTATCCCTCTTTCCTAACCCTCATTCAAGCCCCATCTCACCCAGCCTGCCTTTCTGTTCCATAAGTCACCCCCTTCCCACAGAAGCTAATATATCAGTAGAGATCATCCATTAAGAAGTATATCTCTCTTCACATTCATTTCTCCCTAGGTTCAACTCTTCCCATAGTAACAGGTCTGATCTTCAAATGCAAAAATGAAAGCAGTAACTCACCTGAGACAAAACAACTACGAGCGTTGGAAGCTACACAAGAAGGCAGAAAGGCTTCGCTAAACTGGATTGTTGCCATGCAGAAGGTATTTGAAGAAAAGGAATTGGAAAAATGAATCATAACTTCAATTGCAGCTGTTGAAAAATGCCTTGAAAAATTTCACAAACAGTTCATATGTGTGCTTTGTTTTATTTTCAGGGAGTGAAGATCTTGTTTGAGGCAGGCCACTGAGATTCGTGAATGACATCACCTGGGGTAATTGATCCGGAAATTATTCCAAAAAAAAATATGGGAATCGTTTTCGCTATTGCTGTATACCAACGCTCTCTGCATCAAAACTGATCTCTGTACCTGACACTGGATAAAATATGATATAATTATATTACTGATACCCCATCAAACGCAGTATTTCAAAGACGTAATAATGCCGCGCTTTCGGAGTAATTCATGAACATAGTCATAGAATAGAACCACAAGAACTACAAGTTACAGATTCACAAAAGACGGGGGATTTCTTAAAAGAAAACGTAGTTACTGCATACTTTGTGATATTGTGTATGTTAAAAAGGTCATAATTTAGATTAATATGAAAGGAACTTAAATGGTTGTGCTTTTTTTCCTCTTTGAAAGAGGTTTGGTTGTCGCGTACCGTACGAGGTCACATATAACGCTGGGAATATTGAAAGTGAAAATAAGTGGATGTATCGAAAGTGTGAAATTGGGTTTATGTTAAATATGCTTGTTCAAAAGATCCAATTAGCACAAACGTAGTGTTGGGTCGGCAGAAAAGCACGATGGTATAAAAAAACAACCTTGAATGATCAAGATATGTATTTTCTGACATTTTTTGGATGTCGTACGTGTTTGCTAACTTTGCTTATAATTTCCGTTGGGCAAGTATCCTAATTGGTGTTAACCCTGTCCCCCCGTCATGACGTCATCTGACTGGAACTTAATGATCCGTACCAAAACAACAAAATTTGGCGAATTGTTTAAACTGGCTGTAAGTCAAGACATCCATTAAACCTTTTGGCTATCTTATGCATTTACCTATTCCATGAAACCTGGATATGGGTGGCCAGTCTGAGCCATCGGATCACTGTGGGGAAGGATTCCGTATCGGGTAAGAATCAAGAATCGTGGACACCTTGAACTGAAGAAAAGCAGCTCTTTTTTTCTCTTCCTCGTTTTCCACTCAGTCAACACCGATCTGCACACACAATGAAGGCATTTTTAGCGAGAGAAGACATCCAGATGCTTTGAACGAGTGATAAGTTAAATCATAGGTTAAATTGATAATCTGATGTTGGATGACAGTTTGGCTGCTGACGTATACATTATGTCGTCGCGGTATAATTAAGCAAATCTAATTAAAGAGAGAAACCGGAAAAAAATAGAACAATGAAGTGAAAATTTTGCCAAGCCCTTGATTGAACCGAATGTGCTCAAAAATTGGATCAGCGTTTTTTATAAGCAGTACACGTTGTACTACAGATAGTATGTACGTGATCTGTCACAGTCACACAGACAGTAAGCTAGAGCAAATAAAAACAATGGTTGTATATTACGAACGTTTTTTAAACGTCAAGACATCCTGTGTGTGAATTAAATGTTAATTTGTCTCGTCAGCGGCCGGAAGCGATCGTCCAGGGACGGATCCAATAATGTCTGTGTAGAAGACCTCAGTTTCCGGAACGAGAGTACAAACCTATTTCAAACTGCGCTTAGCTGTTAGAAATTTCTGTCTAATAGTAATAGGATTTCAATAGATCACGCGGATTTCGTCTGATAAAACCATTTATAGAGTCGATAAATTCCATTCTAGCATATTTTCAAAAGTGTTGATATGCTCGATTGTGTTGTGTGTGTGTGTGTTTTTGCAGGACGCCAGTTTTACGATTTCTAATGACGGTTCCAAGAATGAAACTGCGACGGCAAATTTCCGAGACTAGGAAATTGCTAGGATGTGGAATACTGGAATTCTTCAATTTTTCGTTTTTATTATGTGGCAATATGTGTGACCAGTCAATCCTCTAAACTTAAGCTCAGTTGCTTACAGGCTCACACACCCCAATTAGGCGAGGTTTGGGGTTGGTCTTCGTAAAGTTTTGCGCTGAAAAATGTGTTCCATTCATTATTGGAGAAAAACGTGCAACGTCTGTGGAAAATTTAATTAAGATTCGTCATCCACCCAGCTAGGATCAAGGAGTGCTCATTGATAACGAAGGCTTCCTGGGAAATGAAAAGTGATATGTACGTCAAACAGATGTGAATGTGTCAACACCTTCTGCTGTGTCAGCACCCTGCTGAATGTAGAGGTTGAAGGTATCCGCTTATATAAACATTGGATATTGCCCGCACCAAATTAGTGAAGCCAGTAGGTCATCTGGTTCTGAATACGACAACTTGGGCAGAAATTTCAACTCAGATTGATACAGAATTATGACGAAGGTAAGAGAATGAACGTGACATACTTTCATTTAGGTCTGTTTGTTCTGTTCTTCTCAATCTCTGAATAGATAGAAGAGTTAACTGATCGATATCAATTTAACTATCAGCTCAACTAAAATGGATTATACTCGGGCCTAACAAAATCCTGAATTCTTAAAGCAGCGATATTTTCAACGACGGAACAGATAATTATACAATTGAAGAAAAAACTGCTTTAGAATACTCTTTACCTGTGATAGCTAAAGTTGTCCCTGTGATGCTTCACAGACGTAAGTTATTGGTTTCACACTGAGCCGTAAAACAAAAATTTTTCAACAATCGTGTAACGAATTCTTGCGGCAAAATAAGGGAGCGGCGTACTTCAATAAAGTACTTGGATATTTACAAGGCGTACTTTATGCTAATTAGTGCGTGAGAGAGAGCGGCGACGCGCATAGAAAAACAGGATAGCAGATGTCCGAGTGTTCAGATGTTTTAGTAATTATCTTGCATGGGAACATTTCTGTTGTACAAGTTAAATACTGTACAAGTCAGCACGGTTTAGTTTGAAAGCTTGTTTGCAGATACATGAATAAACAGTGAATTAGAATACTTTTTGAAAGCCAAAAAGCACAGACGAACTTTCTAAAATTCAGCATGCAGTTAGTTTTAAGAAGACACGTCTTCTTGCCTGATGTGCAAGAGGGAGACACGATGATGGAGAAGAAAAGGAAATAATCCCACACTTCAAGGAAAAAGCAAACAATCCTACGTAAAACAAATCACCTCAATGACTCTTCGCACGTTCTTCAAAATAGTTTTTAGGTCGAAAGGTTAGCCCAGTATTTCTACCACTTCCTATACTATAGTTCGAGTCATTTGGTATAATAATTTGACTATTTTCGTTGTAGGTCTGTGCTACGTATTTTTTTCTTGTGATAATATGGAAATTCAGGATTGGTCTCGCAACCGAACAAGAGAAAGACGTGAGTTCACATATATTGGCCACTTTGTGATCCAGAACGAGCTAAATACGAACTATGAGATATACAGTCGTTGTATCTTGTTTTCTCCTTCTCTTGTTCCGCAGTATTCTGCCATAAATTCTAGTTTTCTTCCATACTCCATCATGTACTAAGGCATGAATCGAGTAAGAGACAGGAAGCGTTCACCTAGCGAATTTTTCAACTGTCAGTTCGATAACATCCTGGCAACATTGCATTGACAATCTCAGCCAATTGTTGACCAATAAGCCGACCAAAAATAACTGTGAATAATAGGACAGGATTCCTTAATTTCAATACAGGTCGATGCCTAAAAGTCTAGTCCTAAGCCAGGAAAGGACTCCTGGTGTATATAGGCCAGTATAGTCTTCGGCCATATATGGTCAGGCTTCGGTCTTTGTGGATTGCCAGAGCGTCAGCACATGAGATGCATTGATTGGTATATTATTTTCTTGCAGCCCTACGCTTACCTAGAGCGATATGGATACATCAAGTCAATGACAAGTGTCATTTCACACGCGCACACGGCTGATGCGGCGATTCGCAAGTTTCAAAGATACGCACAACTGCCAGTCACTGGCAAGATGGATCTCGCAACGAAACGCAAGCTGACTGGACCTCGATGTGGTGCACAGGATTTTAAACCGACATCGAGTGTGATTGGTCAAGCGGTTAGCGGGGTTCCTGTGGGGTCTTTTCGAGACATGCGCAGAAGAAAACGCTACGTACAACAGGGGACAAAATGGCGAAAGCAGGTATTTGTCCCTGACAAACATGATTTTAATCTACAGGGTGTCCCAAAAAAAAAGCAACCACTTAAATATGCAGAACATTAATACAGCTCTAAAGCGCAATAGATAAGTACCTCTGGGAATTGAAAATGGCTCTTAATCCTTCATTTACAATGCTAAAAGTCATTTTAGCTGAACTATGGTGCAAACCCGAACAATATTAATATTCTTGCATATTTAAGTGGTTGCGTTTTTTTTGGGACACCCTGTATGTGAAATTATAGACAATACCCTTTTTGATGTACAATAGTCCTTTCAGGAATAGTCCATACTTGTACTAAAGTCTATTTAAAATGACAAGCAGTTACTTTAGTCTAGACTCTAGTTTCTTAACATACTAACACTGCCATGCACTGAATGGTAGATGAAAGCTTTTGCTGTACAAATAATTCTTTTATTCATAATTCTTTCAATCCTAAAAGCTTTTTTTCAATGTTTACAGACCGTCAGCTGGAGTTTACACAACTACCCTTCAAATTACGTCGCCTTATCGCGAGCAGATGTTGACCGAACCTTAGTGAAAGCGTTCAAAATGTGGCAATCCGTTACCACCCTGCGTTTCAGGAGACTAAGTAACAATCGTAATGCCGACATTATAGTACGCTTTGGTAGTTACGACCATGGCGATCCGTATAGTTTTGATGGTCGAGGTGGCACTTTGGCCCATGGTTTCTACCCAGGATCTAATACAGGTATGCTTTTCATTTCAAATCTTTTTTGATGCCTGGTAAGGATTTGAGAACACTACATAACTCAGTAGAGGACTATAGTACTCACCAACCAGCATATTTCAAAGCCACAATAAGACCAACTCTGGACTAAGCAATCTGGATCCAGCAATGATTGGTACCTATAAACAACTGGTAATGGTGCATTATCGTTTTCGTTTTATCATTCTAAAGGTCTGGATGGTGACATCCACTTCGATGACGATGAGACGTGGTCATTGAACGGTCAAGACGACACTACAGATCTACTGTGGACCAGCCTGCACGAGATCGGTCACGCTATTGGCTTGGAACATTCAGACAGAAGGCAAGCGATCATGTGGCCCTGGTTTGAAGGTTTTCAAGCCGGACTGAAGCTCAGACAAGATGATATTTCTGGGATACAAAGCATTTACGGTATTGTAGATTTCTTTGTCGACATAGACGTTCAATACGGGTTGCCATAAATCTTCAATGTATTTGTATGATGAACTGTGAATCCAGGAAATCCTGACGTTTATTCCAACCATAATATTTAGGTGCTCGATCAGGATACATCACGTGTCCGGCTACCAACGAAGTGATGCCGAGGGTGTCGTCAATCTGTAACTATGGCAACTTTGATGACGTGGTCTACCAGAAGGAAACCTGCACAACCTACATCTTTCGGGGACGCTACGTGTGGAGAATGAATCACGCGAAAAAGGCAAGCAATCATGAACGAATATCCTCAAAATGGCGCGGACTCTTTGACAACATTGATGCCGCATACACCAGAAACGATGGCTCGATCGTGTTCTTTAAAAATAACAGGTAATTTCTCGGATAAGGTCCAGCAAGAGTAATTTCATTACTGAATGAATGAATGCGAGAGAATTAAGATGTATTAAGTGTAGTGCACATAGTATATTTGCTAATTTAATATGGTAATGCAGTACATGGATCCTCTAATCTCTGCAGGAAAAGAGGCGGGTATAAGAGAAATCCTTCAAACGGAGTGTTTTATTTTCTAGATACATGATTTATGACAAGAACTTCCGAAGTATCAAAAAACAATCACGAATCAGCAATTTCATCAAGAACGGAAGGGAAACTGGATTGGACAGAATTGATGCAGCTATGGTCTGGGATGGCAACTCGAGAACATATTTCTTCCGTAATGACAAATACTGGCGGTACAACGAGAAAACAAAGTCAATTGACCCTGGTTATCCAAAGAGTACATCTCTATGGCGTGGTGTCCAGACCCCTGTAAACGGCGCGTTCAGTTGGAAAAGCAGCAAAACATTTTTCTTGAGCGGCAATAAGGTCGATAAATTCAACAATAATAGGTTTGCTGTGCAAAAATTAGGACGAGGTATAAACAAGTTCATTAAAAATTGCTAGTCAGCATGTGGACGTCATTTTGGACGATGTGAAAAAGTCAAACCTATCTTGTCTCCAGTGTATGCATATTATTCTCAAATCAGTTCCAACTGTTGTTCCCAAGTAACTGAAGATATTTATAAACACTATATTACATCAGTCACCTTGACACGGTCGCGACAATTACCTGAATACGTTTGTAAATATATAACGCACGTTAATTTCAATGTGAATAAATTATAATGACAAAATATGGTGATATCAATGTTACCCATACGATAGTCTGTTTTTCAAACGTCGAAATTCGTCGCAGCACCGATGATTAACCGACGACGGACATCCACGACGAATTCAGTACAAAAAAGAACATAAGAACTGTGTTTCCAAAAATTTGAAACTGTCTAAGTTACGCAGGCATTTTCCGGGGCAGAAAATGCGCAGATTTCGTAATCGGCAATTACAACAGTAATCGTGCGTTCCAATTAGTGAGGTCATAGAAACGCGTGCGATTGAACTATCTTTAAAAAAATCTCAACGCGAAACGCATGCAAAATATCGTCGAAGAAATACTACCGGTGTAGTGGAATGTGATAAAATTGATTGGAATTTAACAGCAAAGTGATCCATGGTGAGGCATTGATGGAATAAAAATCCATGTTGAGAGTCGTGACTCTAACTTCGGTTATTCACTTTTTTTCACATAGTTTAAGTGTGGTGATATTCACTTTAAAAAGAAAGAGGTCTATTTGGGAGTCTCGTTGATGACTGGACTTTTTCTGTCTGCAACTTTATTCAACGACTTCGTGGCGTACTTGGAATTTGAGATGCCCGAACACACGACGCAGGGTTTCACCTTTGCCATCATGGTAAGATCACTAGTCGAAGACCAGATCTGACATCATTTTACATCCATAATCCTGGATCTTACACGATAAGCGAAGCATGTGATCTAGTAAAATTCTCATCAACGAAGTATTCCAAAATAAATTAGCAATCCAACCTTATTGTATAAGAAAGACCCCATGAAGACAAGGGGTATATTCACAGCAGTAAAATTCCTAACCAGTCTTCCCGACAAGTTCTGACGAGGTGGTCTCATTTTTCTTTTCAATTTTAGCTTATCAACTTGATTTCCTTCAAAATGGCCATCCTAGCCTTCATCTATAACTGTTTAGCTATGAAATGTATCGCAAAGCAAATATCAGCTGTGTCAATAGGTACGTTTTTCTAATCTTTTTGGACGATCCTAGTTTGGTTTGTATATTTTACGCGGGATCTTAGTTCAGACGTGTGCACGAAGAGACAAGATATTATATTTGTTATCTAGCGTGGAACCTGGTTTTATTTATTGTGAGAATATCATTGGACCTAGCGCTCATCGAGTACAGACAGGAAGGGTACGCCGTGGAATGAAATGAAAAGGTAATGAAAGGTAATTCACAGAAAAAAATGCATGTTTTTGATTGTCGAGGAAGCCACAAACTCTACACCAGTTTTCAAACTCAATTGTAAGGAAATTCAAATTGAAAAACAAAGAGGTACCATCTACCAACACCATGCTTAAATAACATTCATGTATCCGGTAGATTTAGCAGAAGTACATATAGCACAAGTCTAGTCAATAGCAAGACGTACATATAGCCTTATCATCTGTCTATCATTCCAGGAATTTTCACGGAGTATTCCAAGAAAGTAGCGTGGCGCCAAGACGATACAGCGAAGTTTTATAGATATAATTTAGAGCTAAACGGTAGATAGACGATATTTAAAGACATTTTCATATATTTTATGTGTGTTCGCGTGTTTTTAAAAAAAACACAAGAAAATAAAGGCAATATACGAGGAATGAAGTCGCTTATTCGATTTAAAAACATCCATTTTACTGTTCCTCGAAAACGTACAACGTCTACAATTTATGAATCGAAGATCCCTATAATAACTGCGGGGTAAGGCAGATAAAATATCTCTGAGAAAAACATAGTTACATGTTTGTATATGGATCTCGGTTCACAGAGAAAAAACTACCCATTGTTGACTTTAAATTATGTTAGGTAGTTAAATTATGTTAGGCACATATAGGTATCACACATGCTGTAAGTGTACATATCTACAGCACTGATTCATCAATATTTCAAGTATTCCTATGGTCATTTCAGAACACAAGTGCACCAGCTTGCACTCTGATGTACCACCAACTATTTTTACAGTTGGGTTAAATTCTGGAAATTGATACAACCTGCTTATTAAGCTGTGTCATCTTCCACTCTAATGTTCGGGTTGGCTCGAGGATCCAGTAGCGGATCATTATTGGCTGTAATTCTACCCGCCCTTGTCATCATAACAATGAGAGTTATGCCAACAAGAATGGCTAAAAACACAAGAATTGCAGTTCTCTTTAATGGACTGTTTGAATCCTCTTTTATTGCTCGATTTTGTTTCCGTAATCTATGAACAACAAACACAGGTCTGGTCAAAAACCAGTCCGAGTTTACCCAATTTTTCAGGTCTCAAGGTCTTATGTTGAGAAACACAAAATCCTTAGTTCTTCTCAAAGCATGTATTCCTCAAGAGAGGAGCCATTTATCAGGATTTTTAAAAAAAATCCAGGTTAGGTTTTCTTCAAGGTAGAGACATGCATGCGGAATGCCCTACAAATTCACAAACAGACTGACTTTAAAATATAAGATAACAACAAAACATACCCAAACCATCGACTGAACCATTGTACGGCACCTCGCCTTTTGTACTTGTCAACATCATGATCTTTTAATGCTGAGTCTTCATTTTGCTCTCGTGCATCAAATATTTTCCTTGAAACAGTACCTGCAATGGATGATGTTTATTAGAAAAGATGATGGTGGCAGCACTTCATGGAAATATATATATATTAATCAATTACAAAATGAATAGAAAGAAAATTATACCTGTGCCATGTTTTTCCATGCGCGGGTAGGTCGCTTGAGGGGATGCTGCCGCAGCTGCGTGTTGCTGAGATTCGGGTCGGATATCCACAACATGTTGTTTGGGTGTGAACGCAGGTGCTGGAGCCTCCCCTTCATGCATAGGAGTTGATGTTCTTGTGAGAGTTGTTGTGTTACCCTGTTGGTACAGGTCTTGAACTTGATTTCTTAGTTCTGAAGTTCAATGATCAAGAGCATTATTATGAAGTCATGAACAAATACTAGAACCGCTTTCCTTTATACAGTAAAAACGGCCAAACTGGTCCTGTTGTATTTTGGCACAGACAGATTACTAGTGTCTTTTAGTGTTTCAAGAACTCCGCATTCAAGTATATTGTTATTCACATCTGTCTAGCATGGGAAATGCAGTTTCACCCTTATATTGGAAATACTCTAAATTTCCATTCAAAATCTGACCGGCCTGAATCAAAATTACTATTTACATAAATACCTTTATGATTCCCCGAATGCTCCACTTCATCTTGTGCATCATTCTGAGTACCAGCCTGAAAATTTGCCAACTTTGCTTACTTATATTTTCAGTACTTTTCCGTACAATATTCCCCAACCAAACTTGGCAATTTTACCAAACTTAGCATGCTCTTTGACAGCCTAAAAGACTGAAGAATGCAAAAATACTGACAAGCAATGTCAAATATATTTTTTTACACTTACCAGGGGTAAACCAAGACCGGTTCTCGCCCAATTTACATTGATTAGTTTCTTTTTTAAGGCCTCAGCGACAGGTGATACTAGATTGTTTGGCGGAAATACACACACCTTGAGAAAAAGCAAAAATATTTAAAAATAACTCGACGGCAAATGAAATCTCCAACTTCACTCTGAGTAAAATATTGGGAAAACACTAACCTTGCAGTTAGGACAAGTATACCCCGCTGGTGCCGTATTCGGAGGAAGACTTGATGCAAATTTATTCAAACAATCCCAGTGAAACACATCTATACAGACAATAAATATTTATACAAGGATACTGTCAACATCAAGAGAATACTGTTAATGGTACTTTGAAATCACCACAACTTACCATAGCAAGTCAACCTGACAGTATCACCATTAGACAGATTACCATTACATAAAGTACACACAGGATTATAATCGCTATCTTGCAACCAATGTAGATAGGATTTCACAATACACTGGAAAAAAGGGCATGAGAACTCAGAAATGATCCCGACTCAGTTCTGGATGAGGGTAGAAAACATAATCCATACTTACTCTAGAATGCCCAGAGACAAGGCAATGTTCACAGACATTTACACGATGTTCGAAGCAAAATTGATTCGTTACTTTCTTCTTGGGACATTTACATAAACCCATTTTAAGCAAATCAACGTTTTCACAGGGAAATTTACGGCAAATTGTACGATTCTTTAAGACTATGCCACGTCCTTATCGTCGGCCATGATAGTTACCGTATTAACCTACGCGAACTGGGGCGAGTATACAGTAAAAATTCAGTCCGTCTCCCTCCTGGTTTTTATCAAACTTATATCTGTGGTCGAGTATACCGTTATTCGATATTATCGAATTAGTCGTTTTCCGGCGAATTCGACCATGGTCGAATTAGTCGTTTTCCGGCGAACTCGACCATGGTTGAATTAGTCGTTTTCCGGCGAACTCGACCATGGTCGAATTAGTCGTTTTCCGGCGAACTCGACCATGGTCGAATTAGTCGTTTTCCGGCGAACTCGACCATGGTCGAATTAGTCGTTTTCCGGCGAACTCGACCATGGTCGAATTAGTCGTTTTCCGGCGAAGTCGACCATGGTCGAATTAGTCGTTTTCCGGCGAACTCGACCATGGTCGAATTAGTCGTTTTCCGGGGAACTCGACCATGGCCGAATTAGTCGTTTTCCAGCAGGCTCGCCCCTGGTCGAATTAGTCGTTTTCCGGCGAACTCGACCATGGTCGAATTAGTTGTTTTCCGGCGAACTCGACCATGGTCGAATTAGTCGTTTTCCGGCGAACTCGACCATGGCCGAATTAGTCGTTTTCCAGCAGGCTCGACCCTGGTCGAATTAGTCGTTTTCCGGCGAACTCAACCATGGTCGAGTTAGTCGTTTTCCGGCGAACTCGACCATGGTCGAATTAGTCGTTTTCCGGCGATCTCGACCATGGTCCAGTTAGTCGTTTTCAGGCGAACTCGACCATGGTCGAATTAGTTGTTTTCCGGCGGACTCGACCATGGTCGAATTAGTCGTTTTCCGGCGAACTCGACCATGGTCGAATTAGTCGTTTTCCGGCGACCTCGACCATGGTCGAGTTAGTCGTTTTCCGGCGAGCTCGACCATGGTCGAATTAGTCGTTTTCCGGCGACCTCGACCATGGTCGAGTTAGTCGTTTTCCGGCGAGCTCGACCATGGTCGAATTAGTCGTTTTCCGGCGACCTCGACCATGGTCGAGTTAGTCGTTTTCCGGCGAACTCGACCATGGTCGAGTTAGTCGTTTTCCGGCGAACTCGACCATGGTCGAGTTAGTCGTTTTCCGGCGAACTCGACCATGGTCGAATTAGTCGTTTTCCGGCGAACTCGACCATGGTCGAATTAGTCGTTTTCTGGCGAACTCGACCATGGTCGAGTTAGTCGTTTTTCGGCGAACTCGACTATGGTCGAATTAGTCGTTTTCCGGCGAACTCGACCATGGTCGAATTAGTCGTTTTCCGGCGAACTCGACCGTGGTCGAGTTAGTCGTTTTCCTGCGAACTCGACCATGGTCGAGTTAGTCGTTTTCCGGCGAACTCGACCATGGTCCAGTTAGTCGTTTTCCGGCGAACTCGACCATGGTCGAATTAGTTGTTTTCCGGCGAACTCGACCATGGTCGAGTTAGTCGTTTTCAGGCGAACTCGACCATGGTCGAATTAGTCGTTTTCCGGCGAACTCGACCATGGTCGAGTTAGTCGTTTTCAGGCGAACTCGACCATGGTCGAATTAGTTGTTTTCCGGCGAACTCGACCATGGTCGAATTAGTCGTTTTCCGGCGAACTCGACCATGGTCGAGTTAGTCGTTTTCCGGCGAGCTCGACCATGGTCGAATTAGTCGTTTTCCGGCGACCTCGACCATGGTCGAGTTAGTCGTTTTCCGGCGAGCTCGACCATGGTCGAATTAGTCGTTTTCCGGCGACCTCGACCATGGTCGAGTTAGTCGTTTTCCGGCGAACTCGACCATGGTCGAGTTAGTCGTTTTCCGGCGAACTCGACCATGGTCGAGTTAGTCGTTTTCCAGCGAACTCGACCATGGTCGAATTAGTCGTTTTCCGGCGAACTCGACCATGGTCGAATTAGTCGTTTTCCGGCGAACTCGACCATGGTCGAGTTAGTCGTTTTTCGGCGAACTCGACTATGGTCGAATTAGTCGTTTTCCGGCGAACTCGACCATGGTCGAATTAGTCGTTTTCCGGCGAACTCGACCATGGTCGAATTAGTCGTTTTCCGGCGAACTCGACCATGGTCGAGTTAGTCGTTTTTCGGCGAACTCGACTATGGTCGAATTAGTCGTTTTCCGGCGAACTCGACCATGGTCGAATTAGTCGTTTTCCGGCGAACTCGACCATGGTCGAGTTAGTCGTTTTCCCGCGAACTCGACCATGGTTGAGTTAGTCGTTTTCCGGCGAACTCGACCATGGTCAAGTTAGTCGTTTTCCGGCGAACTCGACCATGGTCGAATTAGTCGTTTTCCGGCGAACTCGACCATGGTCGAGTTAGTCGTTTTCAGGCGAACTCGACCATGGTCGAATTAGTTGTTTTCCGGCGAACTCGACCATGGTCGAGTTAGTCGTTTTCAGGCGAACTCGACCATGGTCGAGTTAGTCGTTTTCCGGCGATCTCGACCATGGTCGAGTTAGTCGTTTTCCGGCGAACTCGACCATGGTCGAATTAGTCGTTTTCCGGCGAACTCGACCATGGTCGAATTAGTCGTTTTCCGGCGGACTCGACCATGGTCGAATTAGTCGTTTTCCGGCGAACTCGACCATGGTCGAGTTAGTCGTTTTCCGGCGAACTCGACCATGAGTTGCATGATGGTCGTATTTGCCATTTTCCGGCGAACAGGACCATGGTCGTATTTGCCATTTTCCGGCGAATATGACCATGGTCGAAAACGCCGGTTTCCGGCCGACTCGACCATGGTCGAATAATGAAGCGGTCAGAAGTGTATTAGGATAGTGCAATTGCGAGGACCGCACGCGTGTTTCGAGCGATCGCGCCAAATTCAGTCACGTGACTTGGGGAAAGAGAACAAAAGAGAAGTCCGCCATTATTCAAGATAGAGATACAAAACAGTGTTTTACCGACTTATTTAAACATCAAGCGGCTTCTTTTGACTTTATTGTTTGTTGAAGTTTGGATCAACATTAAGTTTGTATGATTTAATTGTAAGAAGCAAGAATTTTGAATATATTTTGTATGTTTACGTATATGACATGTCGTGTTGAAACCTGTTTCTGTGCGCTTTATCAATTTTGACTATGAATTATACCGCATCCCGGTACAGTAAAACACTGCTTAATCGTTGACGAACGCTTTGGCAATTGGTTGTTTGTGCTTGTGAAGAAGAGACATTGGAATTTGTTTGGCAAATTTATAAAACGTCGCTTGAAGACTACGCACTATAAACAACGATAAAATGGACGAAGTTGAAACCAAGAAACAAGAACGTAGTAAGTCAAAAATGGCTGTTACACGTACATCACGAAGACTTATCGATGCAGCCCACAGAGACGTCGATTTCGAGACGTTGAAAGGTTTTATCATGGAACTTGAAAAGGTATATGATGATTTTGTGTTATTACTGAAGAGTATGAGTTACTAGTTTCCGAAGAAAAGTTTGCTGAACACCGTGTGGTTAATGGGGACGACCTTGCTACTTATAATGCAAACGTTAAACAAACATATGAAGAAGCGCGAGATGTTTATGTTAAAATAAAGGCTGAGAATGACAAGTCTAAGCAGAATTTAGCAATGGTACCCCTCATGACAGCCCTAAGGAGAGACATGAACAGATTACAAGATATAATTTCAGCTGTTGATGACAGTTTATCACAAGAAACCCCTAGTTCAGAAGGTTTACAAATGGACAGGATTGACATGGAGACTTTATTAAATGAAATGTGTGATAAAATAGACAAACTAACTATTATTCAGCCAGACACTTACATGCTGAATGATGTGGAGACAATAATGGGCACTGCGTATAATAAAATAAGGAAGGTAAACCTTCACTTGAAAAGGAACCAGGTTCCTAAAGCGCAAGTGATTGTATCAAGAGATGATGAGTGCCCAACAAACACAAAAGGTATGTCAACTAGTTTAACAACCCTCGTGACTGGGGAAGTTCAAACCCTAGCAAATGGTCCTACTTTGGAGTCAGTTGGGCCCACTTCTTTGAATATTCTCCCTAATAATCCTGCATCGGGCACACAATCCGTGAAAACTGCTCTTGGTGTTGGCCCCATAATGAGTATTACACCCATTTCTAGTAATAGTTCCACCATTGTACCCCCCTAAGTCCACCAGTCAGTCAGATGTCCAGTTCCACCGTTGTACAACCCCTAAGTCCACCAGTCAGTCAGATGTCCAGTTCCACCGTTGTACAACCCCTAAGTCCACCAGTCGGTCAGATGTCCAGTTCCACCTTTGTACCCCCCCTAAACTCACCTATTGGTCAGATGGCAAGCTCTGCCTTCGTGACTGCACCCCATCATTATAGTAGTGTACATACCACCCCAGAAGTAACAAACCCTCCCTATAGTTTACCGACTAACTCTAGATCAGAATTAAACCCACCGCTACAAAATTGTGTATCTGGAACTTATCCCTGGTATTATAATACAACATCAGTTGGGTCTCTTGTTCCTTCACATGCAGCAACCATAGCGCCACAGAATGAGTCACGGCAATCTCACCCAATTGGGTCACCTTTAATCAATAACGCTAACATAAGTTTGAAGAAAACTTCCTTACCAACGTTCAGTGGTTTGAGAAAAGATTGGCCTGAATTTAAGGCTGTGTGGAAACAACTAGCAGAGTCAGTATATTTCAATAAGACCGCTTTGGCTCATGAACTAAAGAGGTCAGTCAAGGGAGAAGCCAGTCAACGAATACGTTCGGTATATATAACCCGGCCAGAAGCATATGATACAATGTGGAAGAAGTTGGAAGCCCACTACGATGATGCGAGTGCAAGTGTACAAGCGGCACTAACCGGCTTACAGCATTTAAAGCCTGTAGAGAGTGAGGATTATAGAGCCCTAATAGACTTGGTGGATGACGTGGAAGCGGCCTACTGTCAGCTCCAAGAACTCAATCATTTAGACATTTTGACAATGAGAGATGTGGACCACATCAGCAAGTTTCTACCAAGCCATGTCAGAGTCGAATGGATTCGCAAGTATCAAGATATGCCAGCTGTTGAGAAGGTAAACCCCTTCCCACACTTCATGAAATTCATAGAGCGAGAACGTGAAGCTGTTGCCAGATTAGCTGAGAGTCAACCTACTAAGAAGAGATTACCATTCTTTGATAAATCAAGAGCAAAAGGACAGCTTCATCAGATCAATGCTGGCAGCCGAGGAGGAAAGTTCTATAAGTGCGCCTTTCCTGCACACAGAAAGGACCATATTAACCACAAAACTAGTGATTGCAATGAATTCAGAAAGCTGGAAGTGTCTGGTAAACAAGGAAGATATGAACTCTTGAAGCAAATAAATGCCTGTTTCAAGTGCTTCGGCAACCACAAGAGACAAGACTGCCCCAAGACCGATCCTTGCTCATCATGCGGAAGTAAGTCACATCACCAACTATTGTGCAAGCCAAAGAAACCCCCAATTATCCCACCAGAGCAACCGGAGGTAGAGAAAGACAAACACGAAGAGAAAGAAAGCAACGTGGTACAAAGTGACACCCTAGCCCTTTATCCCATTTACCAACTACTGTTGTTGAAAGTGGCAAGTCTGTGAGTGTCTTCTGTGATGGAGGGTCAAATTCAAGTTACATTACTCATCGTGCGGCAGATAAGGTCGGAGCTAAAGTGGTACGGAAGTTAACTCTCGACATAACTACTATGGGCAATGTAGAAAAAACCTACAGCACACGCGAGTACCAGTTTACAATGAGAACTCGTACCGGTAGGAAGGTTACAGTCAATGCATTCGGCATGGAAAGAATAACGGGCCCAGTGAGCAAGCTCAACCCAGACGTATTGGCCAAATTGTTTCCTGATCACGACCCAGAGTCCCTTCAAAGGAAGTCCGAACATATTGACGTGTTACTTGGGTGTGACTATTTCGGACTTCACCCAAAGAATGAAGAAGCACGGTGTGGTGCAAACCTAAGCATAATGAGTGGCGAACTAGGAATTTGCCTGCAAGGAACACACCCAGATCTTAGTGAAGAAACGTACCACGACACGAACTTGGCGAAAACGATCCATGATGTTCGACACAAAGCTGAAACGTATTCGGCCTGCCTTGGAACTCATCCAGAATTCACTCGTCAAGGATTGTCACCCCAAATTATAGAGGGGAACACCGAAGCTCATCATAGCATGTGCAACGTCGCCAGGTTAAAGATCGACCGAGGAGGAGACAGCCAGATAGAGAATTTTATCCGAGGCGAAGAATTAGGCACCGAGACGTCTCCTCGCTGTGGCGGTTGCCGTTGCAACAAATGTCCAAGTGTCGGTCATACTTATTCATTCAAAGAGGAACAAGAGTTAAAGATGATTCAGGACAACTTGGAGTACGATGAGCAGAAACGTTGTTGGATAACAAGCTATCCCTGGTTAGTTAACCCAAGCAGTCTTCCTGATAACTACAGTGCTGCTTTAGCCACACTGCGAAACACCGAACGAACTTTGTCTCGAGACAGTAAATGGGCTGAAACCTACAAAGTTCAAATGAAAGATATGGAGGACCGTCAAGTGCTCGTAAGTTATCTCCACAAGAACTGAAAGAATGGAAAGGACCTATATTCTATATTGCACACCTGGCTGTAGTCAACCCTCGTTCGAATTCAACTCCTGTACGCATCGTCTTCAATTCTAGTCAAAGCTATCGTGGAGTGTCGCTGAATTCCTGCCTGGCCAAGGGTCCGGATGCTTACATCAATAACTTGATTGGAATCCTACTACGATGGAGAGAGGAGTATGTAGCCTTTGTTGGAGACTTGAAGAAGATGTTTAATTCTGTCCACCTAAAGTCATTGGAGCAACATTGTCATCGGTTTCTTTGGCGAGACATGGACACTGAACGTGAACCAGACGTTTATGTGATGGAACGAGTCAACATGGGCGATTCACCAGCGCCGGCTATTAGCACAGAAGCGGTTTATAAGACTGCGAATTTATTTCAGGAAGACAGCCCAGAGGCTGCTGTGATGCTGAAGAAGTCCAGCTATGTAGATGACCTAATTGATTCCCGTTCCAAGAAACAGGATGCTCTGAAACTTGCTTTCGAAGCAGAGAATATGCTTGCCAAAGGAGGCTTCACAGTCAAGTGCTGGCAGTTTAGTGGCGAAGAGAAAACTCGTTCTGGTAAAGAACTGCAACAGACTGTGGCGCAGGAGAAAAAGTCGAACGATGTTGAGCGTCCGTTGCTGAAGGGAAATGATGCAAGCCTTCGCATCCTTGGTGTCGGATGGAAACCAAAGGAAGATGTCATCGTTTTTGACGTTACCCTCAATTTCAGTCAAAAGAGACGCGGAGTACGCATCGGACCCAACTTGATGATCAATGATCTACCTGAAGCTTTACCGGATATCCTAACCAAACGAATTGTCCTTCAACAGGTGATGAAAATTTACGACCCTCTTGGTTTGATCTGTCCTTTCACCCTCATCGGAAAAATTTATCTGCGAGAAACATGGTCCCGCAACCTGGGATGGGACGACCAACTCCCTTCTGATCTTCGTACCAAATGGGTAAAGTTTTTTGTCTCCTGTTCGAGTTGGAAAAGTTGAATTATCAACGGTGCCTTCGACCGCCCGAAGCCGTGGGCAATCCTTGGCTTGTTATACTCAGTGATGGCAGCAACATCGCCTATGGGTTCGTAGCATACATCCGTTGGGTGTTAGTCAATGGTAACGTTTGGTGTCGGTTGATAATGGCAAAGAGTCGCGTTGCCCCCGTAAACAAGCTTTCGACACCTCAGATGGAACTGAACGCTGCGGTACTATCAAAGAGAGGGAGAAAGATTATCGAAAGAGAAATGCGGTTCCAGTTCGAGCGAGTCTTACAGATCGTTGACTCCGAGACTGTCCTTAATATGATAACAAGACAAGCACAAGATTCAAGTTTATGAAGGTGTCAGATTAGGAGAAACAAGCTGCTACTGATGGTGACATGGGTTGCTGGGCGTGGATATCGGGCAAGGATAACACTGCAGACTGGTTAACAAGAGGACGATCTCCGGAAGAAATTAATGAAGAATCAGAATGGTGGAACGGTCCCACAATACTTTATCAACCTATAGAAGAATGGGGTCTAAAGTTCGGTTCTCAGAAGGAAGAGTGCCTCCCTGGAGAGAAGATGATTCACAGTGCATCAACCGCGGTTGCCAACCCTCCTCTGCTCAACTATGAAAGATTCAGCGACATCAATCGAGCTATATGGGTCATTGCAAGAATTTTGGCCATGCTACAGAGCAAGTCCTTCCGTGGCGGTAAGACGATGTCAGTATCAGTGCAACTATTGAGAGATGCAGAGAATTTCATCGTAAAAGACGTGCAGAAGACAATGCGAAAAGAGTTAGTTAAAACAGATCACAAAGGGAGGAAAGGAGGACGTTATGCTTCACTCAGTCCTGTCTACAGTGAAAGCGGATTATGCTTAATAGGAGAACGTCTGAAACAATGCAACCCCATGACTCTGGATTCATCTCCACAGAAGCTATTACCCTCTTCACATCGAGTCACTCGTCTTTTGATGCAAAGAGCACACCAGCACGGACATCGTGGACGCGACGCCACTCTTGCGAAATTCCGTGAGAAGTATTGGGTCCCCCAAGGTAGTAAGCTAGCTCGAAAGGTCACGCAGAATTGTCAGCTTTGTAAATTACGACAAGCAAAGCTACTTCGGCAAGTGATGGGTCAACTTCCAGAAGAGCGACTGAATCCAAGTCCACCATTCACACACGTCATGCTTGATATGTTTGGTCCTTACGTTGTGAAGGGAGAAGTCCAGAAGCGCGTAAGTGGAAAGGCATATGGTGTCATTTTCACAGATCTGGTGATTGGAGCGGTACATATTGAAGCAGTATATGGCTATGACACACAATCGTTTCTAATGGCATTGAGTAGATTCGCTTGCATCCATGGATGGCCCGCGACCATATACAGCGACCCAGGTTCTCAGCTAGTCGGTGCCGACCGAGAATTAAAAGAAGCTTGGAAAAGTATTGATCGTGATGCGCTGCATACAAACGGTGTTCAAAATGGACTAACCTGGCTATTCGGTCCTGCGGACAGTCCGTGGAATCAAGGAAAAGTCGAAGCATTAGTCAAAGCGGCCAAAAGAGCAATTCATTTTGCGGTTCACAACAAGCGTCTCACCGTATCGGAATTTCTCACGATTTGCTACGAAGTGGCCAACCTGCTCAACGAACGTCCTATTGGCACGCTGCCCGGAGCAGACTCAAACCTGAATATTCTTACACCGAATACTCTCTTGTTGGGTCGTGCCTGTGCGAAGAATCCTGGAAATTGGCAGCCTACCCGAGAACCTATCACCAAGCGCTATCATTTTGTACAAGCAGTCGTAAGCGAATTCTGGGCCAAATGGATCGAGTTGTGTGCCCCCGCGTTAGTGACCAGATACAAGTGGACCGAGCCCTCTCGAAACCTCCAACCAGGAGATATAGTTCTTATAGCTGATAAAAGCCCAATAAAGGGAGATTACCGATTAGGAATGATCCACGAAGTATTTCCTGGCAAAGACGGTAAGGTGCGAAGAGCGTTGGTTAAGTACAAGAATTATAAAGTTGGCAAAAGGAATCATGAGTATACAGGGTGCGAAGAAGTGATTGTTTCTCGTAGTGTTCATCGTTTAGCCCTTTTGGTGCCAGTGGAATACGATCAAGAAAAACACGACGAAGACTAATCAAAAAACGACTCTGATTGAGTTCATTAAAACTCTGAACCACTAAGCAGGAACTTTAGACAGCATGACATTAGTTTACATTTTGTTATTTTGTTAATGCGATCGCGTCGACCCTCACCCTCCCGGTGTATTAGGATAGTGCAATTGCGAGGACCGCACGCGTGTTTCGAGCGATCGCGCCAAATTCAGTCACGTGACTTGGGGAAAGAGAACAAAAGAGAAGTCCGCCATTATTCAAGATAGAGATACAAAACAGTGTTTTACCGACTTATTTAAACATCAAGCGGCTTCTTTTGACTTTATTGTTTGTTGAAGTTTGGATCAACATTAAGTTTGTATGATTTAATTGTAAGAAGCAAGAATTTTGAATATATTTTGTATGTTTACGTATATGACATGTCGTGTTGAAACCTGTTTCTGTGCGCTTTATCAATTTTGACTATGAATTATACCGCATCCCGGTACAAGAAGATGTGAGGACGAAGACATTGCAGATGTCTTTAACTTTACAATATTCACATACTAAAGTTACTATAACTTTACAATATTCATATCATGTCTATAAATTACATTTGTCTAAAGTACCATGCAGTAAAAATTTTTAAACTTGGGTGTTATTTGCTGATGCTTTGTGGCAAATTAATTTGTTCTTTTAATGTCTTTAGTCATCAAAACCTCCATCATCGAAGCCACCACCATCATCAAAGCCACCACCATCATCGAAGCCACCACCATCATCGAAGCCACCACCATCATATCCTCCATCCGCATATCCTCCATCATAGTTTTCAACATTTGTATCACCACCATATTCATTTTGTTCATAATTATACTCATTGTGTTCATATATATTGACATTTGTGTCGTGATCATGGTAACCACCCCCGTGACCATAACCATAACCATGGTGATGGTGCATAGAGTTTGCCAGAGTTGCACCAACTGCCATACCAAGCATCATGTCACCAGCACCAGATCTATTGTTCCCTTGATTGTTCACCACCACCGTGTTTGGTTGTTGTTGAGCATAGCCGACTGGTGCTGGTTGTCTGTGACCATATTGCTGTACAGGGTAACTCCGAGGGGGTGGTCCTTGAGGACGAATGTATGCAGGTCTTGGCTGAGGGTATCCTGGCTGGGGGTATCCTGGCTGGGGTCCAACCATACGCTGGGGAGGTGGATGATAACCTAGAACATTATTCAGAAATTATCAGATAATGGGCCAGTGACTGATATGTACACTGGAGAGAATAAAACATCATGCAGCACTTATGTACCTTGCTGAGGGTATCCCACAGTTGAACCTTGAACCATCACTGGTGCTTGACCAACTGGTCGGGCTCCTGGTTGCACCTGCATGGTAAAACAAAAAAAACACCAGTAAGGATTAGCCGAATTTAAAGCCTCTGAATCAATCGTCTGGGAGTTTCATCCGTCTGAGGGTCATTTTGTCTAAAGCCCGTTTTCCACTAGGCGAATTTATTCGCGGGACGCAAAGTTGATATCGCCGCGAAAAAGTAGAATCGCTTCCTACTTTTTATCTGTTCGCGCAAATAAATTCGCCCAGTGGAAAACGGTACTGCCAGTTCGGATCATCCATTAGGACAAACTTGGACTAAGGAAAGATGTCAAGTTTATCTGAAGAAGTAAGACTAACTGCCTCTTTCCAGCAGTTAGTCATAAAGAATAATACGCCTGTTTGTTGATGTTTATGTTCTGACGGCTTATCGGATGAATCTCGTCCCCCTACTCAGTCTAGACTGATGACTTCGTGAAGAAAAAACCCTAATAGCATTCATACCACTTGCCCTCGCGGGGCTGACGAGCCACATCCCATACTGAAATTCTGAATGACAACAATCACACAAAACGCTTTATTACTTTCTTCTCCGTTTATTCATAGCGACAAAATACAGTTCACAAATTCGCACTTTACAATTTTACAACGTACGACATGTTATGAGTGTTATGACACAAAACCCGTGTAATTTATTCATTGTTTTTGCCATGTTACTTGGCAACAAACACATTGAATGCAAATAAATTTTTCAATGAATCACACGAAATATAAATATATGGATTTCAGTGTTTTGATAAATTGAAAACATGCCACTTTTTTACAACTAGAGCTGATTAAAACAACAGTAAAATCTCTGATCAATCAGTTGTGATTAAAGACTTTAAAGTGCATGACAATTTTGGTATTTTCATAATTTTGCTAAGGCTTACAGAATGGAACCATTAATTAAAAGAATAACCTTATATATTTAAAACAACAACTCAATATTCGACGAGTTCACTTTTGAAAACTAAAAATTCACTTGAAAAGACGAGAAAAATATCTTTGTGGAATTTTAGCGAATATAGTAACTTAATAATGCAATTAATAATTAATTTGCTACAATATTTGCTACAAATTATAACCACTGTACCCAGTCCACTTCCGGTCTACTATGATGACGTCACAGCGCCGAAGAGATTGCCTTTGTTGTTTATATTCTGGCGAAGGTCAGTGGAAAAGCGAGAAGAGAAATTTATTTTTTTTCGTTTCCTCGGATCTGGCTGCGAGGAATTTGTTGTGTTACCCTGGCCTCATCTGAAGAGGAACAACTGGAAGGTGGCTTGTCTCCCCCGCCACGCAAAAAGGCTCGAAAGACCGTCAGTTTGGCGTCTGAAATGCATAGGAGACGAACACATTTGGGAGATGTTGAAGTTGACGAGTGTGATACGAGTTCAAATGGAGAGCTGCTCTCCGTCTCAAAACACAAAGTGCCATCAAATCAAGCGAAATTAAAAACATTTACGAAGTTCGAGGAGGATTCAGTGCGATTGATAGGCCAGCATTTACGTGGACTTGGCTTGAAGTAAGTTTGAACGCAACTGTTTTGAATGAAATCCAAATATTTTCTGTGAACTACATCGTGCTGTTCGATGCTGTGATACTACATAACTTATAGCCAGCGTTTTAAATTGTATTTTTAGTAGATCAGCGGATCTGTTAATGCAAGAATCTGGCTGTAGGCTTGAACATCAATCCGCCATAAAGTTTCGAGAAAGCATTTTATCTGGCGATTGGGACAGAGTATGTTTATTTTTCCTGCGATTTTTTTCCGTATTTCTAGTTTCTCTTTCTAAATCTACAACTTCCTTTTTTCAAGGCTGAATCCTTTCTAAAAGAAGTTAGGTCCTTTTTAGATGCATCTGACGATCTTTTAAAGGTAAGAAATTTTTTGAACAAAGGACATTCCAAATCAATAATTGTTTGTTCTGAATCTTTACTGGTACAAGGCCCAAACATAAGTCCCCCTCTCATCGTATTTCATTGACTTTCTGACAAGCTTTTCAGGATTATCATAAATTATTTAGTGCAAGGCATTTTTTTCCCATTGGCATGTTTAATTATACAAATATACACACATATGAAGGTCATGCCACCTTTGGTTATATTCCAAATATGAATATTAATATTGCTTTGTATTTGACAGAAAGTGAGATTTTTAATACTCGAACAGAAGTATCTTGAACTTCTTGAATGTGGAAAGTCTGTGGATGCTTTGAGATGTCTTCGGAGCGAGATAACCCCGCTTCGTTGTAACAAAGAAAAAATACACCGTCTTTGTGGGTGAGTATGGATACCATTACATGCCATTGTGAGTAATGACAAGGCATTTATGTCTTCAATATGGTTTTATTCACATAGTTGCATTAAATTATAAATATCTAATGAATATGCTAATTTTGGGAGTTTATTGGTGTGGGTGTGTTCTAAATTGTGGTTTGTGCCAATATTATAAACCATGTAAAATGATGTTGTTGAAGTCCTAATTACTCAATTGAATGATTAGCCAGTAAAACAAATGCATGGCATTAATGGTTGGATAATAAATTTAGGCCAGGAACATCTGATTACGGCTGTCAATGTCTTTAAAGGGAATAAATTTTCAGCTTGCCAACATTGATTGACAAAGAAAATGTATATGATATTGCAAAGCAAAATGCTGAAAAATTGGATGCATCCTGGTGCATTTGAGGTGATTTAAGATAGTTCTACGTTCACCTTCAGGCTGTTGATGTGTAGTAACAATGAAGAGTTGTATCGGAAAGCAAAATGGAATGGTAAAGGGCAACATTCTAGGCAACGGTTAATGGAAAGGATACAAGGTGAGAAGAAAAGGGTATGACTATCCTGAGAATGTTGTGTTTAGTTGGTGATGCTTAAAATGTGCAAATTTTCCTCCCTTCTTAAGTATCATATGTTTTTTTAGAGTTTCTTCCTTCATCAATCATGCTCCCACCACAACGACTTTACACGTTGCTTTGCCAAGCGCAAGAACTACAAAGAAATAAATGCCTTTATCATAACTCCAAATTAGATCCTAATCCAAGCTCGTTTTCATTATTGACTGATCATACATGTGCAAGGTAAGCTGTAATTCAAGGATGTTAAATATTAGATGTTCAGATAGTGAATTTGTTTTCCATCATATTCTCTCATCATGTCTGACAATGATTTTGAAATTGGCTTTTTTGTTATTTTAGGAGGCAACTGCCTTCTGAAACAAAACACATCCTTACAGAACATTGTGATGAGGTGATGAAACGCTCATGCTAGCTAAATTCTCAAAATCAGAAATACTAAATAGAAATTTGAAAATCTTCTAGGTACTGTTCTTAAGATTCTCGCATGATGGAACAAAGCTAGCAACTGCCTCGAAAGATAACACAGTCATTATTTGGGAAGTGACAGTAAGTATGATAATGACACTCAAGATTCAACGACAGTTAATCTTGTTTATATTATGAAATACTTATTATCAAATACCCAATTATGGGCTGCAATGTTTAAATGAAGCTAGCATGTGTTATAAAAATATATGAATATATTTAGGAAAGTGATGTTAAAAAACTTCGAGTCTTAGATGGTCATGAACTAGGAGCTTATTACATATCATGGAGTCCTGATGATCAACATTTGATTGTGTGTGGCCCTGAGGACTGTAATGAACTGTGTGTCTGGGATATTGAGGTACATGTCTAATATATATACTATGGTTCCTACTTGTTTCCTGTTGTTCCTATGGTTCCTATAAGTTTTAAATCCATTACATCAGACAGGAGTGTTGAGATGTAGAGCAACTCAAGCTACTGAAGATAGTCTGACTGTTTGTTCATGGAACACGGATGGCAAACGACTCTATGCTGGTGGAATGAGAGGGCAGTTCTTTCAATGTGTAAGAATAATACAATAAAACTTTTATTCAGTAAGCTCTTCAGCTACTCTTGTTTTTGTTTAACTAAAGCACAATTGAATTGAAGTCTAGGCCCTGGTATCTTGATGACATTTCAGCGTGTTTTTTTCCCTTTTGGTTTAGGATCTGGATGGGAATGTTCTAGAGCAGTGGGAGGGTGTCCGTGTCTATGGTCTACACTGTTTAAAAGATGGAAAAACTGTTTTAGCTGCAGATAGTCATAACAGAATTAGAACGTATAACTTTGAAGATTTATCAGATAATAATTTGTAAGTATAATGGCTTTTCATTTGGTTTAAGGTTGCTTTTTAAAGATGCCCACCAAGAGGAAAGCCTCTATTATAGTGGTGTTACAACTGCAGGAAATAGAAACTTACATAGACAATCTGTTAGGCCTTTCTGTTGATAATTTTTTTTTGGTTTGTGTAGAATTCAAGAAGATCATCCTATAATGTCATTCTCAGTCTCAGATGATGGCAGACATATTTTAATAAATGTTGCCTCACAGGTTTGTATATGTTGTAAAAGATTGTAACCTCATTTAGATTGTAGCCCTATCTTCACTTCCCTAGACCAAGGCTAGCAGAGTTGTGCACTCAACTATATGGTTTTTGAACATAATGTACTTTATATTCACAGGGTCTCCATCTTTGGGATGCTAAAGATCGATTACTATTGCGAAAATATCAGGGAATAACTCATGGTTTTTATGTAATTTACTCTTGCTTTGGTGGACTAAATCAAGACTTCATCGCAAGTGGTAGTGAAGGTAATTTGTGAACGGTTAAAAGGAGTGAAAATAATAAATACGTAAACAAATAATCTTTATTAAATTTTCTTTGTCTTCAGATCATCAAGTGTATATATGGCATATCAAACATAGCGATCCTATCTTGGTTCTAAGTGGACACACAAGGACAGTAAACTGTGTCCACTGGAATCCACAGATACCAAGCATGCTAGCCTCTGGAAGTGACGATGGGACAGTCAGGATATGGGGGCCTGGGGACATATTAGAACCAAGTTAGTACAGATGTTGCATTCAAATTTGAGTATCTGAAGTAAAATTTCATTTTCCCGCTAATTGGAATTCTTATTTCTTCTAATTACTTTTTTTACAGGTAGTTCCAGTGTTAGTACTGCTGTGTAATTACTGTGAATAAACACATTAATATGGTATATATTATTATTATAGGTATGTTATTATTAATACACGTTGTATGTATCTCTTGTGTCTTCACTTTTTTAAACAGATTTTTAAGATGTTATTAAGTGTGGATAAGACAACAGATTGTGATGCTAATATATAAGAAGTGAGAATCTCTCTAATATCAGATGTCACCATCTGTCAAGAGACACTCAATGACCCCTACACTACCTACCCACCCACCTACCAACTGTTACAATGTGTTTGTAACACTGATGTAACAACCAGTGGACTCAGTATAAATCTGGGGTTACGAATACCTTGAAAGAATCACTCCAGTTATATATATCGAGCTCACTGACAAAACTTAAACTACTTTTATATAATCAAATTTACTTTTATACTTTACAATATTTCGTTGTGGGTGTCATGTGCCAATTTCAAATACAATCCGACTTGACGGATAAGTTGAATGGCCAGAAACAAGTTTTTGCAAAAAGGGTCAATTTTAGTATTTATAGGTATGGAATTGATATTGAAGCTGTTCAGTTATTGATAAAATAAAAACTCACGCAAGAATTTCTGTTGTTTTGGGATGTAATTACTGCTAACCATAATAATGGTAGATAATTTTCTCGGAATGTACAGATGTACTAATATAATATGTGAGTTAACATGAAGTACAGGAACAATAGCCCAGCAACAATCGTGATAATAAGTTTCACATAATTGGTTCCCGGGACTTCCTTTTTCATCTGCGCGATATTTCTCTCTTGTATCTCCATGATCGCTCGTCTAGCTCCGCTCCAGGCTCCAGGTCCTCTGAGCCGATACTGGGGTGGCGAACATGGCCCGAAGTAACAGCGAAGCGCCAGGTGGGGGTCGGTCAATAACATCGCTCCCAGACGAGGCTTACAGCCTATAATTTCAGCTAGACTGTTGCAATACGGGATGTAATACACCTGTGAAAGTGAAAAAAAAGTTGTTTGTGCCGTAGATTTATTATTTCTCAGCTGTTTCTAAACGCTTTTGGAGGAAGTCATAGGAACTGGCATCACAGAAAAATTCTGCCTCGTTTTTAGTATAGAAATCCCAAAAAATAGTTGTAAAAAACTGAGCTCTTTCACAGTTTTCGTAGCATACCACGATAAACATTCGTAGAAATACCCTCGATATTATCCCTTGATCTTAAAACCCCTCACACGAAAATCCCCAAACCAAACGTACCGCTGTGGCATGTTTCTTTGCGTCATAACTCTCGTTCTCCAGCCGTGCCAAGTTTTCGGCAATATCTTGTTCCATATCTTCCGTGCTTGGTAGTTTGACCAGACCTTTGAAAACTCTGGTTGCCAGTCGTGCTTGGAGTTCGGCCACGGAGAACATACACCCGACCGGCTGCAGGCACCCTATGAAAGCAATGCTCGGGTTCTCCTCCACTCGAAACATGTGTTTGTACATCAGAGGTGACTTGTGCTTGAATTCTACCATATCTTCGTCGAGGAATGGAAACGAGTAGTTATATCCCGTTGCTAGGATGATCACGTCAACGTCCAACGCCACGGACCCATCAACAAATATCACATCTGTGAAAGACAAAACTTATATTCGTTAAACGAGGTAGAAGCAACAACCACCCTATTGCTCAACAATACAACTGCGACTAACACAATTATTCCGGATAGTTCTATCAGTGTTGAACCGTTTTCTACAGATATTCTTGTTGCAAAACAGCTTTTTGAAACAAATGAAACATCAAGAAAAGATTTAAAATGAATTGCATTTAGTGTTTACAAACAGTGGACTATCTAACTGCGGATATCTTCAACTCCCTGATTTTGGGAGGAAAAACTAAGTTGAACTTAGGTTACCTAAATATGGCATTGCCCGAGTATAACTGAAATTCTACAAGCATGTTACCCTTGTCAGTCAGTGTTGAAATATCAGGTCTCATCAGGACCGCTCCACTGATGACTTTATAGGGTAAAAAGTCGTTAACTACCGGTGGTTGTTGCAAGAATGTGTTGTTAGGCAATAAACCAAAATCGCCATGATCAAACTTCAAGTTCACCAAATTCATGCAAGCCGTATCAAGTAGTCTTCGGGGCAGGTTGAAGAAAAATCGTCTGTGTAAAAATTGATCACTGGGCATGCCGAATGCTTGAATTCTTGATGTGATCCACGAGCCACGCCTTGTGCTGAGGTAAACTTTTTTCACCACCTGACTAAGCTCTGTTGCTATAGCAAGGGCAGAATCACCAATACCTGGGAGGAATGAAGGTCATTAAATCAGTGAACTCAACAATTGCTCTGTTGAAAAACACCTATTGTAAAAAGTCGCTTTTGCGTCTCATTATGCAATTAAAGGAAATCTACATTAGGCAAATGTTAAATCCTAACAAACACGTGGTTCTAGTAAATGAGATATATCCGTTTTATGAGCTGATAAGTTATTATCCGTTTACTAGTACGCCTACTTTTGTGATAAACTGCTTATGACCTAAAGAAGATAAGGTCGGACTCGTAAACTAGAGAGTTCTAACACTAAAGATAGTTCAAAGTTACACGAGTTTTCAGGTTTTGACAAATTCTAAAAAAACCTCAATTTTATAGTTACCTACAACCAGCACATTTTTTCCATAAAAATGTTTCGCTTCTTTAAAACTACTGCTGTGCATAATTTCACCGTGAAATTTATCTGCACCAGGTAACTCTGGGATATTTGCCTCCCAATGATGCCCAGAGCAAACCAGAACGGCGTCAAAAACCTGTGTGAACGTCTCTGTACTTTCCGTTGAGTCATCATGGATCTTTCGTTGCTCGTATGTGATCTTCCAATGGTTTTTATTCGCTTTTTGACTGTGGGTGACTTTCAGGACTTTGCTGTTGTACGAAATGTAGGGACGAAGATCGAAGTTGTCTGCATACTGGTTGAGGTAAGCCTTCGCTAAGTCGTGAGGGAGATACAAGGGGTAACCCTTAGGGATTGGAAAGTCACTAGTGTATGGAGAAAGGAAAGGAAACGTCAGAGAAAGCAACACACGGAAAAAGGAACTTTATTAGATATGTGTAAATTTAACAGACGGAAAGAAAGGATGAGTTTGACTAGACTACGTACCTAAAACATGACATTTCTTTACTTGTGACCATAACGCAAGCCTTGTACACACTAGCATGATCTGGTTCAGTCGTTGTAAAACGCCACAAACCGCCTAAATCCGTCCCTTTTTCGAAACAAACCGGCTCCAAGCCTTCGTCAAGACAGCATTTTATCGACGTCAACCCGCAAGGTCCAGCACCGATTATCGCCACTTTCATTTTCAGTCAGTTGATGTAAAGAATTGAAATTTCTCCCGAAACTGATTCATTCATGTGACACTTAGTTTGAAACAGGACTGTGTCGTAAACTTAAATACGTTATTCTGCGTCACAAGTGTGCAATTATACTTATTGTAGCACGTGGGAGATTAGAAACTCGGAATTCGTGATCCGGGTTTAGCCATATAATACCACGAGGCATAATTCTTGATATCAACTATTAGCCGAATTCATATTAGAGATTGGAAACTCGTCTTACGGGAAACTCATCGAAGACGGGAAACTCGTCTGATGTGAATCCGGTCGCAGACGGGCTTCTCGTCTCAATTTTCCCGTCTAACTTTCCCGTCTAAACAGACGGGTAAGTTGGACGGAAATCCCTTCTGGACGAGAAACTCGTCTTAATTAAATTCAGACGAGTTTCTGAAATTTCAACACAGTCCAGGACGGAACAAAGCTTATAGAAAATAAAAAATTATTATCGTAATGATTACGATACACTTTTTAGCATTACCTGACCCATGACACTTATAAATTTGTACATTCCTATTAGGAACCCTAAAAAAACACTAGCTTTGATCATTTTGACGATTGCATCAGAGTCTAGAATACCGTGCGCGCCACATCGTGAGACTGGGTTCTACCCTTCTTTCCGAAATTTGAAAAATCAAAATAATAATACTTTTAGTTTTATTTCATCAGCAAGAATGCTGTCTCAAAAAGCATCGAAAATATTACAAAGGGCGAGTCTGCGAAATACCTTTTGCGGTTCTCCTGTGAGTATTCAGTTTATCAGTAAAATAGTTTTTGCTCTTATGCAATATTAAAGTGTGGGTAGTGTTTTTATATGTGAATATTTTGTCACACAGAGTCGGTGCATAAATAGTTTGGCCAGGGGAAATAGGCAATCGCTCTCCAGTAAGTCTTGATCTAATCATTTTGATTTGGTTATTTGTGTACAGTGCGGGGAGCTGATATACATTATTTATATTTCATAATGCAGGATTATCTAACACATCGCGACTAGAGGGTCGCTTTTGTGGCAGTGTCACAAAATACAACTTCCTGGGGTATGTTAAATATTTAGCAAATGTAAACAAATATAGCAATTAGCTTTTCATTTAATAAGGTGAAAAGTTTCTAAAGGTCCATAAAAATGGGAGCTTAAGATTAAAGTTCCCACCTCTATTCCACCACCATGGTTTACTGGAATGGAAAACTTACAAAGATATCTAAGGGCTTTCTAATCTGTGCAAAAACTGCATAAATTTTTAGGCAGAATTATGGTGTGCCAAAATATTTTCACTGTTCAGCCATATTAGGTGAGTTAGGAATACCAACTACCTTTTGGTGAATGTTGTATATTCCTTAATTCTTTACCCTCATTTTGTGAGATGTGCAAACCCAATATAAATGCTTTTACCCTGTTGTAGGAAATGATATAAGGACTGTCAGTACACCACCATTTCCTGATTCTGTTGCAGAGGGAGATATCAGTTGGGAGAAAGGTGTTTTATAATTATATTTATAATGCAATATATTGCTTGCAGTCTCTTATATAACAAGAATTGTTTATTTTTTATAGCTGTTGGAGATCAAGTAGAGGAAGATGAAGTAATAGGAGAAATTGAAACTGATAAGGTTAAAATCTCAGCAAACATCACGACATTGCACTCTTTCAAAGTGAACATCACATGACTGACAGACTGACCTTTTGCTTTTTTTTTGGGTGGTTGTCAAAATTATCTGTGAACTGCTAGCAAGATGTTTTTTATCATCAAAGAGCCTGTGTTTTATTTTCATTGTTTTTTCCCCTCTGCAGACAGCGTTACCTGTGAGTTCTCCGGTAGCAGGGGTAATTGTTGAGCTGCTTGTTGCTGATGGCGACACGGTAGAAAAGGGACAAGAATTATGCCGAATTGATGCTTCAGGTTATATACACAATAATAATTACTTTACAGTTCTAATTAATCCTGTTACCAAAACTGGCATTGCTCTTCCACGGGTATGCACAAGCGTCTAGCAAGATAATCTCAGGTGACTGCTACGTTAGTGTATTAGCATTATCCACATGCTAAGAATAGTTATTTGTTATTTATCATATGCCAGGTGGAGGTGCTGCACCATCTAAACCAACAGAAGCACCAGCAGCGGAAGCACCAGCAGCAGAAAAACCAGCCCAAGCGGAGGCACCACCAACTCAGCCAACTCCCGAAAAAGTTGAACGAGAAATTCCAACCACGCCTCCACCAGGTAACTGCTTCAGTGTAAGAACGTTCTATTCTCTCAACTTCACAATTGTTCATTCTACATGACTACTGCTATAGGATGACCTATTGCATTTGTGATTGGTTAATCTGATAGAGTTATCACAGTTGATTGGTTCATAGTATTCAGGGAATGAAATCTTTCATCACATTTAGTTCCAGAGATGCCTAAAGAACCATTAAAGACGGTGAAACCAACACCACCCCCCATACCAATCACTGCTAGTCAGCCTGCACCAAGCACAACTGGAGTGAGAAGTGAGACCAGAGTGAGTAAAGTGACTCAGTTCAAAGAATATTTAAAATTTTTTTTCGATGGACAGTTTGCTGTGTTAAAACCAGAGCATTCAAAAGCCCCCCACCCCTCCAAAAAAAGTTCAAATCTCTGATGAAAGGCTTTGGTTTCTGGTTGTGTAGGTGAAAATGACTCGTATGAGGCAAAGAATTGCAGGAAGACTTAAAGAAGCTCAGGACACAGCGGCCATGTTGACAACATTCAATGAAGTTGATATGAGGTTTACACGAAAGATGATCTTCTTTCTTTGCCTGATTTCTTCTCGTTGTTTCTCTTTCATTTTGAAAGTTTCTAATACCCCGACCTTCATTCATCATTTTAGCAATATTATGGAAATGCGAAAACAGCATAAAGATTCCTTCCTCAAGAAACACAACGTCAAACTTGGATTCATGTCAGCATTTGTGAAAGCATCGGCCCATGCATTGCAGGAGATACCCGTGGTAAACGCAGGTATAAGACACAGGAACACCTACAAATACAAGCACGTGTGCTTCGTATAAAGGAACGGTAAAAAAAATCTGATGAGAATCTTGTCTGTTTTCAGTGATCGATGACGATGATAATCAAATCATTTATAGAGATTATATTGATATCAGTGTAGCAGTTGCCACTCCAAAGGTAAGTCTTTCCGTCCGTCAGGGTCTTGCTGCATATTTGAAATTACCCAAGTTCGTGTGAAAATATTCTTAGCATCGTTCTGCTTTTCTCACAGGGTCTGGTTGTCCCCGTGATTCGCAATGTGGAGGCGATGAATTTTGCTGACATAGAGAAAACCATTAACTCTCTTGGGGAAAAGGTACACTCCTATCAATCCATCCCTTTTTCATCCTCACCCATCCTTACTATACTCTGTTTGAACCCACTCTATCCCTCACTAGGCACGTGACGGTAATCTTGCTATTGAAGAAATGGATGGTGGTACTTTCACGATATCAAATGGTGGAGTTTTCGGCTCTTTGATGGGGACACCGATAATCAACCCTCCACAGTCCGCAATCCTGGGCATTCATGCGATCAACGATAGGCCAGTTGCTATTAATGGAAAGGTCAGTATGCAAGACCTAGTTTATCCGTCCAAACTTCTGTGATCTTCGTAGGAATTTTGTATGGAGCTGATAGTGTATGTGGAATTCCAAGAAATTCCTGCTGTGAATCTGAAAATTAATGTAGTTTACGATTATTTTAGGTTGAAATTCGACCAATGATGTACCTCGCGTTAACATACGATCATCGTTTGATTGATGGGAGAGAGGCAGTGACATTCTTACGTAAAATAAAGTCTACGGTTGAGGATCCAAGGACTATATTGCTAGATCTTTAACAGAGCTGATCTGCCTGATCTGGGAACTGAAATACCCAGATTTATTGTTAACGAATGCGCGAGCCCTGCTGGGCAGCGTTTTTACTGAACTATTTTAAGTGTTCACTCTAAAAACTGGAGTATAAAATGATCATTATACCATATCATGGTTGCTTGGATGTAATGGATTATTTGTAATAGTACACTTGTGTTCAGTACGTGTTCAAAGTTTGAATGTAGTTTTATGTCTGTGCCAGTTTTTAGCGTTCAAATGAGAGAATGGTGGTCAGTTGTGGGTAGCCCAGAAAAACTGCCTTTACATGGGAGAGAGGGGGGAGATGAGGAACATCCCCCCCCCTATAAACTTCGACGCGTCTCGTGACGTCACACCACGACGCTGTCGGCAAGACAACTCGCGCGACACTTTTGAAAAACAACATGACAACATGGACGACGCTTCACTTCAAAAACTAAGTGTTTCTCCCGGCAAACTTAGTCCTAAATTCAAGAAAGATATTCTTGAATATTCCGTTGTTGTTGGAAGTACTGTTAAAGAGCTGAAAGTCAGCCCGTTGACAAGCGATAACAATGCTTGTTACTCCATTTCTGTAAGTCGATAATTTGTTTTGTGATTTTTATATGCATGCGTATTGTTGACTGTTCATTTTGATTTGTTTTGCATTTAAATTTTGCAATTGTATTGTGTCATTGTTGAAGGAAATAGCTTCATGCATAATTGCAATTAACACTTTCCCAGCTCATGTGAGCATTTAATACTATTGCTTTATTAAACCTCAAGTATTTTGTATAATTATCTCGATACTCGAGTGTTTAATAATGCAATTGAAAATGACTCAGACTATGACTATATAAATCTACACACAAGCCAGACTGTGGAGAGTTTGTAAATGTGCAAAGGATTTCTTTGTACACTGTAACAGTAAGGGAACTTTCCAAGGAAACAACCCCTAGCTTACTATTACACCATGATGTGTCATGTGTGTTCTTTTACTTAGGGTTCAAATGGTGGTAAAACTGTACCATTGCAAGAAGGAACAGTAACTATCATAACTGTTGAAGTTACTGCAGAAGATGGTACTATCAAAAGCTATGTTATCAATGCCACACGTTTGTCCTCAAATGATGCCTCCCTTTCTGGGATAACTTTATCCGCAGGAACCCTATCACCCCCATTTAATCCCAGTTGTACAGAGTATACATCAACAATCCCCTACCATCTCTCAAGTATTCAAGTCAAGCCTGTAGCACCCGACAATGGAATTGGTGTTGTTGTTAGAGACAATTCAGATGGAAAGCCTTTGGAATTGAAATATGGTGAAACAAGCATATACATTGATGTGACATCACCGAATCAAGCAACATCGAAAAGCTATCATCTGTTGATTCAAAGAACAAAAATCCCTTGGCATATTTCCACAGTAGATATTAGTAAAATTTATCAATATAGCTGTCCGGTTTGTTTGGCAGTCCTGCATTGCCCCAGGTCTATTGCCAAAACAAACCCAAAACATGTCTTCTGTAAATCTTGTATTGATGAACTGACAAGAACTACCAAAAGGAATCCTCTTGACAAGCGGTCGTTAACCGGAGATTGGCTTGTTAACGAACCAAGCATGGAGATAGAGTTAGCATTACTTGAAGTGCATTGCGGCTTTTATCGTTATGGCTGTAGCAGCCAGCTGAAACTTTGTGATCTGGGATGTCATATGAAACAATGTGAATTTCGACTCTGCTTCATTGAGAAATCTGAGGAACTAACAGTCAACAAACTGTTGGAGGAGAAATTGAAGGTAATTTAGATGGCTATGTGTCCCACAACTACACATGCACTGTTAGCTTAATTGATTTGATTGATTGGCACAAAGAGAATTTAAATTCTCTGGCATATGGTGCCATGCATGATGAATCTACTTCATACACCTACCCTCTCCCCTCTCTCTCTCTAATCCCCACCATACTCCTATATCCCCCACCTTTCCCCCAATCCCCCGACCTTTCCCCCAAATCCCCGACCTTTCCCCCATCCTCCCCCCAAATCCCCCCCTCCCCCCAAACCCCCACCCCCCCCCCAAATCCCCCACCCTACCTGAAAACCACCCACTCTACCCAGAGGAACCATCGCATGTGATGATGTGACCCTCCTTCTTCACTATAGAACTTGTGCATTTCCTGTCCCGAGTGTAACATGAATGTGAGGTCTGCTGAGGTGGAAAATCACAAAGTTAACATGTGTTGTGCGAAGCTGGGTAAAGAGACCACTCTACCCAAAGTTCCCCTCAGGCAATGGGAAAAAAGACTACAGCAGGAAACAAGCGAGAAGTCGGTAGACGCAATGGTGAAGAACGGCGAGGAGCAAGAGGGATTATATTTTCAAAGTTTACAGATGTTTGGTATGTTCCTGAACAGCTATCCTTTCACACCCTCTTAATTAAACCAGAGGAAAAATTTGTTCGTGCAAAATATTGTACCGTAATTGGTTATTGAAAAGGCTTTTTGCAAGGAATCTCTAACCGATTGCATTTAAATTTACCATGGAAAACACGCGTAAAATTTTCCAATGTTTTTACTGAAAAAGCTTTACTAGACTGGCAGTGGGAACAGGGTCACCACACACAGGAATGAGACTGTCACATGTGAATGAAGTCTTCCATTGTCTAATTTCAAAGGTCAAAGTCGACATTGTGACAGCAGTTCTTCTCCAATGAAGTATCTGAAAACAGCCAGTGAAGTTTATGCCACAGCGATCAAACTCTCGCCCAAAGATGCAAAACTTCATTTTAAGCTCGGGCAAATTCTCGAAGAAATGCATTTTGTTGAAGATTGTTTTGGCTTCAAACAAGAGGTAAATACATTGAGATGAATAAACCCAACAATTGAGGTTTTATATTCATCTCAATGGGTAAATACAACTTTAATATTGCACGTCGTTAGTTTCACTGCTGCTAGAATCCCAAGCTTGCACAGACAAGGGCTGATATGGTCGTTTCCTTCCGATGTAGAAAAACCATTTTCTCATTGCCAATTGTAGGATAAATTATAATCAGATAACTGGTGCATATTACCAGAAATGAATCCAGGTCAAAGAATGCTATGAAATCACCCGAACTTAATCATATGGTTACCCAACAAAAATATTAATAGAATTCTTGTTTTCTTTCTAAGGAGGAAGCTGAAACACCTGCAATTGATTTTAACCAACAATCGCGAGATAGCAGCAAAGAAGACGATATTCAGGCAATTTGCGAGCAGAGGGGGTTCGGGCGCAATCCACCACTCGCTCTGCAACTCAAAGCCATCGATCAGGAGTATCATCATTTGCTAGAGAGCCAGCAATCTGACAGATGTGAATACGTGCAGAAGTTATATGCATGGAAATCAAAACAAGCTACCCAGGTATGGTTGAGTGCTGTACACACATAGGGAGAGGGGGGGTTGGGGAGTATACCCCGGGGAATTCAACTTTTTGTTTTCACGTTCCCTAGGATGGTAAAGTGGCTCAACTAGCATCGGACGAGGAAGGATCGTTTGGCAAAGCTTACCTGAAGTATTCAGACGCTGTTTCGTTTGCTTCTGATAACTATCTTTATCATTTGCATGTTGGAAGATTTCTTTTGCTGCAAGGAAAACACGAAGAGGCTGTCAAAAGATTGCGAATTTCTGTCGGTTTGAAACCAGTGAACGCCGAGGCCAGGTACTGTCGTCTTCTTTTAGATCAGTCTCCCAACCTATTAGGATCAATTAGCGCACATCACTTAACTCTCTGGCCGGTTGCATGTATCAAGCCCGTTTAGCTGAAACGATGGTTAAGTTCAAAATAGAAAGCAAACCTATCGTTTTATTGAACAAGAAAACTAAATGTTTTTTACCTTAATACAGCGATACTGTTTACAACTACATATTAAGTGCATATTATTCAAGTTGACTCATTCAAGAGAGATGTAAGAGTGTTATGTAATTTTGACTTATCCACCGTTTAAGCTAACGGGCTTGATACAACCGACCCCTGACTTTGCCTTGTCTAATGGCAGACTGTTTCACTCGCATCTGAAGGAATACAACCGGAAATTTAAACTGAAGTATCTACTGCAGAAGTGTCACAGAAAATCACAGACAACACATTATTTTCAATCATCCTCTTTACTCCTAGATTCTATTTAGGACTTGCCTTACTACTTCAAGGCAGTGCCAGCAGAGAATACGAAGCAGTGCAATATGTACACGAAGGCTTGGAGCATTTTCTTTACAAGTTAACAGAGGAAGCAGAATCTCCTTCAGATGCCCTATTAAACCAACTTCAATCCAGTACACTCCTAAGCATTACCAATGTTCAATGTCTAAATGGCTTTCTAACACTCGGCAAAGTTTTAGCTCGTACTGCGACAAAGCTATCTGGCCATTTTATGAAACCAGACGAGATTTTCAAGCTGGTTGCATCTCTTGCGATCAGGACATTGTGCTGGATCGCGCATAAAGGAGAACTATATCATCAAATTGAGAGAACACTTCTGGAATCTCATTCATGTTTATTACACTGGATGGTTGAAATGAAAAGCAAAAATGAGGCGGGAATACAAGACTCTGTTGTGAGAACACATTGTGATCATTTGTGTTCCCTTCTTAATGTTTTGTCTTTACCAAAGGATAACTCGCTGTTACAATTGCAAGAAAAGGTTAGTTTATTCCAGTAGGGTAACTGCATGTTCTCGTAACTGCTTACTCCACTATGGTTCAACCCTATTGATCCTAAAATACAGGAGCTAGGAGACCAAGACTAAAGTAACTACATCTATACCTCTTGATTTACCAGTTTTACACTGTTCTTCTATCGAATTCCTTCTTGTTTAGACCTGTCAGCAAGGCGTTATTCTTCAGCCTCAGAGCAGCAGAGCACTCTACCTGTTGGGAGGTGCACAGCTCAGTCGTCATGATAATGAAGTTACCAACAACAACAACAACAACAACAACAACAACAACAACAACAACAAACAACACACAACAACAACAACAACAACAACAACAACAACAACAACAACAACAACAACAACAACAACAGCACAGCCTTGGAAGACGCTGAGAAAAGTTTCCGTGCTAGTTTAGAGGTCGAAGGAAAACCCAAAGGTGGGAAACAGATCCCAGGTTATATTCAGGAACAGGTATGGTGGAAGGAGAGACAGTCTCCGAAGGTGAAAACGAATGAAGCAGCTTCCACTTCGAGCAAGACAGCGAGCACTATGAAAGGAAATCAGAGAATATCTCCAACTAAAGGCATAACAACTTCAAAAGGAAAAGGTGAGGTCGATGATAGCATGTAAAATGATCAGGGACCGAATTGTATAAAATTATATACAGTTAAACTAGAATTATAGTGTCAGGTACGGGCAATCAGAAACGTGTATTTTGGTGTAACTTTGATTTAACCCACAAATTAGGGGTTTGTTCATGTGAAGACCATGTGCCCCACTCGTGTCAAGATCTTCAGTTGTCCTTTTGTTATCGTTTAGCCACGACACCCACCAGAGGTCAAACAAAGCCAACTTCGAAACCAGCTCCAGCGAAGACAAGCGCACCTGCCAAAGCAACAAATGCCAGAGCAGCTCGAACAAGTGTCTCAAAACAGTCAGGTTAGTGCGACATTACTATGATCTTGCACAGTGCGCGCGCATTCTGCTCGCTAGCAGAACCAAAATGGTGATTTTGTCTACTCGGAGGAAGCGCATTTTTTAAAATATTTTGAATATGGCAATTTTCTACACAGCTCCGGCAGCTAGACCGAGTCCTGGGAAGGCACCTTGTCGTTCCTGCAGTCATAGTAAAACAGATATTAGCCCTAAACAACCCCCACCTACAACTAACCCCACCCCACCCTCACCATCTATCCCCCAAGAACCCATTGGTCCACCAAACCCCAAATCGTACCATCCACGCCTCGGGTTAGCTCGCGTGCTATCCCGATCAGGTTCGGATCCCGACGCCGCCCGAAAATTCTACGAAGAGTGTATCACCATGGCGCCCGATCTTCATGACGCGTACATAGAATTAGGAGAGATCTTAGTTAAATCGGATCCCTTAGGAGCCGTTGAAGTTTATTCGAAGTATCCGTTCCCAGACCCCCTAACCTACGACGACGCGTATCTTCATGGCGAAATTGCGCGACTTTTGATTAAACATGAAAAATACGAGGATCCAAAATTAGGTCCCAGTATGATAGCGCTCGGGAAGGTTATGGGCTTCTCCGTTTTAGAGAAATACGTGGACATACTTGATAGTAAATTAAAGTACAGCAAACTTTTGATGCAAATTTATGCTCAAGTCAACGGAAAGAGCATCGATGATCCTGATTTGCAGCAGTTTTTTAAGTTTAAATGTTGGAATTGAGTTAACGTTATTTCTGCTCGATTGTGGACTGTTAATAGAAAAGTAGTTGAAACGATTTTGTATTCTTCAAAACATTAGATTTTGACACGAGCTTTCAAGAATGCTACTTGCTTGTTTACTAAAAAGCTAACTTAGTTTCTATTACATTTCCTTTATGAAATAAGGATTAAATTGCGTCCAATGCTATGGTCCATATGTCATTGTCATCTTCAACCACGGAGCGATTCATTGTAAGTGATCACAACGCAGATATTTTGGATTATAATTTAGTTTATTTTAATGTAAGTCGGAACTTTTGGATTCGCAAATGGTCAATTATACGCCCCGCGATATTTTACATTTTTTTGTAAACATAAAAGGTCCCGTTGTAGGATGGATTTAACAAACTGCTATTTCCTTCCCTTTTCTGATAATTCATATTCTAATTCCAGAATGCGGAATTCTAGGACTTCATTACTTTCTCGTAAATTTTGTGCAATTTCTTCTTCCTTCTTAATCTTGGCTTCCACCAAATCAAGCTGAGCTCGAAGCTTCTTTTTGTCCATTTCCAGCAACATCATTTTACCTTCGAACTGCTTCTTCTCCCGTTTCCACAAAACCTCGTCGCTGGCCTGCTGTTTAAGGCATGAGTATTGGGTTTTCGACTGCCTCGCCGTCTCAGGCCTGGGTTTTCTCGTGTTCAGGCTCCAATGATGTTCTTCCGCGTCGCTCTGGGATGAATCTTCAATTTGTTGTGTCTGTACGTCACCCCAATGAACTTTCTTTCCACCACTGTGCTTTGCACGCGTCGTATTAGGTTCTTCGATGTCATCCAGAGTTTCATCCAATCCTTGGACCACAACTCTTCCTTCGTCCCAGTCTCTTTCCAAATCATCGCAACCATTTCTTGTACCCAGGAATGAATCGTCGCTCGACTCACGATTCTTGGCGGGAGTCACGCAGCCTAATTCTTCGCGTATTGTTTGTAAAACTAGCTCCAGTTCAACATTTTTTTCACGCTCAGCGGCGCATTCATTTTCAAGAATTTGAACTCTTCCCCGTTCCTCGACTAGTTTTTCTTCGTTTAATTTCAAAGTAATTTTTAAGGATTTATTCTCGTCTGAAATATCATCAATTCTCTGTTGCACATTACGACGAAGTTCCTCGAGGCAACAGACTCGGTTTTCAAGAATCTCTTTCTCGCGTATGTGTTTTAACAACTCTTCTTTTTGTTGAGCTAAACGTTTTTCCGACTGTTCGCGACGCTCGTCCGAACTCTCAACGAAAGCCGAGAGTTTATCGATTTGTGTTCGGAGTCTCTTAATCTCCTTCTGCTGACTTTCAGAGTTTGTATCAAACTTAAGATTGATTTTTAATGGCGTCATATTATCTTTAGGTATTGTAATACTATCTTCTATCCTACCATAATGACTCCTCACGTATCCACCCTTATCCTCCGTGTTCGTTGGTTGATCATTATGGTACACTTTTGTATCTTTCAATCCGTTAATCTCCCATTTCTTATTGGTCATTTTTGTCTCGTTTTCACTTCTCTTATCCTCGAGAATCTCCTTATATTTATCTTCATAACCGCTCGTTTTATCCACCGAATATCCTAAATTATCCCCGATTGTCTTGGTTGTCTCGGTGAGCGACACCTTTTGATTATTCAGGTCACCGCTCAAGTAGAAATATTTGCCTTCAAGGGGAAAAAACGCGTTCTTAATCGCTGCGAAATATGACTTCGTCTCCTTGCCATTTCCACTACGTTTTGCCATCTCGGGTTCTCGTTCTGTCGTAATCCCAAGGTCGTCGTTGTTTTCGACGTCAACTCTGCTGTGTGTCGTGTTAGGAACCTCCTTAGTGCTACTTCGTATGTTTGTGTTATTTTCCAAACAGTACTCCGTATATTTGTCCGAATTGTCGCTAGTTTTACTCAGCCAATCGAAAACGTCCGTTTCAATATTTCGTTGCGGTATAACGCTTTCAAGCTGTCGTTTCGGGGGTAATTTCCCCTTTTTGGACTCAGCTATGCCAGGCTCGCAAGTTGTTTTGCGATGAGCATTTCTCAGTGTCGATGAAGGGCCATCCTTTATCGATGATGCGATTCTTCTATCGTCGCTCATCTTGAAGGATCTGTTTCGCTTCGTTTGAGATACGGGGATTCTGCTGCCGAATGCTTGTTGTCTCTCATTGCACGATTCCGCTAAGCGAATCATATCTTTTAGCTATGTTCCCAATCCTTAAAAAGGCCAAAGGGACAATACGTGTTAAAAAAGAAGGCATGCTTTAATATTGGATCGGCTGACGGACAAAGAGATATTTTGGTTTGCGCAAGAAATACATGCGACACTTTTCTATTTTTTCTTTGTGACTGTCGCTATATGAACAAAAATATCACGCTTAAAATACACCTGTCTCGACCACATTTAATTACAAGTCGCATTAGCCGGAATTAGGAGAGAAGCGGTGAAAAAAATCATAAAAAACCGTCGTATAGATTTAGATGAAAATTGTTATATTGCATCGCATCGGAAAGTAGGGAATATCTTTCAAATGCCAAATTCAAACAATTCGATAAGAGGTTTCTCGACGATGTGAACAATTTTAAGTAAGGCCACGCTTAGGGAAGCTTCTTGATGATGTATTTTCACAAGTGTGTGTTTATTTGCCAATACTTTGTCTTGTGGCCTCATTATTGCCTTGTGCGGGGTAGATAAGCCCTAGCATATTACGATATTTCCAAAGGTTGTGGGAAAACAGGGTCTTGTAATTCTTTCATTTTCGCAACAAAATATAAGTACGCATGAATTAAATATAGCAGCCGAGGCGCTCTCAAATCACGTGGAAATCTTGTAAATCCACTTCTTATCGTTAGTTTACTTTTGTGTAATGCTTAATTTAATCTTTGGCTCCACCGGGCTCAACATGTGCACTACACCACGGATTTATAAAGATTATCAGCAGAGCTTCGTATTTGCCAAGCACTGATTGCTCTGATTTTGACCATGAATTCATCGTGAAGATTTATTAAAACTTACTTAGGGCGCTGTGCGTGCGTGATTACAATCACAGATATGAAAAAAGATGAAAAAAGGTCGTGGCTGGAAGTCGTAGACGATATTTAAGAAAGATATAAAATATATACAGCCATAGGGAAATATTGAATAAGTGACTCTCAAAAACCCTCGCTGTGTTTTAGCAACGTTTAACTACAAATTCATAGCAACTCGCGCCGCCGACAATATTCAAACGGGACCGTGGGCTGTATATGAGAATCGTACGCAAATTGGCTGGTCTATATTTGTAAACTAGTTAGCTGTGTGTTTGCGTCTAAATTCGTACATGCCTTTAACGATGAGGCGAGATGTTAAAACTGTGTTTATCAATTTTTCGAAGGCGAATTAACTGAAGCAAAGATGCAGTAGTGCGTGGGTAATTTCTCCATGAGACCCCACCAAGCATATATTTTTTCACGAGTGTGTTTTGTCGTGTTCTGCTTGCCATGAACAAACCTCTGTAAACAAACTCATTTTCCATGCAAAAAAAAACCCTACTTGCACTAAGGATATACAATCTTTAGGAATAACACGTCGAAATCGACGATCAAGCGTTGACATGCTTGCTTACCTTAGATGAAGTGTCTATGTCTAGGCCTTTTGAATAGATTCTTCAGTGGTAAAGATTTCCTTCGAAAATAACAACCTGGCTCATATTGTATCAATGTATCTGTCTGACACGACCTGTTGCTCTACATGAAGTCATAAACTCAAAGGTCACTCTTACACAAGGACACCGGACGAGCGCACAAACGCTCCACTGGTTCCGTTAGTTGAACAAAATCAGCTTCGCTTTCTGCAACGGAGAGGCTTAAAATATTGGACGTTTGCATCGAGCCTTAGGGTCGAAATAGGAGTCTGTGGTGAGCACCACAAGTCGGTAAAGTGTTTATTGGTCTATGCGAATCGATCATATGGCAAGGTCTTTGGCCTGAGCGTCAGACCGTGGAATATCGGATAGTAAAACCCATGACAGAATGATCGCGTCAAAAACCTTCAAACATATCTTTGTGAAATGAACTTGTCTTGTGAAGGGGGAGTGTTTATTCTCATATTCATATTCATATACCGTAGAAACAATCGCTTTAGCAAAAGTATAAGGATATTCACCTCCAATTGAGCGTTTCAGTAGAGATGGCCCACATTGGAAGTGTAGTATACGACTTCTAGTTACACCCAGTGTTAAGAAGGGTTTCCCTAAACAGATTTCTTTTGATCAAACGAATTTTTTCGCCTGATTATTTTTCTCATTGTGAGAATTCAACCGAAGCGGAATCGCTTGGCCGATCACTATTTAGTTGTAAAGAAACTGACCAGGCGAAAGATTTTGATAGTAGTGGCGATAGCGAAGTAGCTACTTCGCTAGGAAGTGTGTAGGGGGGTTTTTTAATCTGGGGGATTCGAGATGCTCTGTGAAGATAGTGTGAAATCGGGGAGTCTATGTGGGGACAGTGTGTGTGTGTGTGTGTCTGTAGGGGGGGGGGGATGAAGGTAAAACAGAGTGTGGCCTGTGCCCAAACTCATAGTAGACTAGGTAATTATATTTTACCATAGTTATTATGAAATTACGAATATTTACAATTTTAGAAGTGATTTGTACAAATATTAGTCGATTTTTATCGAGAATGACACACCACAAGAGCATCCCATTTCAGCCTTGGGATTATTAACAACTCGGAATGACGAACGTATGAGTTCTTCGCTGTAGTCAATTTCTGAACCTTTTAAAATATCCAGAGACATTTCATCCACAACCACTTTAGCTCCGTCTCGTTCGAATATTCTGAAAGATAAGTGTATCTACTGCAAAACAATAATCAAAGCCAAACAAAGTGAAATGTCAGCACAGACAGCACTTACTTATCGTCGACCTCCAAGTTGTTGTCCAGCTCAAATTTATATTGAAACCCGGAGCAGCCTCCTCCTTCAACAATTACTCGAAGAAATTTCTCTTCTACAGCCATCTTATGCAATTGCTGAAATTTTATATATGACAAAACGTCACTAGGGCTTATATATACCTTTGGTATATCAAAAATCATATAATTTCTTTTAATATATTTTAACAGATCACAAACCTTTACGCAGTTGTCACTAAGTCTTAAGCCTTCTTGCTGTATTGGTTCAATATTTGCATCGGTACTGTAAGATGAAACGCCATTGTAGTGTTTAAACCCGCTATATTTTGTACAAAATGCTGTAAAAAGCCTTGGACGAAGCAATTTTTTCGACGCCATATTGTTGTCCCCAGTCACTTGCTTTGTGTTCCTTTCATTTCCTGTCACTGAGCTCTATAATATTCCTGGATGGAGAAACACTTTATTGTTCACTTTATTGTTAGAGGGGGATAGTTGGAATGAACGAATGATTTATTTCATTTTTAAAATTGTTTTCTATTATTCATAATTTATCTAATTATTCAATTTATGAAAATATATTACACGATTTTATAACTTAATAAAACGATGCAGGGAAAATTTGATAGTCTTTCTTAACTGTGAAATGTATAATATGGGTGTGACTGATTTTTTAAAAAAATAGTTAATAATTCTCCTATTTCATGCGCTTTTTCCCGAGAATTCAACTCCTCAGTAAAAGCAGTCAATTTAAAGATCCTATCCAATTGTTTCAAACGTGACTTTATTCCAGTCGACTTCAACTGGTTCTAGTTTTTCAATTTCCACCAAAGTCTGTGGTCCGATGTCTTCGGAACCTATCTCATCTTCAAACATTTGTTGAAGTAAATTCTCTGCTGTTTTTATTTGGTTTTCCACCAACCGGTATCTCCTTTCCTCGTTTCTCGCGTATTCCTGGACTGTCATTTGACTTCTCGTTCTATGAAGCGTGTTATTGCCCATTTCCAGATCCTGACTTAACGTGGTGCCCGTACGACTTCGCTCCGTGATTGGAGTCCTGAAGCAGCAGAGAAATAACGTAGGATAAGTTTGTTGTATGAACTATGAAGCCGTTCTTTGGCTAACAAATCGAGTCTGCATGTGACGCAATGAAAGAAATGAGAGGACCAACATCATGACGAAAAAATAATTGAAGAAGTGGGAACCTACATGCCAATGCCAACACCTTTTTCTTGAATAACTTTTTCAAGCTCAGATTCAAACTTGCCATGAGAAAATGTGTACTGAAGCATAAACGCCTCAATGATGAACGCTACGAATATGCTGGAAACGTAAAATGATAACGGAAAATGAATTACTAGAACATGTTATATCGAGGACGAACCACAACCGAATGAAATTCTCTTGAAAGGCTGAGCGAGTTTGCTTACTTTAAGACTAGTATGACACATGTTAGATGAAATGATACAAAGTACAATCTAGCAGCCTTGCTTGTCACCAGGACAAAACCTTGAGTTAGAACTATATAATATGTCAAGGAACATATACCAATTGTACTCAATTCGTCAAAACAAGCCTATCTGCACTTTCTATGTGTTCCTTTTGCAGTTTTTTGTATAAAATTTAGCCTCAATCCGACAGGGGAACGTATTGTCTATAGTATTAATAGTCAAGGACAGTTGATAGTGATCAAAGGATACTGTGCCACTGGTTAACGACCATTAGATCGAATAAAATTTTCAGAGATTTCAAGATATCGTTAAAATTATCTCCGCAATAATGTTCGTTGTAAAATTCAGAATTCTTCAACTTCACGTCGCCGCAAAACAGTTCGGACGCGTTCGCCGTCGCATTTGGATACCCAAGCATTCTGATCTTCCCTTGAAATATTTCCATGCCAAGGATGGCATACACGTAAAACCAGATCTGCAGGAAGAAGATAAAATCAGCCTTTTAGAGACGAACAGAAAAACAAATAAGGAACTCACACATATACTGTGAAGAAACAAGAGTATCTTACAAAAACAATTCCACCATACATCGCAATGGATGGTCCTATTTGCATCACTGTATTCACTACAACTTTGAACCTGAGAATTTGAAAAGCGAAAATCTTTCATTGGCATCCACAATACTCACGGAATCTGTTTCAGTGAGAGGTCTAGATTAAAGAGATTTTTTTTTAGCTTTAAAGCTACTTAATATTATCTATCACCTTTCGATAGTTCCAATTAATTTGATCATCCGTAGCACACGAAGAATCATTAGAAAGTCTACTGCTGCCTGACTTGCGGTTACTGAGGTGAAAATAAGTATCGTCAACATATATTCAGGTTATACTGCGATCAGAGTTACCATAGGCATTACCCTACCCGAGTCACTTGTTATCTCGACAATGAATGATACTGTGGCACCTTCAATGACGACAAAGTCAAACCTGGCAGTGGAAATAAATTGGAGATTTTGAATTGAAGAAATCACGAACAAGAATCATGACGTGTCCTGTGAACTATGGACTTACGTGTTCCAGAAGTTTGCGAAAAACTCTCTGCATCCATACGTGTACAGTTTTAACAAGAGCTCAGTGTTGAAGAGTAAAAGAAATCCACCCTCTGCCATTTCAAACGACAGCGCGATGACAATAGCATTTACAAATATAACCACATCAAAAAAGTACAGGAAATATCTGAAAGCAAGAATATCATCTAAGTTATTTTTCTTTAGTTTCTTCCTTTCTCTCTCTCTCTCTTCTTTAATCCTGTCATTTTCTCTAAATCCTTGCTCTTCACAAGCAATCGTTTCAGCTGATGACTTCACTCACCTATGACACACCATTTTTCTGATCTTCACGCTCAACCAGGAGAGATAAATTGCTGGGCAAATCTTTTCAAACAAATGAACTTCATCTTTGACCTCAACCACTCTTATGTTAAGTAATTCCGACACTCTGAGAAAGTCTTTGACCTCTATAAAGTATTTGTGTGAAACTCTTACATATATTGCATAATGAAAGTTAAATTTGAATCACAAGTCTACCGATATAATCCCTGTTTTCTCGATCAAGAACATGCCACAACAAACTGACTTTTCCAGGACTGTAACGTGGACACAATTTTTCCAGAAGAAGTTTCCATCTTTCAAATTTCAGAACAGTTTTTTCAGTTTTTTTCAACTTTTCGCAGATCAAATCAAACGCAAGCCTCAACTGTCGTCTCTTGCGGTACACTGATTTGCGCACTTCGTTCTGTAGAGGAAAGGAAACCAGGGCAGTTACAATTACAGCTTATTTTTGGCCTGCAAGATATTCGCTTTAAACTACCAACTGGCGATGACCGCTGTCAATGATTAACCAAGAATTTGGGATAGCGACAGTTGTAGTGGAAGACTGTACCTTCAAATGCTTTCTGTAATTTGCGTAAACAACGGCCAATAAAATACTCAGAAAGATGTACATGCAAATGACGACGAAAACTATGAAGAAAAGTGCGAACCAATTGTTGCTGTCGTATGCGGGAATTCTAGGAGGAAAAAGAGCACGTCATGCAAGAGATATGCAGTGATTTGAGTATCATTCTATACTCTTTTGATGGCTACATCATTTGGTCTTGCATCCTGTCTTGTATTCGTGATTTGAAAAACTAACCACAGCAAAATCTTTCGTTTTATTAAGATGTATTACTACGACTCACCCAACATCTGGACTGTTTGCTGTTGTGGTAAAGATATAAAGTTGATAGTAAGACTCGAAGTATTTGATGAAGTAGGGATTGCCATCGATATCTTTGAGGTTCCTAAAACAGTTGAAGAGGTAAGTAGGAAAAGTTCTGACTGGATGACAACGTGAATATACTGTTGTTGTTTGTGTCGTAGCACTACCTGTTTTCGAAGAGTTTTGTGGCAAGCAAAGCGAATAATCCTATCGCAAGAAGCAGTAAGATCAACACATTAGCAACACCAACGATAGTTCTTCTGATGTTTCGAAATGATCGGCGAATCTGAAAAATAACGTTTGTGAAATAGGGAAATATCTCATCAATTTACCAAAGGATTATCGCAAGAAAGGAACTCTCTATAGGGGAAAACCTTTATGGTTTGCAAAACTAGAGCAAAGGTTATTTCTTATGTATGTGTGTCATTAACTAAACATATTGCAGCACTTGAATTCCTATCACATGCACACCTGTCGTCCCTCAAGGTTTATGACAAAAATCGGTCGAAGAATCCTTGACCAGCGCAATGCTTTTGCCTCGAGACCATTTTCCATGAAAATCGAATACAGCAACATATCCAGGAATGTTATCTGAAAAAATAAACCACAAGATCTCTCCCATTATCTCTTCCATTAAAGAAAGATATATTACACACGGTGTTTAAGGTAATTTGTGTTAGTTTCGGAAAACTCTTTACAGCTCACTTACAATTATGGTAGCCATGATTAATTTATTTTTCCTGTCGCCCCAAAAGCAGCCGTCCGGGGCGATATACCATTTGTGAAACAAGAAAATTGCGAACACAAAGATGCATACATACTCCATGATCATCGTGGCCTGTGAAAAGGAGAGGTTTTTATAAGGAAATATAGGCAGAGAAAGAAGACATATGAATATTTGAGCTTCTCACCCAGTACGGCAAATCGTAAACTGCGGGTTTTTCGAATATCGCCAAGGCCAGGTTGAGGCAAACGAGGGCGTGAATTAAATAGTTGATTTTAAACGTGTAATAGGAGTTGTACAATCTGAAAAAGAGATACGTGATATTTTTAAAGCAATGTTGCATAGTAAGCAATAGAAATCAATGTTGATCAATGATGAGTACATTGAAATGAAACCTACCTTACTTCTTTCGGCGTGAGTTTAAATATACCATGTCGACCATATCTGGCTTCGTTTATTAAAGTGGCTGCCATCTCAAGTTTCTGGTGAAAAATCAGGAATGACTGTTTTTCAATAAACGTTGTTTTGGGAGCATGGTTCTCCCGCTTTTTGTCTCGATGAGCACAAATAAAAATGAGAATTTTCCTCATCGAAGATGAATTCACACGTTTTCTCCATTGTGTGTACTCAGACAGCAGGGGAAAGTCAATATTGTTTTGTTCCTTGCTAGATCTTCATTTTAAACAACAGTTTTGTTTATATAAAGTTATTAAACCAGAGCAAAAGCGCCGAAAGGCATAGTAAAAATGGAAATCAGTTCTGTGACGATCAGTGACCTTGAGGTCGTTGAGAGTTTATCTTCACGCAGCGAATTTGTTCCTGGCAATTCTCAGAGACAGTGCTCGATTTCCTTATATCATATCACGATGGTAATATGAATCAACTTTATTGAAAAATTATGATAGTACGTCGGTCGGTATTCATTTACCAAGGATTAACAGATCAAACAAGTCTATGCATGACTAAAGAACAATACACTGTCGTTTATCTGAACTATCGTTTATCAAAAATCGTTTCATGAAGACTCGTATATCAAAATATCAAAATTTGACACACTTTATTCATTGATTACGGCAAAATATTATTACTATCTAATTAGCATAATTAGCAACACTGGCAGCAAGTGCGTGTGTAGATATAAAATTATATATTCCCGTACCGTGTTAACAGAGAGAGTTGTCGCGTTTTCTTCGTCATCTTCGTCGATTCCCGTCGAAATTTCGTCCGCGTGTTTATCAAAGGTGACGGATTTACTATTTGAAGCAATAAGCCTCTTATCATCCTTGAAATCGCCGTCCATTTCTATGTTGAAATCCCAGCCAGAGCGTTCAGACTTCAGAGACTGCCTGAAACTGCAGGTTATGCCTGTGTATACCCACTGAGCTATATAATAAATCCCACATTCGCATCTCGGTATCCGGGTATCGTATCGCCGATGGCTAATTATGCCGGGGAGTCCCCAAGTCTTAGGAAAATTGTCAGAAAGTTCCAGTCAGAATACCAAAAGTGAAGCAAAAAGCTAATATATTCCAGGTATGTTCCAGGCAAATTTACCAAACTGGTTCGGGGAGGGAAGTTAGTCTTTTAAGCCAGGTTCACACTTATCCTACGAAGCTGGGATTCCTTTTCCTTTGTCTGAGGTCACTGGTACACAAAATGCTTTGCCTATCCGAAAATAATACAATGGATCACCGATTCTTAGGACAAGTGTGAATCAGACCTTAGGGGCTGTTTACATGGCCCCGGTTACCCGAGACTCCACGAAGCCTGACATGATTTTGAGGCATTGAAATAAGTCTTCATAGCACCAAACAAGGCACATGCTATTGTCGGGATGACTACATTACTGCCAGGACCATGTTATTTACTCAATTCAATACCTCAAAAGTATCTCAAGCTTCGTTCAATCTCGGCTAACCGGGATCATGTAAACAGTCCTAAACAGGCTTAGGGCTGTTTACATGAGCCCGGTTACCCGAGATTCAACGAAGCGTGAGAGGACTTTGAGGTATTGAAATAAGTCTTTATGACACCAAACAAGCACATGCTATTGTTGTGGTGATTATACGACTGCCAAAATCATGTTATCTGCTCATTTCAATAACTCAAAATCATCTCACGCTTCGTGGAATCTCGAGTAGCCGGGCTCATGTAAACAGCCCCTTAGGCTATGCAGTTTCAAACATCATTTGCTGAACGCATTTAACACAATAGTTAATTAATGGGGGATACCTCATTATCTATTGTTTTTTATGCGTTTCGCACATGAGAAGCACGTCGTTTGAAACAGACCTTACTGTTAAGTAATGTGCATTGTCCGTTGGAATGTTTTTCAGGTGATAAAAGGTGGTTGAATTCGAGATGAAATTCAAACTCTGTTCAACTCGAAGAAGTTCACTGAGGGAAAAGTTGGAAGAATCTTTCTCAGGTACATGGTCATGGCTGGTTTACAGAATCTGTTGCTTTAACTTTGGCTTTGCAAATTAATTCATCGCCGTGTAGATTTGAATAGCCAGAAGACATTAGCGAGGGCATTGAGGCATATTCTTGCTGATTTTCACTCCTATATCTTGTATATTTCGATTGGAAATGTGAAATGCTCAAATGCAAGTGAGTTGTTAACTTGATTTGGTTTTTCCTTGCTAGACTTTATTATACAGAACGAACTACGGCGCTGAAAGATGGGGAAGGCGAAACACAATACTGATAGGTATTGTTCTTTTAATATATGTGAATTGTGCATTTGTGACTTGAAATAACACGTTTGTACACGGTGGGCGAAACCAGAATATAGTTTAATTAATCAAACTTTCTGGGACTTTATCCTAACTTTCCCGGCTGGTACAATACGCTTAGTTTTCGGACACGATTGTCGCATTGTCAATACTCGTACGTCAGCGCCTCTGATGTTAGTTTTGTACAGGGAAAGACCGGTATATTGGTATATGTATGTTGCTTGACTTCACATGTGCTGAGTTCTTTCAGCGTGTCTATTGTTGTTTTCCACCTCTAAAATATCTTACCGTGCTTCATTTGATTTCCACGTCAATAAGTTTTATCACAAACAAAAAAATACTCGTAGAGCAAGTCACTTCAACTAGACTTTATATGGCCATGAATTGTTTTTTGTTTTACCAAGGTTTTCTTTTCTTAGAATAAATGAATCGTCGGAGTCAAGAGATGTCGGAGCTTCCTTGGGCGACATTTATGCACGCAAATACAAAACTCAATTTGATTTCGTTGAAAATATGCATGAGTAAAATTGCATGAGATTTGGCTTTTTTGGCTGAGATATGCTGAACACTCTTCTGTTTACCTTCTTGGTTTTCAGCTTTTCGGCTTGTGGTTTTTGCATGGGTTAACCTGGTCGTGTAAAGCGCATGCGGAGGAAATACAAGTGATTCTGGGGCCCCATCACTTGTATTTTCTCCAACTTGAACGACAATAGTCCGGAACAAAAATATCGCTCACAGAGCGCCTAAAACATCAAAATGCATGAGAAATTGTATTTCTAAAAGGAGATAATAGTCGAGTGTTTTAGTTTTCTCAGGATCATTAAAAAGATTAATATTTATTGCAAAACGTGCATGACATTTTGTATTCGCGTGCGCAATGCGAAGGCTTGGACGAGTGGAGTAGGAGATGTAGAAGGTGTACAATCGGGTTTTTTGCTTTGAGTGATTATTTTATCCTGAATGCTTTATACATGAGTGAAATTTCTCTCTTGGAAGTAAATTATATCATATTTTTGTATCTAGGATCGTCGCAGGATCAGATGTTGAAGGATCATCGCAGGATCAGATGTTGAAAGATTATCGCAGGACCAAGGACATGAAGGTATATATGATTATTCAATTTCCTGTCGTTTCAGATGTTGAATTTATTGACAGTTGAAGGATCTGAATCTATGATTAATTCAGTATTCCTATCATCTTAGATGCTGAGGGATCGTCGCAGGATCAGACGTGGAAGGACTTGAAGGTATATATATATATATATATATATAAGATCATTCAGTTTTCTATCATTTCAGATGTTGAAGCGTCCGAAGGTATGATTATTTAGTTATTCCTATCATTTTAGATGTAGATGGACCCGATGACAGATGTCGAGGGATCGTCGCAGGATCAGATGATGGACGACGAGACGGGTGTACAAGTGGAAGCTGGTTGAGGTACATACTATAGGTATACTAATTAGAGTAATGCATGGTTAATGTAAGTGTTCTGGTGGTCTAACCTAGTAAAATTCACACATCAAGTGACATTTTCACTCTTTTCGACAATGCATGATAACAGAAAATTTCTCACAGCTTTTATGAAGGCGTTTTCGAGGTTTCTCGACGAAACATTCTTGTCACTTGCGTGTGAATTTCAACGACTTAAGGTGGTCTTATCCGTAGTACAAAAATATTTTCTTTTATTTCGTAAAATATGAAAAAAGTTATTAAATATGAATATTTTTTGTACAAGACCACCTAAACGGCTGCGGAAGATGCATGATGGCTTTAAAACGTCGAAATGAAAGTAACAAAATGCAACAGCGCATGCATGGTCGACGCGCGCGCAGCGAGAAAATAATGTGGAATTCGTATTGGCCTAATTTTTAGTTTAATACGAATGTAATCGCGAGTACTTATATGATTTTATAAGTTCTCTGTGCAGCCTGCTATAAGGCAAGCGTTTCGGAGGATCGTCCGTCAATGGCATCAAAAATTATATTTTTCGAATTGATGAAGTTTAAAATGAAAAAAAAATGAGAGTTTGATGTTTAGACTCCAGCACTCTTCTGTTTTCCTTGTTGGTATTAATTTTTCGGATTGCAGTTTCCACTCTCAAAACCCGGTTAATCTCAAACATGAAGGAAATAAACGTAATCTAATCATTTTGACTAACTTGATGAAGCTTGTATAAGTAGGATTACATTGCATGATAGATAACTGGACTGTTTAACTCATTGAATTATAACCCTCTTGCCCAAAACCTTACCTTAAAGAAACCCTTTGCATTTTGACACACTTACTATGTTTATTAATTCTTTGCGCGTTCCACCGTCGAGATGCTGTAGAAGAGGAAGAACCTTGAAATGGATGAAAGAGGAATGATTATTGTTTACCAAAGGTAATTGTGAAAGGTGAGGAACATTAATGATTGTGGTAAAACAGATATTAAGTAACTGTTGCATGCTGAGTAAGTTGACATTGTGTAAGGCATTGAATAAGTTGCATGTTGAGCCCGATTACGTTTATTTCCTGCTCCATTTTCGGTCAACCGTAATCCAGAAAGTATAAAAAGATAAGACTGAACGTTGCATGAGGTGCATGTCTTCATAGATGAGTGCTGTTGTCTTCATCGGTTTGAGATGAAAAAAGCATGCAAGTCGTGAATTTCCATCCACTATGCCAGTTTCGTTGAATAACTGAAAATAATTTTTGTTGCCATTGTCGGACAAAAAGCGCAGTTTGATTTCTAAGGGCCGGGTGTTTTGCAACGCACGACGATATGCGCGCTGCGCACGTTAGACCACCAGAAGGATCGAATTAATGAAGCTCAAGAATTACATGCTAATTCCTGGGACTCGGTGCCAACTATAGATAAAAACTGAACTGTCATTGCGGACGATTTCTAATAAAAATACCAAATTCGGACCACCGGTCAGGTAACCTGAAAATCAGGTTGCCTTTGGAGGGTTTTTCTCCGGGCACTCCGGTTTCCCTCCTTTTCGTTTGGCTTTAAAAACAGTGTCCATGTCTGGGGCCAAACCAAACGTGTTCGTAGATAGTGGTAAAAACGCGTGCGTGGCTTCTGGGTTCGATTCCCAGAACACAGGCGTAGAATAATTTTAAAAACATGGTTGTGGAATCATTACGTAATTAGCTACATCTGTTCGGACATTTCTAGTTATGAGATTTAGCATGCATGAGTTAACATTGGTTTACCTAATTATATTTTCTGTGATAGTCAATCATATCTTCTTTAAATTTTTTAATGTTGCAATGTTTTAACGTTGATTCATTTGGCGTTTTTTGGGCGTCAAATATTTGCATATCTACTAACTCTGGTGGAAAATCCACTCAAAAAAAAAGAAGCGCGTTGTTTCAATATGGAAACATCGCAGCGACACGTGGGTTTTAATTCCAATATGGCGGACGAACCAGAGCGAAAGTATTCTCAAGAGCAGTTAGAAAGCGACGAGGTTTCCAAGAAAGATATACTTTCCTTTCTTCAGGAGCATGCGTCGAAAGCGGTACGTGTAATATCGTATTCTGCACAAATTTTCGCGTAATCATATCCACCTGTCTTGTTTTTTTATTGGGTATTGAGTCAGGGGTATTATTTTGATAAACTTATATATAAATAAATTTATTTCCAATTTAGTTCCTAAAGGCGAATAAACTAAATGGAAAGCTTAATAATGTTGCAAAGTCTTTCAAGAAAGACCAAGCTATTAGCGCATACAACAAGATGTTTGAAACAAAGGTATAGTCCGTATAGATATTCGTTTGTGATGTGTTGTGTTCCAGTCCAGATATGTTTCAACCCTCGCCACGCCCTTCTCATAACGACAGGTATTCAAACATATTTTGTGGTCATTTGTGTCTTAACGATTACCATCTCAATGAAATACATTAGCAATTTTTGCAAGAGTTTCCATGAAGTATGATCTTCAATGGAGATTTGGGTGGGAAATGTGTGATGTAGTACCCTTAATCTGATGTATGGCCTGCCTAAAACGGAATGCTCAGTTTGGTCTGACTGGACATCACCTATATAAACTTGTTAGGTAGCAGCAGTGAGGATTTCAATCATCCAACTTAACTCTACTTGTCTTTTTATCACAGGCATTCAAAAGTGATGCAGATGATGAAGAAGAAGCTGTGCAAGAGGTAACAAAGAAGGTGGCTGCTGCCAAAGTGAGTGAGAAAGAAGCAGCTCATGTCGAGGTATGTTTCATAGCAAGGAACTGCAATTCCAATACAGCACCGAGTAGTCTACTGTATAATATTTAGTGCTACAATATAATATTTTTTATCAGCTTGTATTTAATGATACGGTAGACTGTACAAATATATCAAAGAATCATGTTTTGCATGGTGTTTTAGAGACCAAAATATACGAAGAAGATTCTGAAAAAAGCAAGTAAACCAGATCAGATACCTAAGAAAGGTGATCTTGTCAGCTGCTTTTACACTGGGAAACTTCAAGATGGGACTGTTTTTGACACAAATATTGGGAAAGGTCAGATAACAGCGTGCTTTATATCATAACGTTTGTGTAAAACACTGTAACATGTAAACTAGGCTTATACGTTTTTGGTTCAACTCTCCAGGATCCAAGAAGAGAGGTGGAAGTTATGTTCCTTTGAAATTCAAAGTTGGGACAGGTCAGGTTATTCGTGGTTGGGACGAGGCTTTGATGACAATGGGATTGGATGAGAAAGCTGAACTTACAATTCAACCTGAATGGGCTTATGGACGAAAGGGCCTTCCAGATCACAAGTATCCTTTGAATTGTATAATTTTCTCTTTTAGATGTAACTGAAGTGATTTATAATTCAAATAATCGAAACACCAGCAATGGTAATTTCTTAACTTAATTACAATAGAATTCCCCAGAATGCAACTCTCATTTTCGAAGTTGAGTTGGCTGGAATAGAATGATTAAAAATCAGGACTTGGTTGATAATGGATTTCGTTTCTGGAAGCTATGGTATTATATCGAAATTGCTCTTCTGTTGTGTTGTGTTTGGCTCATCTAACACTCTGTAGATAGGCAAATACATTGTTTTGTGGAAAACATTAACTATGCAAGCAGGAATGGACATCCAGTGGTTGGGAATAGATGAAACTTAGGTAAATTATTTTTGCAAATTGTGTGGCAGTATTGTGTATGCCTTGATGTGTACGTAGATAAGTAAGTTCTCCTGATCTTCTATAAAGTTTATTTTTGTTTTGAAATTTTACCTTTTTTGACTGTATTTGATGAATTCTGTTCTGTACCAAACGAAAATTAATGCGAAGATATTGTATGCGCTGTGTGTCTATTTTTATCCTTTTAACAACATGAAATCATTTAGTTTTGTTTGCCATCAATTATAGCTGGGTTTTTATCATTTTATGAACATGACTTAGTTTACTTATTTATTACTTTGGGGTATATGAACTATATCTCATACAAGTTCTGAAAGTTTGAAGAACGAAAGTGCATTTTATTATAAACAGGAATATTGTAGCACACGTTTCATATCAGTATGACATCCTGTTGACTTCTGTTCTTGGAAGAAACAATATTTTCACAGCTGGAAAACAAATTTGATATTTGGATTCGCGCCTACTTCACAGGCAGGATTCCTATTGTCGTGCAGGTTTCTTGGTAAACATCTCTTGTTTTGCGGCTCCCAGTTGGTATCTATATTTCATCAATTTAATGAGAATGTGAAGATTGAAATAATACAAAGTACAAACTTGTTCAATTGTGTAATATAAGCATTTGGAATTTAAGTGCATTTTTTTACTCTGGCATTAGAACAATTCCGAAGCTTTTGCAGTGGAAAGTGCCTCAGTGTAAAAGTCCATAGTGTGTTTCGTGAAAACTTTATTGGTCTTTTTAGAGTATCTATGAAGTATGATGTAAGAATTATATTTTCGGAATTCGGATCTGTTCTTGTTTATAATACTTCCTTATTTTCGTTTCCTCTTTACGTAAGTTGAGCTTCTTTAAAACGCATTAATTGCGCGTCGGTGCTTTTATCCTGGCGACGTAAATCCGAAGAATTTTCCGCATCTGTGTGAGGCAGCGCATGTTGGTAAAAAACATTTAACTGCAGATCGTTCAATTCTTGGATCCGTCGCGTAATTTTTGAGAATGAAATAGTTGAATAACCTTGTTTAAATACTGCGTTATACGTATATTTTAATGGGTTTACTGTGTTACTTACTGTGTTACTTACAGTTAATTACTGTGTTATTTGTCTAAACTTTTCAACATTTCGAGGGAACGAAAAACGTCGAGATTACCATAAATAGGATGGTGTCCTTGACCATGCATCAGACATCCGTTCAGATGCTTCCACGAAAACATGTCTAGAAATGGCGACAGGAAACTTTTCCTAAAGAGTAGACAAACAGAATCGTGTTGTAATGCAAATCTACGCACTATTTCGTAAACTTGATAATTGCATCAGGCGCACGTTAAGGTAAATATTGACAGTTGCATAACCAGAGATGTTGAAATTTGAAGTCAAGTACAATTCAACTGCAAGATAACCATTTAAAAGTAGTTTAAGACTTTTACCGGTAAATCTGACCCCAGAAACCCCTGGCTGTGATGAAAACAATCGACGTATTGTGTGTATGAAAGAAAATTCAAGTTATTTACACGAATTCACACTGAACAATCGCTTTAAAATAAACATCTCGAAACAAAAGTCTAAAAATAAGATACGGGACAGATACGATGAAGATGTTGTCTTTTGTCTCTCTGCTACTTTATAAGAACCTACTGCATAAGAATCTTCCTGAATACACCTGTTCGCAAACCGGTTTTGTGCCACATTTTTGGCGGCAAATGTTGCATGAGCGACATTAACATAATCCGCGCAGTCTAATTTCAAATATGTGCTGATTTATTTTCTCTGTACTTAAAGTTGGGCAAGTTATATTTTGGCTTCAATTCAAATTTTTATGCTGACATTTGCAAATGCGCTTAGACTTTGAACTGCCTCTAATCCTTGAGAGTTTAATTAGTTTTGTTGATTTAGCATAGGAGTTTAGCTTGTTCCTTTGAACGATTAGGGGTCTTTATAACCCCACGGTATTTATATAGTAGGCCTGGTAGTATATCCACCTTAATTTCAACTGTTTTTATAGGCTGATCGGTTGCAAATCATGTGCTTTTGAGGTCCATTTTATTCGGGGGAAAATACCGAGATAAAATAATCATCTTAATTGACATCACTTAATTGAAATGCGTTTTGACATTTGGCTTGGCTGTTCAAAATTTTTTTTAGAAATCCCCCTAGAGTGAGTGCATGACTGCATGAATACAAAAAATAACCTGTTGAGTTCAGCGTGGCAATATATTTAAAGATATCTTAATCTTATTCCATTTCTAGTTTAAGGCCTACCTAACAGGTGGTTGACACGTACATATAATTACATCATTTCTCTAGTTAATTTCGTGGTTTAGTCTATGACTATCGAACCCGTGATATTGCTGATGAATGAGTACCCCCCAAACAAACGGAAGGCTTGTGACTAATCACGAGGGCTTGAATATTTGTGGTATGTTTATATGATTGCTTGTGGCCGTGGATAGTTGTAGATTGTTACATTACATTGAACTTGAATCAAGGTTGCTCTCTCAAAAAATAAAACTCGACGAAACTTAGTATATGTTTGAATGAAGTCAACAAAAACGCGTTGAGTTTCTGTTTACTTTTCGTTTCAGTTTTGGGCAGAAAAGCATTTCCGTCTCAGCGCATAAATAATGAATTAATTCATTCACACAGCACGACAAGCCGTGAGTCATGTGAGAACGTGTAAGCAGGTTGTAAACACATACGTTGCATTCATAACGCGCGCACAACACTCATTGAATCAGATTACTGTTGAATACTGTGAAGAGAAGAACTTGTTACAGAGAGTCTAGTTCTAGACATCAAGCGAGAAAACGCTAGCAAGAAGAGAAAAGATTCTCGACGTGTATAAATTCAAAAAGCTAAAAGAAGAATCATGGTGAACGGTCTTAAACTTCCTTCGTTCCTTAAACGAAAGCAGCATGGAGAAAGGTTCGATAACGAGGAATCAGAGGGATCCGTTCAAACTCCAGCGAAAACAGAGAGCCGGAGCACGGCTGAGACGACAGCAAACATTGATATTCCCCAGAAGAAGCATGGACGCCGTGAAAGGACCGTTTCGGGATGCAGTGGCCATTCTTGTCAGTCTGAGTCGACCCCGCGTATGAGGCGACTGCCGAATTCGGCTGGATCCAACTTCTCAGGAGAGTCAATCATCCATCATTTGGATAAACTCAGCGAACGAGATCAAGTTTGGTTCCAAGCTTACAGGTTCGGTGGGCGATAATTTTTGAACGCTTAAGTTGATGTAGTCAAATCGTTGAGAGACTTTGACCTCACCACTCCTGCATATTATATAAACTCAAGCGATGAAGTATTCGAAATGAAAGATATATCTACAGACCTTTTCGAAAAGGTGTTTGAGGAACATTATTCTATAAAATAGTTTGTATATTTTGATTGAAGTTGAATTAGTAGGGTCTAGCATGTTTGTGTGAGTAATTCTGTGAAATTCGTCGGATTCCCGCCATTCTAGGTATCTTACTGACTTAAAGTTTGCCCTTTATTACAAAGTTAAGATTTGGTTTGGTAAAGTTTTCTTGAAAATTGAGTAAGATCTTTCGAATGTACGCGAGTCTAATCTAAGCGAGAGAGCATGTTCTACAAGTTTTGTGAATTTGACGAAAGGCTTTTGTCTGAATTTTCCTTGTAACAAATCTTGCGGTTTCAATTGGTCAACCATAAACGCCTAATATAAAGTGAAAATTTCTTTAACGGCCGAGAATAAAAACCCTGAGCTACAAGTATTCATTGTAAGTAGGTATAGTCAACGAGACAATTCTGCTCACGTTTTGCTTTAAGTAAAAAGGGATCTATGTTTTTTTTCAGTATAAGTAGGCGTTGCTAGCGCCTACGCGCAACGCTCTTTGTGTTGTGGTTTCATTATTTCGACTTCGTGTTCAAGTGTGAATCAAAAATGAAAATGAATTTTCGTCTGCGTCACTTGATAGTTCGTCTGAACATCTTAATATTCTGTTCATGTTTTTACCGGAAAGAGAGTCCAAAATGAAAGTTCTTTAGTCGCATCTCGAAGGCAGACTTACTCAATACAAACAGTTGTCATGTTGAATGTTTACTGTAGTATGCAAATTCCGCATGTTCCCGTTTACTATAGGAAATTACGCGTGGACGGAAACCGCGACAATAATGTAAATAAGCATAAATTTCGTTAGGGCATGCCCGAAGCAATTAAGAATAAATTGTAATATTTTCTAGACCACATTATGTAATAATGTGGCGATACATAGTTTATATGTTTGGTACGAGTGATAAGTTTGTTAGTTTGTATATATATATGTATATATTATGAAATGTAAAGAATTTGGCATAGCGCAAGGAATTTCGTGTATATATTAATAGTACTTCCATCGAGACAATGATTAACTCAAGAACGCGAAGTGTTTAAGCTATTTAATATATAAAGTATTTTCAAGCAAATTAATAAATGAAACATTCAAAAACTATATCTTATTCTTATCTCTGGCCTCTGGGCATTCTTAACGTCCTACAGCACAAGATTGACAGGTTATTTCGTGCGTTGAATTACTTAAAAACACGCACTAAACAAACATCGCCTTATCATCGCGTCTCTATTCTTTGCCAGTTTGGTTTGCGTGCCAAAACGAACCTGTTGTCACATAAAATGACATGCCATGCTTGTTTCTATCTCAAGTAAAGTTTCCTAAACGTTCAAAACTGTTTTCGTGTGAAATCTAATGGCAGCACGTATCCGCCTTCACTTAACACTACTTATAGCACAGGATTTTTTGGTCTGCATTATTCGCCTAGTTCAGTCAACTCGTTAAAGAAAGGTCTTGGCAGGAATATTCATGCCTTTACTCCAACTGCATTGTTTATCATTTGAGTCTTGGAGGAAGTACCCATGCATTTGGGGAACAATAAGCTTGAAAGACAATAGGAATGGTCAAGTTAATCAGGTTTGACAGATTACAAATCTTACAATGGTTACATAAGATTTCAACAAGCCACGACCCACTGGAACAATCTGTTATTACAGGTCAGTGCCGACATCGAAATTGATAAACTTGGAATTTGAACTCCTCAACTGAATTGCCTTTTTTTTAGGTTTTTCAAGGTTAAAAATACCTGAAAAGTATAAAGTGTCTCAGCTTATCTCCGGTATAAAATCTCGAAAATTGAGAATGAAACGCGATAATTCACTGTTTGAAAGACAGTTAGCAGCGTTTGAAGTCTTTCACAATCCTTTAAACATTGTCTAGACGATTTGAGTCACTGAACAAACTTTTGAGGCTCAGATGGTGCAATACTTCCTGTCTAAGGTTGATCAATTCAAACCCGACTTTTTTGGTGAAAGAGTCTTTGTCGCAGATAGACCCGAAGATACTTGCAATTTTTCATATTTGTGTTGATTGATGTTTTCATGACTTTCCTTTCCTGGTTTCAGGATGTACAATCGAGAGACTTGATTCTTAAGACTTTAATCTGGTGTACTCGCTTTGTGACAGATCAATATTTTAAACAAAGCTACCATTAACCACGATCAAACACAAGGCATTGCGTAAAAACTCTCGTGATCTTTCCAAATCATCTTTGTCTATGATCTGCTTTCTCAATTCAAAAGTTTGTGCTTTTGACTACTTGTCAATTGACAAGCATGTAGTCACCCTAATTAGAACGTTGATTGCGATAAGAAACCTGTTGGAAGGTGATAGTCTGTTTGAAAGTAGTATCTTTTAACATGTTCGTAAAACATTGTTCGATTAAACTATTGTTAAAACATTGTCTCTGTCGAGGAACAAATGAAAACATTGAATGAGATCCATTATTACCAAAAATATGTATGTACCAATATACCAATGTACCAAACCTATGTACCAATGATATCATGAAGGTTCGCATGCATCAGCTGTAGGAACAAAAATGTACATCTTTATCAACCAATGTACAATGAAATCAGATATGCATGCGCGGTGTGTCGAGGAACAAATGAGGACACGGATGGAATTCTATCAGGGGATCCTGTATATAGCTAATATCCTTCTGAGAAAACACGTACATTCGTATCAATTAATGTACAATATAAGCAGTTTGCCGGGGAACAAGTGGCGAACATTCTGGGCAGATATAGTCTGCCTCACCCAATACACCATATAATGAGATAAGCTGTAAGCATCAAGGCGAATGAGGATGCGATATGCCACAGGTCATGGTCGTCAAAAAATTCCCATAGAGAACACTCAGCATTAAGTTCTCGCGATTTACTTGCCGATTTAACTTTGTCCGTGACTGGCTTCTGAAGGAAGTAGTACAATGCTATCAACCAGCAAGCCACGGTACAAACAGCGTACAAAATAACGTGGAAATTTACGATCGGCCATTTCAAGTACATCTTCCACTTCATCGCCCTGCTTTCATGCGCAGTCAAATCTTTCCGCTTCTTCACGTGCTTGAAGATATTCTGCGAGCATGCGGTCAAACTGTAGCCAATCACCGTGCACATAACCGCAGCAAGGCACGTGAAAAGAAAGAATATGGACCAGTTTTTCTGCAGATCGACCGTGTACAAGCCGATGAACAGCATAATCACTGGAAATAGGGCACACAGCCAGGAAAACTTGCACCAGAAGGCTGGTTCGGGACGTGGCTTCCACGGCAACATCAGACGAAAAAATACCCAAGCGAACATGCAAGTTATCCATAAGATACACATAAAATAAAACACTGCATCGTTGAACATTAGCAGGCCCTCGGTATCTCGTATTGAACCGATGTAGTTGAGAACAAGTAAAGGCATGACGAAGAAAAGGTAGAGTTTCGTCTCAAACACCGGACTCGTGTACGTCGCCGGTGACTCGTCGTCGATGCTTTGCCGATGTTGAGATTTGCTGACGAGGGAATTAAACGCGGCAACGATCACCAGACCGCAAATGACGAACATGAAAGCCGAATCGAACTGAAACGTCATGCGGCTGGGGCACATGTGGTAGCAAGCCGAGAAGATACCCTGGAAGACCAGGGACCACGCGAACGCGTACATGATGGAGAACGAGTCCTTGCGCACGGTCACGTTTAGCATCCGCTCGTTTACGCGACACGTCGCCTCACGTAACGAAACGGATAACGCGATAACGAAGCCATGAATGACGTAAGTTAGATTACTGATGATCAAATTATAGGGAACATCTACGAGGGGCGTTGCCCTGTAGCAACCTTCGTTGTAATAACATATATCACGGTTGCCGCTCTCTATCATATCCCGCCAGTTGGAGACGATGAATTGAATAGCACCAGTCAAAAGGCTGATGGCAACGATTCCGGTCGTAAACGCATAAGACCTTTCATCACCACGGAACCAATCTAGCATTACATTCCCCCAATTCTTTAGCCCAGGCCAGTGCTTGGGTATACTCAGTTTGACAATATCATAAGGCTGTTGCGAGTCCTGCCCAAGGTCGAGGCATATGCTGCCTGTCGGGAGGCTGTTATGACCATTAACTTTCAAAGTTGGAGGGCTGGCTTCATTGCGGTTTTGCGCGTTATCATTCGCGTCTGCTCCCTCCTCCATTCTGAATATATGTGAATTAACATACATACGAAGTTTGTGAACTAACTGGTGCTCAAACTCTGGATTTAGGAAGAAATCCGCGAACAATGCGATGATGCTACCACCGAGAAACGAGAGCAGAACAAGTAGGAGAATTGGCTGAGTGAAGCTTACTCTGTTTATGCCACCAGCAAAACCAACCGATACTTTGACAGTTTTTGTAAATTCTTTATGATTTTTGCCGTTGGCATTCTTGAGGAATATACCGATGTACCATCGACCTGTCGTTAGCTGTGGCTTCGACGCGTGGGATAAGGTGATCCGTCCGAAGGTAGTAAAGGTAAGATGTAGTGTGCCACTAGATTCTTTGAAATTCACAGCCTGAGGATCAATTGCATCCACGTTAACAACGTCATCACAGTTATTTGAAACAAACAGTAGACATTCACGAGTGTCGTCTTCCGAACGGACAGTTACTTGAAAATGATCAAATTTTCCCTGTATGGATGAGACGTCAAACACAAGCAGTCGGGAGGTGATCTTATGTCCAAACTCTAAAGATTTGTCTTCCTTTTCTGTCATGATGGACTCGTCTACTTGAACTGTGAGATTGATTCCTAGAAAGGGAGAACGCATCTCAGTGTAAAAGGCATAAAAATTTCAAGAACGGCACAAAGGGGAGAGGGATCACAGTAGAAGGAAAGTAATCCTGACCTGTTAGAGGTGTTGCTGATAAAAATATTGAGTAATTTCGATTGCTAGACTTATCCAAGGATGGGCAGATATGAAACGGATACGCCACATGGTCATCTGCCTCCGTGATGTACCCTGGCAGCACCAATACACCCTGTTCATCCAACACCATACCAACCAGCGATGCTTTTTTTTGTTTGCTGGTTTTTTGTAACCACAGTCGAAGTATACCTTTAGAGGAGTTGTACCATACATTACACGACTTGATATTCATCATGGAGCTCGCCGGGATCATAGTGTATGCCATCATCTCATTCCGACGAGGAAACGTCGGCCTGCCAAAGTTGCAATCACCATCAATTGTAACATATTCCAACTCGGTTGAGTGGGTAACGGAAAGCCAACCGAGCGAGACGATAATTAGTAAGATCCGCATGGTCATCACAGACCTTTAATATCTGGAAAATAACGTAAAAGTATGGGGAAACTGTTGTAAGGAAAACTAGGTCGTGTTCTAACGTTATTGTACAGCTCTTTTATGATTTAATCCTATATAATCTAGATAAGATTATTTGCCTCTTAAGATCTTGAACAACTTTCACAATAAAAGGAAATTATCCGACGGCAGGGGAATTATCCTATACAAAAGGGGAATTTTATAGAACTTTATTAGTTTACCATGCACATACGGTATTGACATTTGATACACTATGAAATACCACACATTACTTGTATGTCTAGCGATTTCCTGAAACGTGAATTCCTTGCAATATTACCACTGTCTTGCTAAAGTTTAGTTACTATCTTTTTTATGGACACCTCGGAATTCTAACAGTCCCGCTCTTTTATCGTCGTATTCCGACCAACCCAGACAGATGGCAGCTTATATATAACCGCAAAATACAAACATGTGCCATGTGGTGTTAAACGTTGTGCTACACCTACACTTATTTTCATTCAAATACGTCACTCAAGTCCATGTTGTAGTTTGAGCTGCTTGAAAATTATATCCGGTTTGATATCGGTTTTACTGGTGTCTCATTGAGGTCCTTAAACAGGTCAAAAGTTCACTCCAAATGATGTCAAACAAAAATAATTAATGTAGTCCGAGACATTTGCATTGTAAAAGAGGGCAATCTGTTGCATATAAAGATTAACAAAAAATGTTTTGTTATATAAAAAAAGAAACAAAAAAAAACGAAAAACAAACGAAAAATATGTGAAGTCGAGAAAAAGAAACCACAATAGTATTGCCAAACCCTTTTAAATACTTCGTTTTAGTTTACTCGTTGATTTATTGAGATTTTTTCCTACCTTTTCAACTTTTTTTGGACACGAAGTTTCGTTTTTTCCACCATTATTGAAGCCCGCGTGCCAATGCATGCTGGTACCGCGGCGCGGATCCTTCCCGGTACTTCATGTTTTATTATTGAATAGTTTATCATTTTCACCTCATTTCTGTTAGTTCTGAATACTTCACACTTTCCAAACTACATTTTTTTCTGAAATTATAAATATTGGAATAGAAATTATTATCCTTCACTAGTTTCGAAAGGTTGTTTGGTTGGCAAGTTACACTCGCGGACGAAACACCATATTTGAATGTAACACCAAGTATTCAGAAAAATAGGAAAGAAAGATGTGGAAATGAGAGCAATAGCATTTTCAAAGAAAATACTGTTTGGTGAAATTGTCAATGTTATAAAGTACCCAGTGACTGTATTTCCAGGCTCTAAGTATAAATGGCTTGATAACGTAATCAGTAACCACGGAAATAAGGTAAGTTATTGGATTATTGTACGGGAAAATAAAGAGTAGACTTCTCGATCACTCCATTCCTCCAGACGGGCTCCTGGCAGTTAGTCCAGTCACGGGTCCAGTAGAGATTCATTATACAGTCATGTAGTATTTATTCATTTAAAATAAGTATTACTAAATAAGAATATTTTTATCTTAGTTGGCTGGAAATGGCATGAAATGTTACAGTACAAAAGAACAAGGAATTAAACCAAAGACTAGTTATTATTACGAGGCAGTCATACGAGTCTAACATCCCAAGAGTTGTGTTTACTGAGGTGAACCACAATGAAACTAAAAAGGTAAGTCTAAGATAGAGATCAGTTCCCAGGAAAAGTGAGTTGGCAGGGGTGCATGGAAGGACGGCAAAGGACAGATTCTTCTTCCTCTTTCATACCTATATATTCCCACCTCCCATGCACTGACTTACCCCAGCTTATCCACTGGTCTATGCTTGAGTACTGTGATCTACGCTTGCTATAGCCTGGAAATTTTATGCAACCCATTATCCAGAATGATGGCAGACAAGCCATTAGACCAGATCAGCAATGAAGCCACATCTTAATAAGTATTAAAAACTTTTGTTTAGGAGAAAATGTTTCGGGAATATAAACAGGATTTAATGTCCTGGCATCATTCATTTTGGCTACACCAAAACCTGAAATTTACAAAGGTTTGTGGCTTGTGAATCAATAGTGCAGATAAATCATAACTCTGCCACATAAAATTAGGGATAACTTCATATGTCATTGGATAGGATGGGATACAAAAGTAGGTGCACCAAGGTATATTGTTAGTTAAATTAATTTATCTAATTCAACTGTTTTAGGAAAAGAAAGAATATACACTAAAGAGAGATCTAATTGAAAATGCCAAAGCTGATGGTAAGTAATGATAGACTTATATGCAATTTCTGAAAGTTGTACAGGCAATCAATCCTTTTTTATTACCAGGAAAAGAGAAAGCAGATGACCTCTCATTGTTCTACAAAGAATTTCTTGATGAAAACTTTTCTGTACACTTTCAATATCAAAGGTTAGTATAGATTGCAGTGCTGCACCTTTGATTGTAAGGCTTCCTCACCATCCTCATATAGGAAGCATTCAAATTTTTGGTTGCACTTCCCCATATGAGAAGCCATCTTAGTCTAAAATTTTTACATTATCTATGTTTAATAGAGAATGGTATAGAAGGAATTTTTTGCTGTTATGGTATGGACTTAAGGTTGATGTAGAAAGGTTGTTTAAAAAGTTAATGGTTAAGATATCCAGGCCTAGAAGTAGTTAATGACTGTGGGAGGAAATATTTAGTGGTGGGTGATGTAAAAGTGAACCAAAATACTAGAACAAAATATATTTATTTTTTCTCATATAAATTAAGGTATATATTAATTAGAATTCTCAGTTCTTATAGTCTTATATATTATTATGAATCTATAAATCCTTTGCATGTAACATTGATAAAATGTTCACTAACTCTATGTGTAATTTTCACCATTCATTAACAATTGAGTTAAATCTCATCAAATAAAGTTCACAGAAGAGTTAAAGCAATGTCTATGGTAAGTTCCATTAATTGTCCATCTTTTCATCTAATATGTCAAAACTCTTGAACTTGACAAAACACTATACTAAATCTACTTTTCATACTGTAATTAATTTTACTAAATTTACTCAATGCCGCTGTCAAACTCAATTTGTCCTGTAGAACTGACAATACACTTCTCAAGTTGTGCAAGCCTAGATTCAAATGCTTTCACAATCCATTTGGGATCAGTCATACAATTTAAGTCACTCTGAACCCCAATAGAAAACTCGCCCGCATAGCTATAAATGCCAACCCCGATGCCAACCAAGTTTCGTTGAGGTGGTGCAAAAAAGATCTGGGTAACTTTATGACCACAAATGCTAAACTGCTCCTGGGATCCTGGGACATTTGACATTACAAACGAGTGCTTATTAGCAATTGGAACATTCCAAAGTTTTGTAAGAAATTCAGGTATGTACTCAACTGTCAGGTTTCCAGCGATAGCCAATACAAATGCCTCACCAGAGTGTTTAATTTCATCCATATGTCTCTTTGTTGCATATAGATTTTCAAGAGCACCTTCCTCGCTAACAGGCAACTTGAGCGTAACAACTGCAAAGTTATTTTCCAATTCTAACGGCTGGCCTTTTGGGCGGACATCAACGGGCACGGTTATAGTAACGTCAGGAGGGTTAGATACTCCATGAGCCCTGAAATAGTCATGGAAGCTCATGGACACGCAAGCCATCATGATGTCGTTCACTGTTGTTCCTGTGTGGTTCTTTATCTTCTTAATGACTTGTAAACTGATTGGTTGACTCCAGGACATTTTCTTAACGCCTTTCAATGGAGGACCATGAATAATTGAACAGTCCGGTGTGGAGAAAAGTTTTTCAACAAGGATCCTGCTACCAGCCAAGAGTCCATTTAGATATATCCACTTTCTGTTCACAGCTGAATATTTGAGAAGCTTGTTTTCTGGTAGTGGTTTGTCAGGAAACTGCTCTAGGAGGAATCTTGTCAACGATACTCCATCTGCCATGCCATGATGCAGTCGGAACAATATAATTGCCTCGTTACGATCATAGGTTTTGGGAATGATAATGAATTGCCACGGGGGGCTTTCGAAGGTGAAATCCTTGGCACTTAAGGTTGAGATAAGTGATTCCATTTCTTCATGGGACTTGGGAGCTGGACCACTGTATGCGTATATGTGGTCCGCAATATCCAAACTATCAGGGTCTTTCAGGAAATATTGAAATATGCCACGCTGGATGCACTTGTTTAACCGAGGGAACACTGCTTGGCCATTTGGCTTTTTCATCTTAATACATCTCTGGACAATCTCCCTTACACCATCTACTAAATGCTCAATGTTGGTGCATTCTAGGGCCATTGCGCTGTTAATGATGAGTCTGTTCTCCTTGGTATCCTGCAACCACAACGCGTCTTGCCCACTCATGGCAACCCAACCTGATCTTAGATATACCCATTGTTTCTCAATGAACCTCAGGACATTATAGACAAGCAGCAATGGAGAGAGAATCAACACGATATAAAATATAGCAATTGCACAAACAATGCACTCGATCGGATAGGACAAAATCTTTAGGTATCTCTTTGCGATACTTGTAATTTCACGGGCATTTAACTTCCTGTCCGGGTGCAAACGATCTCGATTATTCACCTGGCCGTTTGCTGAGCCATTTGCCTTTGAAGTTTGTTTAAGATTTTCGATATTTCCAACAATATTCCGTCTTTGTGTGACTTCCATTTTCCAAACTGACGGCTGGAAGGAACTCGTCCGAACTCAATAATTACCTGCAGTGTTTGACTATTTTTGAGAAGGCAAAAAATACTATCATCCTGCTGTTCCAATTGTTCTGATTGGCTGAAATTATTCTAATAGGTGCCAAAGTTCGGTTGAAGTTCCAAAGTTCGATCTCTGACAGTTTCGCACGTGAGGTGACAACTGTTGTTATTGATATTTGATATCATCAGCGTCAACAAACAGGTATCAAAGAGTGTTTTTCAGGGTAATCAGCATCGTGTTGCGATGGAAATTTTCTTGATGAGGGTCTCCAACCGATTCAAATTATTTTATGGGTAATGCTAGACAACTGCACGATACACACACAAAGGGTCAAGGTCGCTCAAGGGCAAGGTCATCGTGATGGAGGTGTGTCCGTGTGTGATGCAACATGGCCGCGGATTATGCTTACTTTTAATTTCTTCACTTTTATAACAAGGCATGAAAATGTGCATGTTTTTGAACAAATTTTAAAACATTTCCTTTGCCATTCGAAAAAATTAGTTGCGATTGTTCTAAAACAAATGTGCGTAAATTTATGATAGCGAGATTTTTGCAAAGCCAATGATTGTTAGGTATGAAACTTCATGTAGAATAAAATCCTAGTTATAATGAGCTTTCGAGCAATTTGGATTCTAAGTAAAGATAATTTGGAGAAAAGTCAAGTATTGTTTTCAAGGTAAGCAAGATAAATATTACACTTCAACCTAATGTTGCATGCTGCTGATCAATCTTCAGCATTGTACGTACAGCTAAATAGATGCCATGAACATTGAACAATCGCACAATTCAGGCATGCAAGTAGCCTGTGATGTATGTTTTACTGGGCAGAATAATAACAAACAATATACTGGACTACTTGCAATACTGTGATTGAGCAGGCTACCTGAATGTAGGTGGTGAATTAACACTTTCCTTTTGAAAAACCAACAGGAAGTACCCTACAGTGGAGAGACGACATCATTTGATCCATGGAAAAAAATCTAGTTGTGCATTGCCAGATGACAATCTCGTTGTTAAATCTGCGTTTAAAAATTTGCAAATTGGACGGAAGACTGAAGCGGTAATTATGTCAGATTTAGCTATTCTGAACATATGACAAACATTATCTGTACACTTGTACACGTTTTGATGATATGAAGATTTTGTGGTCTTTACCTAATGTTTATCTTTCTGACACAGTATATGGAGGAATTTGATGGCTGTCAGCAGAGCAAAGGAGAACCAGTTCTAAAATTGGACATCAATGGTGAACCATTATGGCCGATTGTTGCCCTTCAAAAGGTTGTTTATTAAGAACAGAAAGGTTTTATTCCAAAAATTACAATTTTAACAGCCCTGCTTGCATTTTTCTTTAGTTTAATTTAATTTTTATCTGCCTTTGTTTGGTGGAAAAGCGTGAATTTGACAGTAGGACACCATTAGTTGAAATGTATGTTGGTTCTGCACTGTACACATGGCGAACCTATTTTTATGAAATTATTCAATTCGACAACTCTTTAGTCATATCCAATGTCTGGTAATTATTATAATTTATAGTGATTTTTTCCTTGCAGTCCAGCCATATCTATTGGTTATGCCTTGATCCATAATATGATTGAATTCATTGAATTAGTACCACTGGACAACATTTCACAGGTATTCTTGCAATCTTTTGCTAACAACCATGATTTTCTGCTGCACAGCATATCAACATTTCATGTGTCTAGCTTGCAACTCAAATTGAAGAACTTGGAATGCTTCTAAAAATCCTAATACCTTTCGGGACACCAGTAGACACAAATTTCAGCACGATGAAAGGCTTTTTAACTGGAAAGGATAATAACTGGACCCCAAAATACAGAGTGAGTAGTTTTTCCTAGTATATCCCAATGAAACATATGATTATCTAAATGTTTCCAATAATAGGACTAGAGCAGTACCTAACATTATTGCAATCATATTATTTATGGTTTAGTTATCAGCTTGGCGACCATTGGCTGCTACAAAGACGAGAAATCAGTTGCACTTCTCCATACGAGAGCAAGTGAAGGCTGTGATATATAATTACCCGGAGAAGAGCGTTTACAAAGATATGTGTCATGTATATGGAGTGGTCTCGTGCAAGGTAACGTACTGGTTATAACCACATGTGCCAAGCAGTTTGGTTCATACTTGGTTTTGGTGGAAAATGCCCCAGATACAGGGATAAACCAGTGTCAACCATAATTATCTTGAAAGTCCTTGGTGGAAAGCTTTTAGATCTTGAATGACAGGAGGGTTGTGTAGTCATGAGGTTTGCACTATCTTCTTGCAAGTTGTTTAGATGTCACCCCCCTCCCCATTTTCCACCCCCCCTTTTCCACCCCCCCTTTTCCACCCCCCCTTTTTGCCCCCCAGTCACTGTAAATATTGCTACCCATTTCTTCTCTATATCCAGGCTGACGTCGATGGCGTGCCCGAAGTGTCGTTAAATTTTGCCTCTAATCCAAACATTCACATTGCTTTCCATCCCTGTCTACAATGGCTGGACGTTGCCTCAAATGGAAGATCAGGGTCGTTTGGAAACTCGTCTCCGGACTTTTACCGAGAGCAGATCCCAGTCTCCAGGACTGTTTGTTTCACTCCTCCGCACGAGCTGATTCCGTTTTGCCACGTGAACGGTGATTCCCAGCTTCCAGTGAAAGGTGTTTTTCAAATGAAAACCGAGGTAGGAAACTAGCTTGGTAACATTGTAGTTTTCCAGATGATTTGGGGCACCATCTCAAAGTTGGCTGGTTTTTAGGGTTATAAACTCTTCTTTACAGATCCAGTGAAGAAAAAACGATCCGTTTGTTACTTTGTAAGACACCATTCAGGCAGACGCCACAACAGAGCAATATTAAAGTTCCATCTTATCGTTTTTCAGGGAGAAGTCACCCAAATTCAAGTGCAACTTCAATTGAGCGAGACTGTTAAGAATTCATTTGAATATTTTGAAATCCACATTCCATTTTTTCACAGGCAAGCGTGTGATTGAAATCCTTCTTGAACCCATTATCCACATTCAAACTGCCCATTTTGTGTATTAATACACTATGTGCAGTGATTCATCGGTGGATAAATAATCGCGTCTTCTAATTACAGTGGGCCGATCAGCAAATGGGAACTTGATAATACATGGGGTGCTGTTCTTATCTCGCCAGAAAAAAGAAAACTCGTTTGGAGTTTAGGTTCGTTTTTCCTTTTAAAATCTAAGAAATTCTTGTTGAGTCTGTCACTCGGTTGTTTGAGCGACGTAAGTTAGCCTCTTCGAGGTCTTGATTTCGCTTCGTTTTTCCAGGTCAAAAATTCCCCAAATCTCTACAAATTACGTTAAACGCCACCGTGCTACTGGCTGATGCATCCACAGCTGAACAGAGCAACTTCAAAGAGGATCCTTTCTGTCATGGCCTGAATACGTACATCCAGGTACTGAGATTTTGAGTGGACTCCAGATTCATCACCCGAACATGGCAGAGTTTTTCTCCCAAACTGCCGTTTCTTATAGTTAAGGCTATAGCCATATTGGTGGTATATTAAGCATTGACATATTGTTTAGATATATTTCAAGACAACGATCACTACTTTAAGTGGAATCACAATCGATCCGAAATCGGTGAAACTTAACCCAAGGTCTTCACCAAAGGTTTATGTAGGTGAGTAAAATATTGATTTTGGGGATGTGAGTACCTCACCCCTCTCCCCGCGGTGGAGATGGGATGAAACTTGGGAACTTCTCAACGAGCCATTTTAGATGCGAGATTTCGTCAAAGGATTTTAATCTTCTCATTTTAGTGAAAGAATTGGTGTCGTCTGATTATAAGATATGGAATACGCATGGCGATGCTTTAGTGGCATTCCCTCCAACCTTGTAATACAACTGGACAATTGCAGGTGGGTTGACACGCCAGGGTGAGGCGAGGAAAGAGAAGCGTGTTTGATGCTGCCCTTGTTGTGAGAAACAGGCTTCAGTTTAGCTAGAGAAATCAAGATATGTCCTTTCAAACCACATGTCTATTCAATATGAGTTGATTGAATCGATCGTTGCATATCCGAATAGCTCCGAATTCACTACAAATTACACCAAATTTACTTGTATATCTAACAATCATTTTATATTGACATATACCGCTCAAATAAATATCAAAAACAGTATATTTAAAAAATGAATTCATGTTTATTGCTGTCTACAAAATGCTTTGCTTATAGCATAAATTATTTTAAAAAAACTACCAATTCTAAAGCTCTACTGACATCGTAAATTTGTGTAATAAGTTGTAAAATGCCACTTTCTTGAAAACATCAAATAGATTTCTTTGTATTTTATACAATTGTGAAACATATTATCATCAAAGGAAAGTGCATAAGCCTGATTTGACGTCAGGGGCCGTACAGCTTCAAACTTCAATGTATAATTGGGCTTTAGATAGAGCTTCGTTGAGAAACTTGTAGTAATTTGCGCTAATTCCATCTTGAATATCTGGAAGGATGCTAAAATATGAAAAAGTCATTTAAATTGTGTCGTTCTTGGTTACAAACGATAGATTTTTTTAAAGAGGGAAGGTATTTCTATAATTTGTTATTCATGCGGAATATAGTCGTCCTGGAAAAAAATCAGAATACCTCGCATCTGCGTCATTGCTTTCAAGTAGTTCGTTGGCGTTCATTCGATGTAAGACTGTTCCATTTGGTAGAGCAACCATAGATTCAACGGGGAACCTTTGGAAATTATGATAACATTGAAAATCATGATAATATTATTATATTGCTTTTTTCGTGCGGTGAAAGTATTGAAAGTATTGGATAAGAGAAAAGCACTTCAAATGGTTTAGTGAAATGCATGCCGTGGAGTTCTGTCCCGGGACAGAGCGATGTTATTGTGCCGGTACACAACCCGTACACACCTATAACTGTCTATTGCTAGTTCAGCTTGCGTCTTCAATTCTGGAGTGGCGGACTGGTTCTTTGACAGTCTCTGTAAAGTGATGTAGAGAAGTGTTAGGGACTGGGAATGAAAGTATATCAGACTGGATCACTGAGGACTGAATGAGAAGTTATAATCTTACTTTGATATCTTCTAGAAGAGACCAGGTGCTGACGAATTTTGACGTCAGCAACTTTACAATGGGCGAACTTTCGAGAGCTGTGTCTCGTAAAGTTCGCCCGGAACCTGTAGAAAAACGATGAGATAAACAATCGGACAGATGAAAAACTAGAGGAAGAAAACATCCTAGAAAGTCTAAGCCTTACCTCAGCATGACTGGTCGTCAAGTGCTCCCCAAAGTAAAATGGAATGCACCAACTTTTTCTCCTCTTTTGCCCTGCTGAAAGCCGCGTCGAACGAGAGATATGGCACCTGAAAATACATTACGAAAATACCTTTCATTCCTGCTAGGATGAGAATTGATTTCCAGACCCTGAATTCCAAACACACAAGCACAAAATAGTCGAATCTTGCCCACCTTTTTGAATGGATACATTTTCTTTACCAGAATGGTTCTCGCTTCTTCATAGGTAATTTCTCTGTCCCATTTTATTTCACGTTCTGCAGGCGGAGAAGAAACCGCGTCGTCATCGCCACGGCGATAAGATGGAGCCACACTTTCAAGTTTCATCTTAGGTATATATCCTGTTGAAAGAATATGTAAAGATTAGTTTCTTTGCGAGGTTGTAGTGGCGTAGAATAGTTCTTTATAGCATGGTCAGATGACTGAATTACCAATATCGACTTCCATGTTATTTTGGTCATTATCGTTAGCTTCTTCTTTACTTACACTTTCTGAAATAAATAAAATGGAAATACTTAGACAATATTTAGCCAAATAGTTCGGCTTTTTAAAATTTATTCTCAACTCAAGATTGTTATTACCATCGACAATTTCCTCGTCCTTGCGTTTACCGACTAACCATTCCATATCTGCATAATCATGAACGAAAGATTTTTGGTAAATTGCATGATTGCATTGGCGTTTAAACATCGCACGCTAACAGGTGCCTCGGCTGGGGCCAATTACAAGAAACCTTTAAGAACTATCTCTTTTGAAATACCCTGTCCACCTACCCACATTTAGAGATTGGTTGTTCGGTACTTCCATTTCAAAATGTTCAATATGGCTGCCATCCTTACTGATGATCAGACGGCCAGAAAATTGTGCTGGTGTGAACCAGAAAGGCAGTAATGGAGGTGTATTGAGTTGGAACTCAGCATGAAGCCTGAATGATTGAAACCAAAGTAAGAATTCATGCTCTAAGGGGTTACATGTCTAAAAATATGCAGGATATAGCATTTGAATGAAGCTGTCATTATTTGTGTCTGAATGAGGAATTGATGGAAATCATACCAAAAGTTTTTTGTTTCTATTCTAGCAGAGGTTGATGCACTACATAATCCTTGTATAGGGGTTTGATTTGAACAAAAATGTATTTCATATTCTTCAGGGATGGTTTACTTATTATTTTACATGTAAAAAATCTTTGATCTGCCTTGCACCTGAATTCAATTTCTAGGAATTCATTGTTCTCGGCCCTGACACATGCCACCCCTCCCTGTGGCGGAAATCGAGAGTACAAAAAAACCATGGGGTGGAACATCTGCAGGAGACATTGAATGGTCAGGTGATCACCATTGATGCCTGGATAGGCATATCGATTAGAGAGGTGAGGTGCTGGAAAATCAAAATATGGTAATCAGTAAAAGGGTGGGTCAATTTTATTAGGCGATAATTTATTTTACATTCAACGGAACTGACCAGTACGACGAGACACATCAGGTACAATAAAGGTCCATGCTTCACCCAAATCATAGTGCTTTCTTCTTGGTAGAAAACATTTGAATTTTTCCACTGCAAATTCAGCCTCTTTCCTTGATACAGTCAGCCATCTTTGCAATCCAGTCAATGCTTGCATGTCCACCTGAAATTCAAGGTTACAAGGGGGTGAAGTTTACAGGTAGAAAGGTTTAATCAATCATGAGGTGGAGATTTTTAAGGCATGTGAGATGTGTATTTCATAAGTCACTTACCATTAATTCTTGCTCTTCTTTGAACTTTGTCATAGAATCCAAAACTAGCGGCTCAAACTCTGCTTTTATGTCCAATGTTTCACCATCTGTGATTCGAATGTTTTCGAAGTTTATTTCAATATCATCATATGGTATAATTGAGTCATTCAGTTCCTTAATGCAAAAATATATATAGGTCAGGGATGGGACCTATCACTAGTGTTGCCAAAAGATGCGACAAATAAGTCAAACAAGAGTGTAGTGGTGAAAGTATGGTGGCCTCAAGGCCTTGCTAAAAGGTTTGCACCGTAGTTCGTGGGGTGATATACAAAAAAAACCCAACAACATGACCCAAGAATTTGACATATGATTTAGTTACATCATTAAACATAATCCACAAATATTTGTTGGTATAAAGTGTGTGGTCGAGAACTATGTGAGCAATCAAATTTATATAAATTAGACTATAAACGAAATATAAAGCCCTAGTGATCTTGTCAATTTGGAATAGAACGTGCAATGCTTCCATATCCTTACAAGTTGAAGACTTAAGGATTCGCTAATTCTTCGTTGAATTGGTTCGAACTCTGAGACATCAATCACACCATCAGCATTCGTGTCGCACAGTTTAAACAGCGACAATGTTTCAGTTGAAAGTTCGCCCTCAATAACCGTGGAATCGGTGTTGAAGAAAACATGAATCAAAATTGAGGTTTCCAACACTAAAATGCTGAGAAGGAACAGCGTTGCTGTCCTCCATGAGAGCATTTCGTTAGATCTTCCGTGTCTGGAAAATCGCTAGGCAGTGACGTTGTGCTGACAGTGCTGGGGTGACTCAATGTAAATTCCGGTTACTGAAGCGACGAATCATTGAATTTAATAAGATTTCATAGAATTAAGTATCAATGGTGAGCGTCTGAGAATTTACGTGAAACCGCGTTGATTTCAGGAAATTACATGGTTACTATGGTTGCTCTTAAAATTTGTCGCAAAATACCTAGCACCCTATCAAGGTTGGAGGTAGGGACCAAACCCAAACATTCTGCATCTCTTGCCCCCCTCCTACCTTCAGTTTTAACACCCTCCTGAGTCCCTCCTGTAGTTGTCGCGTATCATCATGGCCGCAAGTGTTGGGGAAACCAGCATGAAACAACAGGCTAAAAACAAGGATTCCTCCCAACAAACATTGACGATCAACTTCATCCCGGAGACGGAACGATATGCAAAGCCTAACAACATGGAGGAATACATTCGGAGCTATTTTGAAGGAATTAACGGGATAAACAGACGCATTATTGCAGAGGAGAGAAAAATTATCGCGCAGAACAGAAATACTTGGCCAAGTTTGTCCGTAGAAGAAAGAGACGAGCTACTTAACGATCGCTTTATTTCCAGCGATATTCGAACAAAATATAATACAAATGATGAATACTGGAAGGAAAGGACACCTTGGCAGCCCGAAAGTTTGAATTCGTCTGAAGATTCAACGCCTTGCCCTCGGGAAGAGCGAACAGACAGCATGACATTAAACGTAGGTTTTTATCACTTTTATGTTGTGTTAATTACCGTTCTTTGATTAGTTTGATAATCCTTGCATTAAAAGACACTTTTAATGCGGAAAGTGAATGTTTGGAAGTCAATACCGGATATTTCTCACGCTCAACAGAGAGCAGTTTTGTCTCAAATATACAATAGTTTTGGGAATTGTTCAATTAGGTAATAATGCGAATATCTGCTTTGGAGTTATTGAGTTATTGTTTGTAAAGTTATTTCCCGCTTGTAAGTAATGTTTTAAAAATTCACAGGCATGAGAGTGCAAGGAATGTTATAGAATATCAAAGACAAAATATGTTTACTTGGTTGCTACCCAATTTATAAAGTCATTGTTAAAATACTAGTTAGTCTAGTTATTATTCACCCAATTGTCTGAACTAACTTAGCCTTTATAATAATGGCTTCTTCTGACAATGCCAGGTGTTGATGTGAATATATCTCTATTGTAGGATTCGTTCTCGAAACCATTCCACTGGGCTACAAAGGTAAAGCATGCGTACACATTTGTTTTGAAAATCCTTATAAAGTTTTGTGATATTTGATCATATTAACCTATATATTACTAACAATATTTGCTCGCATTCAACAGAGTCAGCGGAACCTGAAATTTCCCGCAATCAAGCGAGAGAAACCTAAGATTAGCGAAGAAAAGTCAGAAAAGACAGATCCCAAATCCATAAAGACTCCTGAGTTGAAGGAGACAAAAACAGAAGGTGAAACTGCGAAAAAGTTGAACAATGTTGAGCAGAGTTTAAAGGAGAAACAAATAAAAACAACAAATGAAAATATAAAAGGAAAAATGGTAACAAATAAATTGGAAGACAAGCCTAAAACATCCACATCAAAAAGTAATGAAAATATCAATGAGGTGAATGACGAGGAAATGACATCTTCAACTGAACAGGTATTGTGTTTTTGTTATAGATAGCAAGCAAAATACAATGTTCTTGCCATATTTGGGTTGGCGCAAGAACGCATGTGATACAATGATATTATGCTACTTGTGAATCCAATTCTATTGCACACAATTGATAATAATATTTTTGTTGTTTTGTAGCCAAAATCTGATGGGAGTGAGAACATAGATGAGTCAAAGAACATATTTGAATTCTTGCAAAGCTGGAATCCATGATATTTGAAATTTTTTCAAGTTTATTGCATAGATCAATATTTCCTTGTCAAATCATAGCACATACAGTGCCAGAAACGATTCTGTTAGAGAATTTGTAATATATATATCTCCTCGGCTATATGAATATGTAAAATATAATTTATCTGCATTCTCGTTAAGAAAGTCTACAGTTCATATTTGTGTACGCAATTTGTGACAAGGGCGAGGTCTCTGTTAGCCTGCGTTATGAAAATGAAAGCAAGTATTGGTTGGGCATCAAAAGACTTGATATTTAATTAAAAGCACTTAATATGACAGCTCTTGAGAGTTTCTTGCCAACCTCAATTACCCTCGTGACGTACCCTCGTTTATATACCCCTGGGGTTCCCAATACTCCACATAGATTCTCTAATATCCCTGGTAGATTCTCTAATATTCTGACCCGCGTGTTTCTCGCGTGTTTCACGCGCGAGAACATGGGGCTTCCCCACGTTCCAATATGGAGGACGAAAGCGGCGTTGAACAGCAGTCATGCAAAAAAGAACAAGAAACAAGCAATGGTTTCGGCATTGGCGATGCAGTGTCGTCAATATATGGTGGAGCGAAGAAAGTGGGATCATTCGTTGTACCTCCAAAGCCTGATTTATGGCCAGATATGGACAAGGTAGATGAAATGGTTCAAGTGATTACATACGCAGGATATGCCCTCATTTCATTTGGTGCTATTGGAAGTGCTTATTTTGCATTGAAAACTACGAGAGAATTTGCTCAATGGAGAACTTGGTTAAAATTTAGGAAGTTTGGAAGACGTTAATAGCACTGCAGTTGAAACAATGGGTGCGGCTTCTTAAGAATAGTTATATATATGATAACACATTTAATTTTGTGTTATAAAAGCGTGATTTGTTTTGTAAAGACGATATTTAATCACCCAATACCACGTGCAGACAAAGCATGTTTAAACTCAATGAAGACATTTTGATATTTGTGTTAAGGCTGTTACATAATACTTCATGTATGTCAGAAACTGCAGATGAAAGCAAGGATAAAAGGTAGAGTGTTTAAACGTATTGCCTGATTTGTAGTTGGTAATGGATTGAACTTGTAAAGTATTACTAGAATAAATGTGTAGACCTGTAAAGCATTTGCAAGTGAACCAAAGTGTTTGATAAAAAGGATGCTAAATTGAATAGAATTTTGAGTTTCAGTTAACAGTGGTCTGTGCCCATATGGATTGAAGTTTGATTTTTGTATTGCTCTGAGACTGTAAAGTTCCATAGTTAGCACAAAACCATTAATAGTTCCTTTGCAAATGAACTAAAGTTTGTCAGATGAAGGACCAGTGTTCATTCTCTACAATAGATTATCCTATGTTGTAATAGTAAGAACTATAAACAAAAGTGACAAGTTTTTGATAATTTTAACTTCCTATTAATTTTGTTTAAAACCATATTCCTAGTTAATATCAATGAAAATTTACACATCATTTTATCTATACATGAAGTTTTCAACTCCAACTATACAACACCATTCAACTTAGAGCAAATCTTACAAGAGCAGTCACAATGATCACAATGTATGAATGTCTTAATCCTAGCGCTGCGCTTTTGTCATCCTTTGAAAATGTCACAACTCCAGACTCTTTATCTGTACATCCAAGCCAGTGTGGTCCAATTGGCTTTGGGTAACCGGGATATACTTGAAATTTAGATCTACCACCCTGGCTAATCCTATAATAATTCTTCCCTTTGAAGAAATATGTTTCACCCTCTGGTGTCTGCAAAGCGGCGTCAATGTTATCTGGCACGCCATGCCAATGTTTTTTGATAAGTTTCGGGTAGTCCGGAAATATCTTCCTATTTTCCTCGTCATATTTCCAGTATTTGTCCCCTTTAAAGAAGTATGTTTGTCCATTTCCTGGGTACGTTATTGCAGCGTCCATATCACGCAGCTCAGCTGAAAGACCATACTCCTCAATGTGGAGGGGGCCTACAACAAGTCTTGTACCGTCGTACTTGTAATATCTGGAATGAAATTGAATAGGGTTAGAAAAATGTGCATTGATGAAAGAGGAGCCTGGTAAGGAAAAGAAGCAACCACTGTTAACATCTTGTAGACTGGGGCATAGTTCCCAGTTTCCTATGGGTGCAGTGGGTAGAGGAAGTTTTTGAGGTTGTATATTGAATTTGTGATATTTATGTGGGACTTGGGATCTTCCAAAGATAGGTTTTCAGGGTGTGTTTGGATGACTAAACCTCCACCTAATGTGGTTGTACTACCCTTGCTCTTACACGTCGAAGAACTTCGACTTGATCAAATCACGCTTCGCCTACAAAATCCAGCCATGTTCTCAGTTGTGATTCAAAAGTTGTTGGATCAAATCAACATCTTACCTGTGTCTTGTGAAGAATATGGTATATCCATCTTCCCTCGTGTACGCTGCGCGAACTTTGGTGTTTAAACCTTTCCATCGTTTATTAATTCTTCTGGGACCCTTTGAGTGTTCACCGTTTCGAGTCATCAGATAGAACTCAAACTCTCGTAACGCGTACACCCTTTGGTGCCTTTTGTCGTGAAACACAGCGTCAAATGCAGAATGACATTCTTTTCTTGGGGGAAGCGGAAGCACAATCGGCGATTCGCTATTTCTTCCAATCGACTTTCCTGTAAAATATTATAAATGGTTTTTACCACACGGTTCCTTTAGCCACACGCTGAAATACGTCGTGAAAAACCCCTGAATCTGAAGACTTCGGTCTTAATAATACTTGTACCTACCATAAAGGCGCCGTATCCCATCTTTATCATCCTTACTCAGCCTCACATCCCCCATTTCCCCTGTTTGATACCATGGGTACATTATTGCCCCCGCATCCTGGCTATGCCTCAGCCCCAGGCTGTGCCCAAATTCATGTGTGGTCACCCATATGAAGTTCGTCGATTCATCCTCCGTTAGCGAGAATTTTTCGTCCGAGTCGAAATGAACGTCGCCGGCATAACCTGCAAGGAATTTTTGCATGTTTGAAATTCTTAAAACGTGAAAAAGTTGTCTTTTCACCGCTGTTGTTTCACCACAATTGATGAGAACGTATCGATTCATTCAACCTCAGCAAGTATGTTAGAAATTCGGAGAATTTCTTCTTTTCAGTAGTTTGTTTTGTCTTCAAAGTCAGTCACTTTAAAGGGAAGATCGTATATAATTTTGTAGAAGAAATCTATGTCGAGGGAAAGGTTCGTTTACCTGTGTTTTCGTTGGGATAGAAGGCGTGAGCAAGCGCCTTGCCTCGTCCGTCAAACCCGTAGTTATCGCCATGTTCCCCAGCGCTGAACTTGATCATAATATCAGCTTCTCCTTCTTTTATCTCCTCAAATACAAGATCAGCAGCGAACGACCATTTCTGTAAAGCCGCTTTGATTGTTTTTGATATCAATTCCGGTGTCAAAATTTTTCTGTTTGTTGGTCCATCGTAGGGGTGGTTCTCAATACGATACGTCAGGTCCTGCAAATGTGAAAGTGTTGCAACGCAATGAAATTGATGACCTGACTGTATCAAATTGATGAAATGAGTGGGAAAAGACAGGGTAATAAAGGAGTAATTACCGATGGCCTAAACTATTAGCTGGTTTTGGTGGGAAAACACGAGAGAGATATTTCGGACAAAATTGATTTGCCCTGGGGTTAATAATAAACGGAAGATTATGAGAATCCCACATCCTGAATACGTACATCCACACACATTCCTGACTGAAAAATTGCTTCTCAAAAGATCCATTACCTTTTTTTTCCATTTACTTCCTTCTAAGACATATCTTCGTCGTCTGCCTCCTGTCGGGAGCTGATCTTTATCACCGCACCTTGGTTCTTTCATTTTTTCTACAGTTTCTTCATCAAACCGGCCCGTCACATTCAAGCCAGCAAACGTTTGAAATACTCTTAAACTTTGAGAGATATCTTGCGCGGCCTGTGCTTTTCCGCCCTTGTCTTCTGGCAGATAACCAAACTGCTTCAGGTAATGCTGAAAGATAAAAATCCCGGGTCTATTTTGTGTTTTGGTCGAGGTTTTGCTGCTGCAGTGGTTTTTGCTAAAACTGCTTGAATTGTATTCGATATCATTCTATACCATTCTATATCATTCTATACTATTCTATATCAATCTATACCATTCTATATCATTCTATACCATTCTATATCATTCTATACCATTCTATATCATTCTATATCATTCTGTACCAAATATACGTGCTCATGGCTATCGCGACCAGCAGAAAGGGAATCACGCGAAATATTTGTGCCTGATAACCTCAGGGATTGTCTTTAGAAGATGTGTTTTCTATCCGATTATACTATACTTCATTTAACCCAGTAATTTACGCTTGTCAATCAGACTTATATCCCAGCGTTCAGAACGTGAGTGGAATGGAAATTTTTGGTAAATCCTTGCTATGTTTTAGCGATTCAATTGTATAAATCCTTTTTTATCATGCGATTAACTTAAAGTGGATCACGTTGCGGTGAGGACCGAGTTGTTGAATAATATTCTTGTCAGATTTACGTGCAAAGGTTAAAGTCCATATGCATTTGTTCACGATTTTAACATCCCTTACAGAAAGACTTTTTTCATCGAATTTTTTTCTGCAAAACCAATATTGCAGCTGGGGAACGAAGTGGTAAATTATCGAGGTCTTCAAGAACACGTCTTTGAGATATTATCTTGATTATTAATAGCAACAAAGACGTTTTGTGACGGATAGATTTATGGCTAGTATCAATCAAATTATACAGGACTTTGATCCTTCGCTATTTTGTACACAGAATACTTGAACAGCCAGACCTGCGCGTTAAATCTATGAAATTCGTGTATCTTCTAGAAGTTGATCGGGAATGTCCGGTCGAATCTCGGGGGTTCTCGGTATCCTAGTTTTCGACCGTATTGTCCGCAATCACTGATGACTAAAATTTTCTGAAAGGACTGAAATACCTAAGGAACGTCTTCTGCGCAAAAATCATTTGTAGTTGGAAAGTTAAAGGGCTTAAGATCTAGATTAGAAGTCTGTGCTGATAAACACAATATTTACAAGCAGCTGCAATTGTTCAGCAACCCTGTGGCTGTGTAGGCGGTAGTTCACGTGGTTTGAATATAAGGGATACAACTATTATCGATAGCTATTCAAGGGAGAACTATCTCATAACGAGACATCCGCCCTCTCAATAATAAAATAGCCGTTCATAATATCTTTTTAGTCAATCGACTAATAATAGAGAATCAGTATTTGTCCACGTCAGAATATAATCCACAATAGATCAAAACGCGATTCAATACCGCAAGGCACAACCGTGCAAAGGAATAAAAAAAATATTTTATTATTTTTACCGCAAGGACCGCGATACTGGAGTGATAGAGGTCAGAGATAAGGCTTGCAAATGAAGTGTTTTACAGCCTTATAAAGTAACTCGGCGGTGTTCAGAAGCAACACAGCTTTAAGTGTTAAATGATGACTTGAGGTAATAATGTTGTATCAGCTTACTAGACAAACAAAATGCTATCATGAGACCTGTCTGGTAGATTTCCTCTAAATATCGACTGTATGAAAATAATGTATGGTTGACTGAGTCCAGACTTTCCAGTAAGCTAGAGGTGCTGAAAAATTATGTTTGGGAAGCCAGTTTAGGTCTTGCTAACGCCCCAGCGTAGAAAAGTAATAAGGCTTACCATAGAATATTAGAAATTTGGGTCAACAAAATCCTCATGACGTCCTGACTAGCTAAGATTACCGTGGTGTGATGGTCACTCGAAAACTCAGTGAAATCTACAGTGGTCTTGCGACAAGATTACATCACGTTTTATAAAAAATTAAAATTATACTAAGGCTTATATAAGAAACCTTATTAGGGCATTTCTTGCAACACATTACTGAACGCTTCGCAATACCACGCAAAACCGAAAGTTGAAATAAAGCAGTTCAACCAATATCACTGTTATCAACTGAATTATCGCTTCGAATCACCGCACCGTTGGATGCCCGTCTAAACTGTCGCGAGAATCTCTCGAAAAACTGGTTAAAAGACAATTATCGTTGTAGCATGTTATGGATTGCGGTGGTTATGACTTTAGAACAGTTATGAAGTAAAAATTTACCGGGTTACCTCAGGAAAGTGCGTCTCCAAAATATTGCTTCACAGTGTCCGGAAATCTGCCGAAATTATCAAACCATTGTCTTGTGCGCAATAGGAAATAATTTCAAATAACACCCCAGTGTGAGGGTAAATACTGTATACACTACATGGTAATTATACGTTGGATTAAAGTTTTAGAGGAAAATACAGTTACGTCCGTGGTCATGAATGGCAAAACTGAACCAATATAAGTGCGTTTCGCATTAGTGACCGTGACAGACACGTTGAATGAGTTAAAACATTTGTTCGTGTCGAAAGTCAACACTTAACTGATCGTCGTACGACTCGTGTTAATATTACATTTGGAAGATAAATAGTGTTTTAGTATATCGGGGGCAATTGTACAAAACACTATCATTAATATATTCCGAAGATATTCAGCTGGTTTGCCGACTTTAATGATTGATTAGGGTGGATACTATCTGAATTGCTAGCTCAATATAGCGCTTGTCGCTTTCCGTAAAAATAGTCTTTATATTACGCGAGATTAAGACAAAGAAATTAGACTGTTCCGATGTAGTACCATAGAATGAATTATTCACGGCCACGTGCAGGTATACTTATATATTGTAATAATCTTGAAAGAAGAAATTGATATAAGGCCAAGGACAAAGACGTTCAGCTCTGATCGCGGTTAACCGTACTTCGAATGAATGAAATTTTTCATGAAGTTATTTATACAGAATATACTGCATGTAAAATCTAGCAGAAACACGTAGAAGAGATGTCATTTAATCTCCCTTTATCCCTCTGTTGAACTGTACAACATTTTAACAATTATATGCCGTACGAAATACAAAAAGCCAACATAGATACGGTCTTGTTTGAAAATCGCAACAACTGTTAGATTTACATAAAGGCTTTATTAAATAGAAACGAACTGAAGTTACTGAACATGTTAATTAAATCTCCCTCTTTCTGAAAATGATGTAATGTGTGTGATCTTTTTGATGTTATAATAACGAATAGTGTAAATACAACGTTAGAAAACATGTTGTTATGGAATTGTGGTTCTGTATTTATAGGAAAGTAGACGATGCGTCTGTCAAATGACGAGTCATGCCCCTTCAGACATCAATCTTCACCGATCGTGTAAGTGTTTCAGTCACTAAGTAATCCACTCTACGTAGTTCAAAATTCAGTACAAAAAAGCCAAATTCGTGTTGGACATAACATGGCTATAGATTCCTGCGATAAAGCAGTCGGAAAGTATATTCCTGTCAGCAATAATGATAGGTTGGAATTCATCAGACACGAGTTTAAATAGGTGTTAAAACATGGTTTGTGAAAATCGTGTGTTAGGCTGGGAAACATTATAAATGTATAAGAAATCCTGTGATAGAATATCTATCCAATCGCCGAAAACCTTGAAACGTTTTGCACCTCGTTCTTAACTAAACTTCATGGGTTGTGCAAATGATGTCAGTGAGACCGCCATTCTGTCCGAATGATGTTCAGTTCACACTATACTTACCACGCCAGAGCTAGAATATGCCTCTCCGATTGCTTTTCCTTGAACGATATTATCCCAGGTCAAAAACACTGTAGACAACCAATACAACAAAACCAACTTTACTTGTGCAGACACCATTGTACATGCAGTCTCTGTCTTCAATATTGTCACAAAGTATGCTTCCTAAAATGTCGACAGTGTTGCCGGTGTTGAACTTGAAATACACTATTGCTTCTGTGTGTTTATAGTTGATTCGGGCTTCGTCGTAGTCGTCGATTGCGTGTTTTCTTCTGCTAGTTATAAACCTGATACGGTTGATATTCTGGAAGTAACTAGATCTGAGCTCCGACTGTGTTCGACACGATAGGCGATCGTAGATTGACGTTATATGTAGCAAGACATGTCTGTTTATACTTCGCTTAATTGAGCGACGTGACGTCACACATCATGGCCGACATCGGCATCGTGTTTCAAGGAAGCTACTTCAAACGTCCAGCGTTTCAGCTCCAATTAATCAAGATTCTGTATTATAGCCGATCCATAAATCTAAGTTAAATATCTCGACCCTAAATGCACTCATACACTTTGGGACTAAAGCTATAAATTTTATCCAATGGCCTCTCGTCTCCAGTACTAAGCTACTTTCAAAGCGAATATCCTGGGAATAAGATTAAATACTTGAGAATATGTGTTTTGATTGCTAAGATTTTTATTTCAAAATGTATGTAAGTTCTAGTTCTCTAGTATGCTGTATGGTTTTCAAATTGCCTGCTGAATTACACGTGATATGATATTGAAAACGTTAATTTTGTTTCTTTCTATGCTTCCTCCTGTACCTGTGTATGATATTCATTTATTGATATGTGAGGATTGAAGAAGGTCCAATATATCTTGTCTGAAGGGCTCCGGCATGGGATTACTCAACCAAACCCGTCATTACACAATTCCTGTCCTTCTTCTGCACAACGTCAATGAATATTATCTTCCACAAAGCCGTTTGTCTGGACAAAAAAATGGTTTATTAAAACATATAAATTCAAATGGCCGACTTAAACACACCGCGTAAAGGAAAACAGGAAACATGCTTGCCGGAACGAGATCAGCCTCGAGTATTGTCGAGTACTTCTTATTCTTTATTTTTACCCGATCAGGTGTTTAGTTTCTTATCAAACCTTTGTATTTCATACTCCTTTTCAGTCTGACATCAAACTCAAAAAATCTACATGTGATTTTATTTTTTTTATATTGTTTTATTTTACTATTGCTGCCTGGTTTATCGAACATTATTTGATGTCTGGACATCATCTTACTGTATGAAGTGAAAGGCTACGTCTTTTACAGTTCCTGTGTTGGGCTGTTCATGAGGAAACCGAACATGTCATTTTGAGCACTTATCCATCTTGGGACTCCTCCCAACTGGATGTCCCATTTGCTGTAGAAAGTACCTTTTAAGGCGTTCGAATAAACCTGCATGGCTGCATGCGAAAAAAGGGAAAATCGTGTCATTTTCTAAAAAAAGATGATAGCTAAAGGTTTTATTAACTGTATTCTAATAAACTTGAAGCCCTTGCGAACGTCAAAAGCCAAGATTTAGTCTTCATTAATGAAAACTGATTTAAAGCACTTTTCAAGTAACCTTATATGCAGATAGTTTAGTTTCTCTGTATGTGGTCTTTCTAAATATCTCTAGTCCGGTAAGTCAGCCAATACGTTTCTGGCACTAGACAAAGCCTGGCAATGTTTCCGTTTTAGTTTTGATGCGATAAAAGCTGCACTTAGGCTTAATTTCTCATGAAAACAATGCTTTTAAGTCAATGTCCCAAGGGCCAATGACAAATTGTCAATTAGGTGTCGACTTAGTCACGATGGTGTATGCAGATATATATCAAGACCAGTTTTATTATCTTTTGGGTGATTATCGTAGAAATATCGCATGCCATTTAGGTGTTGGCGAGACCAAGTGTTTGCACTATAGACTAGGTTTTAAAATAGACTCGTTTCCTTTGCTAATATTATGTTTGATGTCAGAAGACTGTACATGCGTATTGCGTGTGAGAGTTTTGCGAATCTCACGACTGTGGAACAAGTAGCATCCATGATACCTCATCATATGCTCGAGTTGTTGACGTGAACTGGTGAAAATGTTGTTTGTTGTCCATTTATTACCTAATGGCTCATTTCCACTCTTTCCTCTGCCATGCAGGCAGTTTGTCGCTCACTCAGCAAATACAAAACACCTGTGTCAAAACAAGGCTTCATAGGCTATAGCGACTTACAAGAGCACAAAAAACATCAAAAGTGCTCCGCTTTTGATGAGGTGAGATAAGTTTCCTAAGAATACAAGTCGACTCAATACAAATACTTATGAGGACTCTGTTGATCAGGAGAGGCTTAGCAGTCGAAGCCTGATTTAACAAGTGCATCGGTGTGGAGTGCATCCTTTCTTCCTCCCAAAATCCATTCGGTATTTCATCGCTGATTAGATAAACCACATACCGTCATAATCAGCATTTAAGAAGGTGAACCAAAGGAAACTGGAAAATTGACATCGTGGGAAAAAACCGTATGCATGATCCGTGAGACTCCATTACGCTAAATTACTGATTACAGATACGGCAAAATAGCGGCGAGCTCTGAGACTTGCAAAACAACTAAACCTGGAAAATATCATTCCATTTTCAAGAAATGAATTTGAGTATTTGTGTTTTAGTCTATCCCTGTGTTTTTGATGATGTTACAAAGACAGACTACTTGATTGCGCATGCGCAAAGTGATAGTGACTGTTCCAAGGTTGTATGAGGCTGTTCAGAAAATACGTGATGCTCTTTTCGCTATTTTTTGACACTCCTTACGTTGTTTGACGATCACAAATATACCGCCAGTTACATGAGAGCAAACCATGCACCCACCACCGTTTTTAAATAATAAAGATCAGTGTCTCCCACACACACGTTCAAAACGTAATGATTAACATTTCCGTTTAATTAAAACTCATTTTTGTTGTTTGCAAAAATTTCTTCAATGTGTCCTAGACTCCGGTGAATACAACTTGTCGGCCTAACTCAGACTTTTGCTAGATGTTGTTAAATTGTGAGGTTTTTTCATCGACGATGCATATCTTCAGCGCTGACGCTGTTCGCCACTTAAACTTGAAGTGTTATCGTTTTGAGATACACTGACTCAGTTTTGTTTTTGCCAGCTTTCCTTCAGTTCATTGGTTAAGCGTTTCTTGCTGAAGTATATTGCCGGCTTCCTATGATTTGTCACCTGCACGTCAGTTCCAGGCCCTTGGGCTGGTACATCCTAACAACTTCCCTGCACCTGCCGTGATTGTGTCATGGTTAAAATTAGCCATGATCTGTTTACACTGAGCCGTTATATCGTTCTCTGATCATGCGCGGGATATGTCTGTGTTCTGCTCGTACACACACACATATCCAGGATATCCTCGCTCGTATGATATACTTAGCTTAGGACGGAGGTACTTACGAGTCAAGCATCGCTGACATAGGGCGGTTAAAAAAACTATCTAAAATTTTCTTCAGGAACGAAAATGATACACAGAGTGTGTTTGAAATGGAGTTCAATCTGTCTCTCTACAGATGCTAAACAAATCTTAAGGTCTAGCCCGAGTGTGTCCAATATCAGACTGGCAAAGCAACAACCCAGGCTCTTTTAGACTGCACCACGCACGGAGTCTAAAATCGAGACCCCACACTCGCAACACGTACTTACCACGCACTTACCACGCATTACCACGCACTCACACGCATTACCACGCACTCACACGCATTCTTCCGCGCACGCGAGTCAAGGAAATGTTCGAGTTTTATTCACACACTGCAACATGACGTGTTTTCCAATCATGGGCAGTTCCTTTCTATTTTTGTGTGCGGGCAGTTCCTTTCTATTTTTGTGTGCAAGAAGTTATTTGCAATTTTGTAGCCAATTGGAAATAAAGAGCTTTGGATAAAGTTTGGCGCCAGCTTCCCCCGGTCGTACGAGGGCACATAAATATATTTTTCCTCATTCTTGTCGTTTCTAGCAAAAATATACTTCCTTAGAATCTTGTTGATGGTAAAAGAGGGTCTCAGCGAAACCGATTGTGGTTTGTTTAAAAATAGAGAACAGAGAGTGAATGAGAATATTTTTCAACGAAGAACAATCCCATATCATCGTGGTTTCCTGCTGTAGTGAGTTGAAGAATTCTATTGGTTGTAAAATGCTGGCTCACTGTGATCTATTTTATGATATGAAGGATGAGTTAGGAGTTTAGGATATGATCCGTGGTATATGCTGGTTCATCTTGGAATCGCTTTCCATGCAGTAGCGTGATGTCATTGTATGTCATGTTTCCTCAAATTGACCACAGGAAAATGCATTCAATGCACTTGAAAGTGGTTATAAGCGAGCGTGATTAGGTCTCGTGATTAAGTGTTTGGATTTTTTTGGACTCATACATCAACAAACAATTTTGAAACATACTAAAACGCACATAGAAGATGAGCACATTATCGAGCCAAATTTGCGATCAATAATTTACGATTGTACATTCTCAATGTTTGGCTTTTCTTATCTTTTTTTATGTGTTGCTATTCCTATGAATTTCATGATTTTTATCGGGTTTTTATCAGAAATGTGATAGATAAAGTTCTTTATATGATAATTTTTGCGTCTTTACATCCACACCTTACATTGTATACGATTCTATACAAAAAAAAAACACAAAGCAGATTGGAGCGATAAGAGTCGTGACTATACACGAACGTCGTGTACAATTGTACTTCCACCAACGCAATGACCTGTATTCTTTTTTCTTTTGCGTATAGTCATAAATTTTCTCACCAGAACGACAACAGCATTTTTCCTCAATCTTAGTGCAGGCGTGAGAGAAAGTCTTGATTTGGAGCGCCGGACACTTGGTTATAATTCGTGCATGTAGGCGAAATTTGAACAATTGTTGTATATTATCTTTCGCGGTGTCTCGGTAGCATGTTGCCTTTGATTGGAAACGGAAATAGGAACTAAACGTTTTTTCCTTTTCAAATCGCTTGCTTTGTATTCATAATGAAAATATATTTAACTATGTAGCTGAATATGTCACGAGTTTGAAATTCTTGAAATATTTTCGCGACGATTTTATGCATTTGGTCCCGTTGAAATACGTTTCGAGTCAAACGTCAAACTTAAAATGGAATATAGTTACCTTAAGTATTTTTCATACATTAATCTGTTTAACTTTTAGTGTATTTTTTGACTAGACTATGCATGCCATGGCAAAATGAGTTCATGCATGCGGCTTTAAAACTGTTGATAGTTTGTGGCCACTTAAAACTTGTTTAGATTCGACAAAATTGTGCGGGCAACATTCAAAATAA